ATAAAGGAGGGGTATCAATTGAATTAGAATCTCTCAGTGCTATGTGAACTTACACTTCCATTGTCACCGAATTTCCCAATACAAAACATCACTAAGAGAAAGAGAAGTAAAAGAAAACCTCCCCTGTTCAGCCTTGCACACAGAGAGAAGATGAAGGCATCCACTTTCATGCTTCTGCTAGCAGTCATGCTTCTGGCCATCTCACACATCTGTGTGGTAGCAGAAGACAGAGAGCAACAAGTGAAGAAGACTTACATCATTCACATGGACAAGTCCCAAATGCCGGCAAGTTTTGAAGATGACCATTTCCAATGGTATGACTCATCTTTGAAATCAGTGTCGAATTCGGCAGACATGCTTTACACCTACAGAACCATAATTCATGGCTTCTCCACAAGGCTGACTGCTGAGGAAGCCGAGCTGCTTGAAAAGCAGCCAGGAATTCTCTCTGTTCTACCTGAAAGGAAATACGAGCTTCATACAACTCGGACGCCAGAGTTTCTTGGATTGGGGAAAAGCGAAGCCTTATTGCCAGCATCAGATAAAGTGAGTGAGGTGATTGTTGGAGTTGTAGACACCGGTGTGTGGCCCGAGCTCAAGAGCTACGATGACACGGGTCTTGCGGCAGTACCAAGTAGCTGGAAAGGGTCGTGTGAGGTGGGAACAAACTTCAGTTCCTCAAGCTGCAACCGGAAACTCATTGGTGCCAGATATTTCTCAAAGGGGTATGAAGCAGCACTTGGACCCATCGACGAAAAGACAGAATCAAAATCACCAAGAGATGATGATGGCCATGGAACTCACACCTCATCCACTGCAGCCGGGTCTGCAGTTCCAGGAGCTAGCCTCTTCAGCTACGCTTCAGGGACAGCACGAGGGATGGCTCCACAAGCTCGAGTAGCCACATATAAGGCGTGCTGGCTCGGTGGTTGTTTCGGTTCTGATATCACAGCAGCAATGGAGAAGGCTGTTGAAGATGGTGTCAACGTTTTATCTTTGTCTATTGGGGGATCACTGTCCGAATATTACAGAGACACTGTTGCCATCGGAGCTTTCTCTGCCGCAGCGCAGGGGATCCTTGTGTCATGTTCAGCTGGTAATGGTGGACCGGATTCTGGGAGCTTGTCCAATGTTGCGCCTTGGATAACCACAGTGGGTGCTGGAACATTGGACCGCGATTTCCCAGCTTTTGTTAGCCTCGGAAATGAAAAGAAATACAGAGGTATATCACTCTATAGGGGAACATCCTTATCTAGTGGATTACTTCCACTTGTATATGCTCGCAATGCAAGTACCTCCTCAAGTGGTGAGCTATGCAGTCCTGAAAGTTTGATACCTGCAAAGGTTGCCGGGAAAATTGTGGTATGTGATCGAGGGGGAAATCCTAGAGTCCAAAAGAGCTTGGTGGTCAAAAAGGCTGGTGGCTTAGGGATGATTTTGGCGAACACTGATAGTTACGGAGAAGAACTTGTTGCAGATGCATATCTCTTGCCTACAGCAGCAGTTGGCCAGAAAGCTGGTGATGCAATAAAAAGCTATATTGCCTCAGGTTCTAATCCAACAGCCACAATTGCTCTGGGAGACACAGAGTTAGATGTGCAACCCTCACCAGTGGTGGCATCATTCAGCTCTAGAGGACCAAATCTCATCACTCCAGAAATACTCAAACCAGACCTAATAGCACCAGGAGTGAACATCCTTGCTGGGTGGACTGGTGCAGTTGGACCAACTGGATTAGCTGAAGACAAAAGGCGGGTCACCTTCAACATCATTTCAGGTACATCCATGTCATGTCCACATGTGAGTGGTTTGGCCGCCCTCGTCATGGCAGCTCACCCAGAATGGAGCCCTGCTGCCATTAAGTCTGCGCTCATGACCACATCCTATACAACTTACAAAACTGGAGAAACAATCAAAGATATAGCAACTGGAAATGCTGCAACACCGTTCGATTATGGTGCTGGGCATGTGGACCCAGTGGCAGCCCTTGACCCTGGCCTTGTCTATGATGCTGCTGTCGAGGACTACCTAAGCTTCCTCTGTGCCTTGAATTATACCACAACCCAGATCAAGCTAACCACTCATAAAGACTTCACCTGCGATTCAAGCAAGAAATACAGCCTTAGAGATTTAAATTACCCATCTTTTGCTGTTCCTCTAGAAACAGCTTCAGGCAAAGGGGGTGGTTCTAGAGCTTCAACCACTGTAAAATACACACGGACGCTGACCAATGTGGGTACCCCGGCAACATACAAGGTATCAGTGTCTTCACAGACACCATCAGTGAAGATCACGGTTGAACCAGAATCACTGAGTTTCAGTCAAGCATACGAGAAGAAAACTTATACTGTGACTTTTGTTGCTAGTTCTTCACCATCCGGTACAACCAGCTTTGGTCGGCTGGAATGGTCTGATGGGAAACACACAGTAGGTAGTCCTATTGCTTTCAGCTGGGAATAATTTTAACAGCATTGAAGAACTGATCTAACTCCAGATCAGAATTGTATGGTTCCTGCCAAAAAAAAAAGAAAACCAAGTGTATATCTCTTAGTATGTTGTGATCTTGTCCTGTAGCTCTCTGGTATCCTAACAACTGAGCACATATAGCCAGTTGATGTGTTTCTTTCTTCCACTCTTGAAATTAAAAGGGAATGCAAAGATGGAAAATTAATTGTACAGGAAACTGTATAGACATGGGGCTTTGAAAAGGATTCCAAGTTGTATTCAAATATGATATATAAGTTATAACTAAAGCTAAGATGACCTTATCTTCATTTTCTTGGCCATTGAGGCCTTCTTTTCTCTTCTTCTTCTTCGGACCCAAAAAAAAACACAAGGACTCATGATTGCCATGAATTCATAATCTTTCATCAATGAGTTCAATAATTTGGCATGATTTGATATTGGAGCAAAGCCAGAACAGTACATTATACATAAGTTGCTCTAAAATACACATCACTTGATATCAGTCCAGCTAACTTACAATTATTATCACCAAAAGCACCGGTGGTTGCCTTTTCTTACCATCACCCAGAAGAAAGCTGTTATTTTGTTTCCATTTGTCCTCAAATACATAAAACCAAAACCTTAAGCAAACAAAATTAATCAAAGCTTACCACATATATACTAAAAGAAAGGAACTTGCAGTGATTCTTACCCCACTTGAAATCTTCATCACAAAAAAATGAATCTCAAAGGAGAATTAGTCTGAAATAGAAGGAGAAAGAGACAATATCTGATATGTATATCTTCAATGATATGTATTTCTTCAAACTAATCTGATTGATTGCTTAACAGCCACTTTGCAGGCAGACTGGGCTGGCGTTGTCAGAAACCCAGATGAATTTGCTTGTACATTTGGGCCCCATTTCACTAACGAGAAAAATAATAATAATAAAAAATTGAAACATATTCAAGCAAAGAATTAAATTAGAAAATTTGGCAAAAAGATGGTTCAAATGTCAAGAGGTTTAATTGAATTTATCCGAAGACTAATCATAACTATACTGAATAGTAAAAATTATGATAGTGAAAAAGAAAAATGGCATAATTGTAAAATGATATTTCGTATATATGTTCTCTTGCAATACAGAGGAAAGACAATATATAAAGCCAAAAAAACTACCCAAGGAAGGTAAATTAGATCCTAAGTTAAAGGCACGAATTTGTACAAGACTTAACAGAGAAACTGACTATATATTCAGTAATCTTCGAATATCGTCAATATATATAGTACGTAATTTTGATGTCACTTCTTCCATTCTTTATTCTGCTCATCATAAGCCAAAATTTTTGTTTTTGTTTTTTTAATAACAAGTGAGTTTATTACAAAACAACCAAGTCTTTATAAATAAAATAAAGGGAGTTTCACTAAAACACCCAAAATGGAGGTTGAAATTATAAAAATACCCAAGTACTATTTAAACATATAAACACACCCAAAACCCATCATTACACACACTCAAAACCCATTTATAAACACACCCAAAAGTTGAATTTGGAGTTGATTTTGGGTGTGTTTTCATGTTTAAATAGTACTTGTGTTTTTTTTATAAATACATGTCTAGGATTGGGTTTATTTATAAATTTGTATAAAATAAAACCCATCTTAAATTTATTTCTTCTTTTCTCTTGGGTGTTGGAGTTGGGTGAATTGGCCCACTTAAGCACTAAAGAAACGGGGCCTGGAAGCACTACAGGCCTATTTAAATTAGGAATCTTTGCGAAATTCTATAGTGAGGATGTCATATATAAAATCCTTATGCAGATCTTCATATTAGCCACAAGATCATTTCATTAAACTTAAGTGAGGTTACTATTCAGATAAATCATGTGGCTAATATGGAGGTTCACATTTATAGTCCATATATGACACCCTCACCATAGAACGACTCAGGAATCTCTGAGTGCCATGTGAGTTTTATTGGGTTCTGAGTGGTTTCATTTCATTTAGCATATCCTTCTTCTTTTTTTCTCTCGTTTACATGAAATGAGGATAACACTATTATGTTATCCTCAACCAATTATGGTATGTTATGCGTGATCACTTTTTCACGTGTTAGTTTGTGATTAACGGGAAATAGCAAAACAATGTTATTCCCGTTTCATACAAGTTTTTCTACTCGTATTAGGTGTTAGAGCTGGGTCAGTTGGGTCAGTTTAATGCGACCAAACCAATGATGCAGCTTATCCATATCGAGATCCAGTCATGAATGAATGAGACCACTAGCATTTTCATTCTATCCAATCCAACAAACAAAATCTGCTACAAAGACTCAACTCTGCTAAAGCTCAGACAGTGCCATATAACATGAATTCTAATCTCACGTGAGTTTCCAAAAGTGTAATTTTAAATAAGGAATCTCTCAGTGCCATGTGAGTTTTATAGGCGTCCGGGTCGTTTCATTGGCCCTCAACTACAGTTTGTATTTCTTTATTCCTCGGATACACAATTGGAGAAAATTTAAATAGCCAAGAACCATTCCATTCCATGAGAACCTATGAATGCCATTGGCACTGCAAATACTGCTTTTCCCAAAGTAGTAAGAGGAAAAATTCCCATATCGCAGCAAATTCAGAAGCTCGGGCTTGCAAGGATTGGGAAGATGAGAACACCCATTTGCATGCTTATGCTTCTGGTTCTCTCTCACATCGTGCGTGGTAGCAGAAGAGAGAGAGAGCAGCAGATGAAAAAGACCTACATCATTCTTATGGACAAGTCCAAAATGCCTGCAAGTTTTGGCGACGACCATTTCCAATGGTATGGCTCATCTTTGAAATCGCTGTCCAACTCAGCAGACATGCTCTACACCTAAAAAAATGCTGTCCACGGCTTCTCCTCAAGGCTAACTGCTGCGGACGCTGAGCTGCTTGAACAACAATTTGGAATTGTTTCTGTTATGCCTGAGTTGATATATGAGCTCCACACAACTCGGACGCCCCAGTTCCTCGGAATGTTAAGCAAAAATGAAGCTGTCTTCCCGGCATCAGAGAAACTCAGCAAGGTGGTTATTGGAGTGGTAGACAGCAGCGCATGGCCGAGATCAAAAGCTACGATGACAAAAGACTTGGGCCAGTGCCAAGAAGCTGGAGAGGGCAGTGTGAGGAAGGAAAGAACTTCAACTCCTCAAGCTGCAACTGAAAACTCATTGGTGCGAGGTTTTTCCCAAAAGGGTTTGAAGCATCAATTCTTGGACCCATTGATGAAAAAGTAGACTCAAGATTACCAAGAGATGTTAATGGCCATGGAACTCAAGCCTCAACCATTGCAGCCGGGTCTGCAGTTCCAGGAGGTAGCCTCTATGGTTATGGTTCAGGGACAGCAAGGGGAATGGCTACACAAGCTAGAGTGGCCACATATAAGGTTTGCTGGTCTGGTTGGTGCTTTAGCTCTGATATTCTAGCCACAATGGACAAAGCTGTTGAAGATGGTGTCCACATGTTATCTGTGTCTATTGGGAGATCGCAGTATGAGGGTTTCTACACGGACATTATTGCTATTGGAGCTTTCTCTGCCATGGCCAAAAGCTGTCAGCTGGAAATCGTGTTCAGCTGGAAATCGTGGGCCAGAAGCTGATACCTATCTAACAACGCACCTTGGATAACCACTGTGGGTGCTGGAACACTAGACTGCGATTTCCCAGCTTATGTTAACTTGGGAAATGGGAAAAAAAATACAGAGGAGCATCCATTTACAGCGGAACACCCTTATCTAGTGGATTGCATCCGCTTGTTTATGCTCGAAATGCAAGTAACTCCACAAGTGATCCATGCGCTCCTGACAGCTTGATTCCTGAAAAGGTTGTTGGAAAATTCTGGTGTGTGATCAGGGAGGAACTTACAGCAGGGCTGATAAGAGTATGGTGGTCAAAAAGGCCGGTGGCATGGGGATGATTTTGGCTGACATTGAAGGTTATGGAGAAGAACTTGTTGTCGACTCATATGTAGTAGTGGTTGGCCAAAACGCAGGTGATGCAATAAAAAGATATATTGTCTCCCACGGCAATCCAAAAGCCACATTTTCTGCTGGGTAGACAGAGTTGGGTGTCGAACCCTCACCGGTGGTGGCAACATTCAGCTCTCGAGGACCAAATCCAGTCGCTGGAACAGTACTCAAACCAGACCTAATAGCACCAGGAGTGAATATCCTAGCTGGGTGGACTGGTGCACTTGGACCAGCTAGACGAGCTGAGGACACCAGGAGGGTGAGCTTCAACATATTTTCAGGTACATCCATGTCATGCCAGCATGTGAGTGGACTGGCAGCACTTCTCAAGGCGGCTCACCCAAAATGGAGCCCTGCAGCCATTACGTCTGCTCTCATGACCACATCCTATGCAGCATACAAAAATGGTGCACCAATCAAAGATGTTGCTACTGGAAAACCTGCAACACCATTTGATTATGGTGCCGGGCATGTGGACCCAATGGCAGCCCTTGACCCAGGCCTTTTTTATGAACTTGGTGTCGAGGACTACCTAAGCTTCCTCTGTGCCTATCATTATACAACAAGAGATATCAAGATACTCACCCACATAGACTTCACCTGCGATTCAAGCAAGAATTACAGTGCTGGAGATTTAAATTATCCATCTTTTGCTGCTTCCCTATACACAAATTCAGGCAACGGGGGAGCAGGCACTGAAAAATACACAAGGACTCTCAACAATGTTGGTACCCCGGGAACATACAAGGTCTCTGTGTCAACACCATCACCAGCTGTGAAGATCTTGGTTGAACCAAAATCACTGAGTTTCACTCGAGCATATGAGAAGAAGACTTAACTATGACTTTTGTGGCCAGTGCTATGCCATCTGGTACAAACAACTTTGCTTGCTTGGAATGGTCTGATGGGAAACACATAGTGAGTAGTCCTATTGCTGTCAGATGGTCTTAACTTTAGAAACATTGTTGAACCTAATCCAAGTCCAGATGAGGGGAGGTATTGGCTCCTCTCTGATCCTTCGTTGCTGATAAGGTGCGTATAAATGCACTGAATCATGCAGCCTTGTGAAATTAAAATCCGTGGTTATGGGTTTTCTCTTAGTTTTAATTTTGTTTTAGTTATATCCCTGAACACATCAATTTTGTATTTTCTGGAAAGATATGTTGAGAATTTGGTTTTGGATATCACCAGACTGAGGGAAAAGAAAAAAAAAGGAACCTATCACACAATCTTAACAAGTAAAATATATATAAGGAAAATGATATCCTTGTTCTACCATGATTAGTTTCATATCAAAATTCAGAGGTAAAAGCCAGATACAAAATACATGCAAACATGAAGGAAATACAAAGTCCACCACAGTTGTATCATAATTTAGTGATATTTTAATTTAAATGACAGTCCTGTGGAAAAACAAAACACCTCCATCTTTAGAGACCAAAGCAATACACAAAACCCGCTTCAGACTTCACTTTCTATTCCAATTTCTCAGAAACCAAACGGGATAGTCTAAAAAGCAAAGCATAACATACGTACATACATTCTAATATGTAACTACGAATACACATCTATGAGAGTGTCTCGATCTTGAAATAAAAATAAAAAAACACATTGAATCGGGAAAATTTCAGAAAATGAAAAGTGAAAGTTTTTGAAAAAAAAAGAGAGGGAACTTACATTGACGTTCCGTGGAGATGGAGATGGATCGCGTCGATCAGAGAAAACCCTAGCCTTAGCTTGATCCACGCAGAGAGGGAAAGTTCATAGTGTAGGAATCGAAGCAAAACCCAAATCCTAAGATTGATTTTTGGGTTTCTTGAGCGCTAATTTGTATTCGAATGCATTTAAAACGCATAGCCGGGCGGCTATACCATTTAAATATTAAAAAATATTAAAACCGTATAGCCGCACGGCTATAATATTTGAATATTAAAATAAATTTAAAGTGTATAGCCGGGCGGCTGTACTCGTTAAATATTAAAATATATTAAAACAGTATCCCGCGCGGCTATACCGTTTAAATATTAAAATAAATTTAAAGACTACAGCCGTTCGGCTATACTGTGTAAATGTTAAAATAAATTTACAGAGTACAGCCTGTCGGCTATACTCGTTGAATATTAAAATAATAGTATAGCCGTACGGCTAGACTATTTAAATATCACATCCTATTTAAAGAGTATAGCCGGCAGCTATACATGTTAACATTAAAATATAGGGAGTTTCACTAAAACACCCAAAATGGGGGCTGCAATTATAAAAAAACCCAACACCCAAAACACTTTATAAACACACCCAAAACCCATCATTACACACACTCAAAACTCATTTATAAACACACCCAAAAAATATACAATTGTTGATTTTGGGTGTGTTTCTATGTTTAAATAATGCTTGGGTTTTTTTATAAATACATGTCTAGGATTGGGTTTATTTATAAATTTGTATAAAATATATTTAAATAGTATAGCCGAACGGCTATACTGTTTATATTTCCTTCTACAGAGGCTGAGCCCCGAGCACAACGGTAGCACCTTATATGACTCGTATGAGCTCCGAGCTCTGATTCACCAACTTAACAAAGCCATTCATGCTTCAATTCACCCTTCTACACACAAGGCTTGAGTCGAATTTCCAAAGAAAGTGTCAAGACACCCAAGAGAATATTTCTGAAAGAAAGAAAAGGAAGATACAATCAAAACTTTGATTACTAATCTAAGCAGCAAGCAGCAAGAGGAAACTTCTAAGTCAGCCTCAGCGCCATTTCTTAAAGAAGAGCTCCTTCTGCTCAGCACTTATTACATGGTTGGTCTCGGCATTCTCAAGAACATCAGAGATAATGGCAGCTGCATGACCTAGTGGCTCAACCACATGAGACAATATGACAAAGTAGAGAAAGGTTTATCTATAAACTGAATGTCGTTGGAAGAGAACCTATAGGAACAAGCGCAAGTAAAGCCTAAATTTCATGAAACTAATCAACACCCTTTTGTCCAGAGAGAGAGAGACACCTGGCAATGATGGGATATAGCCAATGTACATAGTTGCTGAAACCAAAGATCCCCATCAACCTGAACAGGGAATGCAGCAGAGAGCTGTATCTTAATTGACAGCCCCTGTGCCAGCCTCTGAGTCCAGACAAATGTTTTTTTTTCTTACAGAAGAAATCTAATTACCAGTAACAGTAAGTGGAATACGTGGGAAAAATATGCTATTACTGAAGTTGCAAGTCTCGCAACTTTCGTAACTAATACATTCATCAATACTTTATCAAACATGTCACATATGAATGATTCCGAAGTGCAATCTCAATCACAAATTAGAAAAAAGGCTTACATTACATAACATAATGATTTTTGTTCAAATTGAAAACTATGTTTTATAGTTCCCAAAATTAGAATAAAGTCATGGGTTTTGTTTCTGGTTTTTCTTTTCTGAAATCCGACATGGGTTGTGGCAGATTTTGGTGATTTGGATTGTGATATGGGTTTGTGGATAGTCCTCAAACGGTTAAATGTCCTAATATTAGGTTAATGAAAGAGAAATTGACTTATCGAAAAATTTAGTGCGATTAACAAAAGAGCCCACTACCATTCCAAACTTATGCGTACCAAGCCTAATATATAGTGTGTAATTTTGATGCATTCTTTATTCTTCTCATCATAAGTGAGAGTTTTTGTTTTTGTTTTCTAATAACAAGTGAGAGTTTATTACAAAGCAAACAAGTCTATATAAATAAAATAAAACCCATCTTAAATTATTCTTTTCTCTTGGGTGTTAAGAGAAGAGTTGAATTGGCCCACTTAATGCGACAAAATTATGCAGCTTATCCATATAATCCAGTCATGAATGGGATGGGAGCACTAGCAGCATATTCATTCTAATTTATATCCAAAAAAAACTCGGCTAGAGCACAAATAGTGCCGTATGTATGATATGCTGCGGAAATAATATTATATTTCGAATGCAAACTGAGTTTTAAATAAGGAATCTCTGACTCTGAGTGCCCCGCGTGGTTCCCCTAATTTCATTTAGCATATCCTTGTTTCTTCTTTTTTCTCTTGTCTGGGGTGTTAGAGTTGGGTCAGTCTAATGCTGCATTGCATTATCCATATCATGATCCAGTCATGAATGATGCAATGCAGCATTGGCATTTTCATTCTATCCAATCCAAGTTCCAACAAAAACAATGTGATACGAATTCCAATCTCACGTGAGTTCCAGCAGTGACATGCCACGTGAGTGTTTATTGGCCCTCAACTACAATTTGTATTTCTTTATTATTCCTCGGAGAAGAAAATTTAAATAGCCGAGTACCATTCCATTCCATGCGAACCTATCAATGCCATTGGCACTGTAAATACTGCCAGGCTAACTGCTGAGGAAGCTGAGCTGCTTGAAAAACAATCCGGAATTCTTTCTGTTATGCCTGAGTTGAGATATGAGCTCCACACAACTCGGACGCCCCAGTTCCTTGGAATGTTAGGCGGCATAAACGAAGCCGTCTTCCCGGCATCAGAGAAACTGAGCAAGGTGATTATTGGAGTGGTAGACACCGGCGTATGGCCCGAGATCAAAAGCTACGATGACAAAGGGCTTGGGCCAGTGCCAAGAAGCTGGAGAGGGCAGTGTGAGGAAGGCAAGAACTTCAACTCCTCAAGTTGCAACCGAAAACTCATTGGTGCGAGGTTTTTCCCAAAAGGGTTTGAAGCATCAATTCTTGGACCCATTGATGAAAAAGTAGAATCAAGATCACCAAGAGATGTTGATGGCCATGGAACTCACGCCTCAACCATTGCAGCCGGATCTGCAGTTCCAGGAGCTAGCCTATTTGGTTACGCTTCAGGGACAGCAAGGGGGATTGCTACACAAGCTAGAGTGGCCACATATATAAGGCTTGCTGGTCTGGTTGGTGCTTGAGCTCTGATATCCTAGCCGCAATGGACAAAGCTGTTGAAGATGGTGTCCACATTTTATCTGTGTCTATTGGGAGATCGCAGTATGAGGATTTATACACCGACTTTATTGCTATTGGAGCTTTCTCTGCCATGGCCAAGGGAGTCTTTGTATCGTGTTCAGCTGGGAGTCGCGGCCCAGAATCGGATAGTACATCCAATAATGCACCTTGGATAACCACCGTGGGTGCTGGAACACTAGACCGTGATTTCCCAGCATATGTTAGCTTGGGAAATGGGAAAAAATACAGAGGAGCATCAATTTACAGCGGAACACCCTTATCTAGTGGATTGCATCCACTTGTTTACGCTCGCAATGCAAGTAACTCTACAAGTGATCAATGCGCTCCTGACAGCTTGATTCCTGAAAAAGTTGTTGGGAAAATTGTGGTGTGTGATCAGGGAGGAACTAACAGGCTCGATAAGAGTATGGTGGTAAAAAAGGCCGGTGGCATGGGGATGATTTTGGCTGACACTGAAGGTTATGATGAAGAACAACTTGTTGTCGACTCATATGTCTTGCCTGTAGTCGTGGTTGGCCAAAAAGCCGGTGATGCAATAAAAAGATATATTGCCTCCCACGACAATCCAAAAGCCACATTTTCTGCCGGGAAGACAGAGTTGGGTGTCGAACCCTCACCGGTGGTGGCAGCATTCTCTTGTCTGGGGTACTCCAGCAACATACAAGGTCTCAGTTCCTACACAGACACCTTCAGTGAAGATCTTGGTTGAACCAAAATCGCTGAGTTTCACTCGACCATATGAGAAGAAGACTTATACCGTGACTTTTGTGGCCAGTCCTATGACATCTCGTACAAATAGCTTCGGTCGCTTGGAATGGTCTGATGGCAAACACATAGTGAGTAGTCCTATTGCCATCTTCTGGTATTAACTTTAGTAGCATTGTCGCGTCATCGAACCTAATTTAACTCCAGATCCGGGGAGAAAGCGGCTCCTCTGCTGATCCTCTATGTCTATGTGGCTGCTGTTTTCTTCAGTTTTTTCTTGTCTTAGCTGCCTCCAATAACACATCAATTTTGTGTGTGAGTGTTTTTTCTTTTCTTTTTTTCTGGAAAACACATGTCCAGAATTTTGTTTTGCCTATTTTTCATTGTTGCGGTCATGTTCTACCCTGTTGCGCCATTGTTGGATTCACTTTAACATTCTGGTACACACAAAATATAGCAACAAAACAATCACCTCTTCACCACTAATTACCATCAATCTCATTCATCTCCCAGAAGAACAGACACACTAAATTTTCCAATAACGGAACCATCTCCTTCAGAGATACACTAAATTTCTCAGGCATTGATCTTACAACCAACGGGAGAGGGGTGCCACTTAGTGAATAATTGCCCGAATATATAAAACTAAAATCCCAGGAAACAAGAACAATTAAGTTTACCCCAGACTTGAGAGAAAAAAATAATAGGAGGAGGAATAGTCAGGAATTCTTACCACACTTGAATCCTCACAAATATGAACCCCAAAAGGGAATTAGACTGAATTAGCAGGTGAAAAATGGCATTCAGGTTCACAGGATTCAGGACTGGGCAATAGATGTGGTGTCTTTCATAGCAATTATATTTTACTTAGTACTGTACAATATCACCAAATATTATTATATTAAAAGAGAAGATTTCAATACATTTTCAAAATGGGATCATCCAGTGTCTCAGCTGAAGATGATAAACTCTTTAACAAAGCTATTTCAACACTATGTGGAGGGAGAACCCCAAATTCTGGAGATGCCATGTGAGTTTCAAATATTATTTAAATAGGGGATCGATCTCTTAGTGCCATGCCATGTGAGTTCTATTGATCGATCTCTCAGTGTTGGAATTTTTTTATAGACAAAATCGTATTTTGTCAACACGTCTGATTTTATTTCCTTCCTTCTTCTTGTGAAACTTCTGGGTTTATTTCATTGGCACTCAAGTGCAGAATATTTAACTAGCCACGGTAGCCATGTTAAGTGAGTTTAAATTCCATTAGCATTTAATTCCCATCCTTTATTATCGCTTGAATTTATTTTATTTTTTATATAGATAATTTGGCACTGGCATTGCAATAATTCTGCATTTCCCATATAAGCAAAAGGAAATGAAGCTCAAGCTTGCTAAAAGTGAGAAGATGAAGATACCCATTTGCATGCTTCCACTAACGCTTATGCTTCTGGCTCTCTCTCACATCTCGTGCGTGGTAGCAGAAGAGAGAGAGCAGCAGATGAAAAAGACCTACATCATTCGCATGGACAAGTCCAAAATGCCTGCGAGTTTTGGTGACGACCATTTCCAATGGTATGGCTCATCTTTGAAATCGGTGTCCAAGTCAGCAGACGTGCTCTACACCTACAGAACCATAATTCACGGCTTCTCCACAAGGCTAACTGCTGAGGAAGCTGAGCTGCTTGAAAAACAATCAGGGATTGTTTCTGTTTTACCTGAGTTAAGATATGAACTTCACACAACTCGGACACCCGAGTTCCTTGGAATAACCTTTGCCAGAAACGAGGCCATCTTCCCAACATCAGATAAAATAAGTAGGGTGGTTATTGGCTTAATCGACACCGGTGTCTGGCCTGAGATCAAGAGCTACGATGATAAAGGTCTTGGGCCAGTGCCAAAGAGCTGGAAAGGGAAGTGCGAGGAAGGACCAAACTTCAACTCATCAAGTTGCAATAGAAAGCTAGTTGGTGCGAGATTTTTCCCAAAAGGATATGAAGCATCAATGGGTCAACCCATTGATGAAAGAGTAGAATCAAGATCACCAAGAGATGATAGTGGCCATGGAACTCACACCTCGACCACTGCAGCCGGGTCTGCAGTCCCGGGAGCTAGCCTATTTGGTTATGCTTCGGGGACAGCAAGGGGGATGGCTACACAAGCTCGAGTAGCCACATACAAGGCCTGCTGGTTTGGTGGGTGTTACTCCTCTGATATTATAGCCGCAATGGACAAGGCTGTTGAAGATGGCGTCAACATTTTATCTTTGTCCATAGGGGGTACACGGTACCATAATTATTACACAGACGCTATGGCCATTGGAGCTTTCTCTGCTGTGGCCAAGGGAATCTTCGTGTCAGGGTCAGCCGGAAATGGGGGGGCCAGCTAAGGGGAGCTTGTCCCACAATGCACCTTGGATAACCACCGTGGGTGCTGGAACACTAGACCGCGATTTCCCAGCTTCTGTTAGCCTCGGAAATAGAAAAAAATGTAGAGGTATATCAATCTATGCCGGACCATCACTATCTAGTGGATTACTTCCACTTGTTTATGCTGGTAATGCAAGTAACTCCATAGATGGTGATGTATGCAGTCTTGACAGTTTGATTCCTGGAAAGGTTGCTGGGAAAATTGTGGTATGTGATAGAGGGATAACCTATGATGCTGAGAAGAGTGCAGTGGTAAAAAAGGCTGGTGGTGTAGGGATGATTTTGGCAAATACTAAAGCTTCTGGAGAAGAGGTTGTTGCCGACTCATATCTATTGCCTACAGTAGTTGTTGGCCAGAAAGCCGGTGATGCAATAAAACGATATATTGCCTCCCATGATAATCCAAAAGCCACATTTGATTTTGGGGAAAACGCAATTAGGTGTGGAGCCCTCACCAGTGGTGGCAGCATTCAGCTCTAGAGGACCAAATCCAATCTCTCCAACCGTACTCAAACCGGACCTAATAGCACCAGGAGTGAATATCCTAGCTGGGTGGTCTGGTGCAGTTCCACCATCTGGATTTTATGAAGACACCAGGAGGGTGAGCTTCAACATCATTTCAGGGACATCCATGTCATGCCCACATGTGAGTGGGCTAGCTGCCCTTCTCAAGGCGGCTCACCCAAAATGGAGCCCTGCAGCCGTTAAGTCTGCTCTCATGACCACATCCTATACCACATACAAAAATGGAAAACCACTCAAAGACATTGCTACCAGAAATGCTGCAACACCATTCGATTACGGTGCTGGGCATGTGGACCCAGTGGCAGCCCTTGACCCAGGCCTTGTTTATGATCTTGGTGTCGAGGACTACCTAAGCTTCCTTTGTGCCTTGAATTATACAAGAAGAGATATCAAGATACTCACCCACATAGACTTCACCTGTGATTCAAGCAAGAATTACAGGGCTGGAGATCTAAATTATCCATCTTTTGCTGTTTCTCTAAACACAAGTTCAGGCAACAGGGGAGCAGGCACTAAAATATACACAAGGACTCTCACCAATGTGGGTACCCCAGGAACATACAAGGTATCTGTTTCTACACTATCACCATCAGTGAAGATCTGGGTTGAACCAAAATCACTGAGTTTCGCTCGAGCATATGAGAAGAAGATGTATACTGTAACCTTTGTAACCAGTGCTATGCCATCTGGTACAAAAAGCTTTGCTCGCTTGGAATGGTATGATGGGAAACATATAGTGAGTAGTCCTATTGCTATCAGCTGGTTTTAATTTTAGTAACATTGTTGAACCTAATCTAACTCCAGATCAGAGGATGTAGTAGCTCCTCTGCTGATCCGTGGTTGCTGATAAGGTGCTTAGAAATGCACTGAATCATGCAGCCTGGTGAAATAAAAATCTGCAGTGGTGGGTTCTCTTTTCAGTTTATTTTTGCTTCAGTTGTATCGCTTAATACATCAATTTTTTCTTCCCTGGAAAGATATGCTGAGAATTTTGTTTTGGATATCACCAGAGACTGAGGGAAAATTTATTTATTAAATAAAAATAAATAAATAAACTAACTAGTCACACAATCTTGCCACAATTGAAGCTTTGGAAGAGGTAAATCTGCCAAATGTTTATGGTAATAGCCAATAGCTTCTAACCTCATTTAGGCTAAACTCTCCAACAAAGCAATTTTCAATCACCAAAAAAGGCAAACCTTGTTGATATGGAGGATGTTTCCAAATACAATCTCCCTGGGTAAACAGTAGCTACTATAAGCCGCATGGTTACCCAGAACATAGACGAGAAACTCATCCATTATACTGGTCTTTTGCATTCCTTACAGGTAATCAGCTATCATGGCATCCATCTAGCACTTTTGGGGAAGGGTGGATTCGAGAGACTTACGATAACGTTGTATAACTATAAAATCATAGAGCAGTCTACAATGCAAGCATCACAAAATCGATCAAAATGAAATACCTTGAAGTTACAATAAGTTTAAAAAGTAAAATAAAACAAACTCAAAAATGTCATTCTAAATCGTCTACGGACTGACAAACAGGAAGGTAATAAGTATCAAGCTGCCAATACTTTTGTTTAACACCTTCCCAAACTTGTTCTCCTAAACAGTCCTTAACAGGCAATGGAATGAACTGTGTAGAGTAACCCAAATTCTGAAGCTCTAGTGAAACCAAGTGACAGTATACAACATGGAAGAATGCATTACCTCCACAAAGGCCATTGAAGAATGAGTAGATTCCCCCAGGCTTCAACAACACAGGAAGATGCTGGTGGAACTCTCTCAAGTCTTCATAGTACTCTCCATAGGTGTCAAAGAAAATCCCTGAACAACAAACGAAAAACCCCAAAAATTTCAAATATTGTGACTGGAAAATTCAAAAAATTGAAGGCTTCGAAGCTTAAACAGCAATTTGAATTGGTCCATTTCAATTTCACTTACCATCATAAGATTGAAGTTGAGGTAGCACATCCTGCCAGCGCCCAAATATTATGTTCACATTGTCCTTCTGAGCCCAACCGGTTCGAACCATGCGCTCGTAAACCTCCGGGTGAGCTTCAACAATGGTGTGCGAAGCAGGGGAGTATTGCTGGATGGCCGTGTCCACGAGGCCCATCCCAAATCCAATGTTCAGTACATGCCCACCCCCTGAGCAAACAGCTTTCGCGTGTGCCTCCATTAATGGCTTCTCCCAAGCCATCATCACCGCCTTACTGTCTGAGTCCATCAGCTTGTCCTCGCTGAAGCTCACCCTGTCTTCCAAGTAATCTCCATTGCCATCCCCCTTCTTATTCTCTTTCCTCGCAATCGTTCCCAGTACCAATTCAGCTTGAATCCCTAATTAGCTCAAATTAATCAAACACTTATCATTTTTCATTCATACAACTCAAAATTAGAACAACTTAGAGTAAATTTCTAGTTTCTATGTTAAGCACGTACCGGCATTGAGGAGGATGTCGTAGGTATTTTCGTGGCCTGCGTCCATGGCGAAATCGCCGGCGGAGAGACTGGAAGGAGATAGGGCGTTCCATGGCGCGCCAGCTTCTAGAAGAGTCTTGACGGCATCTCCGTGGCCCAGCTTGGCCGCGTGCATCAGCGGGGTAAGGCCGTCGCCGTCGAAGTACGAAACGTCAGCTCCGGTTTCGATTAAAGTTTTCAGCTTTTCGGCGTCGCCGTTCCTCGCCGCCTCGCATAGTTGCTCGCCTTCCGCCATGTCTGTCTCAGTGTGCAGTGTCTGTCAAACCCTGGTCAAGGTTTATTAACGAAGGATAAATTGGACTTACCCCCACTAAGCTTTCTAAATATATGATTTCTTCCCATTATAGCTATTCTATTTATATATTGACCACGTTATTTATTTATTTATTTTTGTGATTATCTATTAACTACTTTCTAATGTTCTAAAAAAAATACACATTAAGGGCCAGTTTGACATTGTTGTGCTGTGAAAATAATCGCTGTCAGATTTGCTGTAAGAGAAAGTAGTTTGGCGTTTGGTAAAATTTTTGTTAAAAGTGTTGTTGGTATTGATTTTACGCATAATCAGAAATGATTGTCGCATAATCATTAAACTCAGTGCATCTTCGAAACTGATTTCTGCATAATCAAAAAATGAAAGCACCTCATTAGCTGCTTTCCCTTATAGCTTTATCTCACAGCAATTTTTAACAATACGTGATTTTCTCACAGTTTACCAAACGGGTTGGGCTTCTCAAAATTTTTTTAAAATTACTTATCACTCCAAATAAGCAATGCCAAACTGGCACTAACAATTATCTTATCCAAGACACGAGAAAAACTTAATTGCAACAGGGATAACATTGTTTTACTATTCTTAACCAATAATGCAATACCACATAGAAGTATTATCATACGTGTCATAGTGTTATTAGTTGAAAATAACAAAATAGTGATATCACCGTTTCATAGAAGTCTCTCTCAATACATGCACAACTGCAAGGAAATTAGTGTAGGGGCTTTTTCATTCCTGCAACTACTACAGGTTTGGGCTGCCGTAAATAGCAAAAATGGATGAAATTGCCCTTTGAGCTTGAGTTCGAAGATCAAGCCCCAAGAATGCTTTTTGAAAGGATAGTAAAGCTTTAGGAAACACCTTGGTTACCTTCACCAATGAAAATAACAACAACTTACATATAAATTTTCTAGCTTTGCATGAGAAGCTTGTGGCATGGGAGCAAAATTGTCATGAGTTTAGTACTGAAGAGAAAACTAAGTGTTCCTAGGGGAAAGATGGGGTATAAAGGTCGGAGAGAAATGATTTTGCAGAGAGGTTTGGTTGAGCATGAGGAAAAAAAGAGAAAAATGTGGCTTGAGTGTTTTTTCAGCAGCTTGACAAAGACTCTGTCAAGTGTCAGAACAGCTTGACAGAGACTCTGTCAAGTGTCAGAACAGCTTGTCATGAGGGAAAACTGAGGGAAATGGATGGGCTGAACACGAAATTGCTGGGTTTTGGGAGTAATAGAGGAAGCTTGTTTTCTGAATGTGGTTGTTTCTTGTTGGGCAGAAGATGCCCCTTTTTATAGCCGCTGGAAGCTGACATTTTCCAAGAAACCCTAATGGTTTCTATCCAATTTGGCCAAGTCTTTTCATTCCTTTCTCCCCTCATCTCTTCAATCATCCTATTTTGGTGAAATCCACTCTGTCCATTTGCACAAAATCATGGATTTTTTGGAGCTCAAGGCCCCTTTCCTGCAGCTGCTTTAGAACTCCCATTTTTTGCCATCTCTTTCCCTTCTTTTCTTCCTTCTTCCATGGCCAGGTCTGATGAGGGAAAGAATTGCGTATGTATGCTGATTCGAAGGGTGCCTCTCCTCCTGGCAGCTTGCGCGCTAATATCCCTTGGTTCTTTGGATGTTTTGTGCTTGGAACTTGTTCCTTCTCATGTGTTGGAGCCTTCTAGCAGCTCTGCATATGTGGACATCTTGCTCCCTTCGTGGCTTCTGTTTTTTCAGGAAGGGGCTATGGCTTTTGCTGCTTCTCATTTCTAATTGTATGGACTTTTTAAAATGGCAAGTCATCCTACCAAACAAATGGGCTGATCCCATCAAGTTTTGGGCCATATTGGTTAAGTTTAATGGACTATCTTGGTTGGGCTATTTTCATTGGGTTATTTTGGTTGAGATATTTTCCCTTTTTGTGCTCACCCACATGTTTGGGCCTAAGAAATGGGCTTAGGTTCCGAGACTCCCAAGCAACCCGAAACCTTCATTTCTCAGCCCATCAATGGGTCTCATGACAACTTATTACCATTCATACCACAACCTACTCAAGTAAGCCCCGGCATCTTGCGTGGCTTGGGCCAACTTAAGCTTGTAGCGTGGCGTGTTGCTTATTTTCTTGGCGTGGCTTGTGTGCAAGCGCATATGACGAACTTTCGTGTGCCCAAATCGGGTTTCTTCTCGGTAAGGTATTTCATTGGGCCGAACCGTGAATTTTTTGGACCTCAACAATTAGTAGCTAAAAGATTTCCTTTTTTGGCAGTGGTTGACCATTGTCAAATAAATCAAATTTTTACTTTTCAGATGCAATTCACAAAGTGTAATATTAACAAATAAAAGACACATTATAATGTATTGATGACAAGTGTGATGATTACATTAAAAAATTTATCAAAACACACAAAATCCATTGCAATAGAATGGAATGGAGACAATTCAGTTAGCTATAATATTAGGTCACTAAATTTGATCCTTAAAACATGTGTGGATCTATTACTTAGTAAAAAATGAAGTTTCAATTTAAACTAAAAATTAGATTGAAAAATGCCATCTTATAAAGTAAATAAAACAACATTAAATATTAAAAATGTATTCATTATAAAGCAGCCTTTATTCATCAAAAAACATGCGCACAAATAGTTCCAAAGAAGTCAAGAAGATTGTTGGCAACAAAAGGAAAAAGCCAAGAAAAATACTTAAATCAATAATCATAATCATCATGCTTAATTTAAAGCCTTCGAGAGAGTTGCCAATGTCATAATCATAATTCCAAGGCTATTATAGTCAATGGACCACAATAACTCACGCGGTGGGGGATCAGTGTCACCATCTCAATCGACCAACTTTGACTGCGCTCCAAACTCGTATGTCACCCATTGACGGTGGAAACGACGTCGTTTAGGAACTCACTTATTCGCGGAGTTTCCAAAAAAAACAAATAAAGCTTTAAAACGTTAGTTTTATATTCGCACCAATTTTAAGCTTCTCTCTCTCTCTCTCTCTCTCCCCAACCTTCTTTTTCCTGGAATTGCAGTTGCTTCGTTGAAATAACGGAATCTCTCCTCAACCCATTGATCTTTTTAACGTCTTTATCTATTTTGCATTTGTATTTTCTTCCACTGTCAATGTTGTGCTCAAGTTCATCTGAAAATTGAACGTGTTTTGAGCTAGGGTTCATTTCTTGTCTGAAACAAAACAGGATTGTTGTTAATTTGTGAGTATATTCAACTTTACGAATCGTGGGGGTGATTTATTAATGGCGTCAAGTTTTGATCGGTGGGAGAAAGATCCATTTTTCTCGGCGGCCGAGGAAGTTCAAGAATCCGCAGACAGGTAGCATTTCTAATTGCTTCTCTAGGGCTTCATTTTTAATCTTTTCATTTTCCCAATAAATTTTGAACTTTTCTTGGTTTTATTGCAACCTTGGTTTACATCTTGGATTTGGTAGCTTCCAGCTAATTTAAATTAACTTCCAACGTTAGGAAGCTTTCAGCACATTCGTTTTTTGCCCCAATTAATCCAAAATTTTCCGAATATTATGTTCATATTCTTCTCTTTTTTCCCTGCATTTCCTCAGCATTTGCAATTTGTGCAAGTTCTCATTGAGTTAATGGTGTTTATCTGCAATCTGTTTGCTGGGAAAGACGAAATTAGGGTTTTTCTTTCTGCACTTATTTTTCGCGATGAAAGGCGCATTGAATGCTGGGAATGATATTCAGTTTGGTTTTGGTTGCTGTCATTGATTTGTTAATTTAATGTTTATGTGGTTGTGAAGGATGGAATCTACATATAGAACATGGATTCATGCCAAGAAAGACACTTCCAGTATGTGGGATCCCGAGGAACTTCACAGGGATCTCCGTACAACCCTTGGAACTACCAAATGGCAGGTCCTCTTCTCTCTCTCTCTCTTGGCTATTGGTGTGGACATTTTGGCAGAGCATTAATTGGTGTTATGCCGATATTAGTCTAGTGAATAATTGATTAAAATCTGTGTTGGCAATGCAGTTGGAGGAGTTTGCGCGAGCTGTCAGGTCAAGTTATGCTAGAAGCTCATGTGAAGATGCAAGAGACAGGCACCATGAATTCATTGTTGCCATTGAGGACCAGATTTCCAAAATTGAAATCTCATTACGGGAAGTTGCCCTTTCTGAAGGCAAGGCTTCTCAACCTTGGGTGCGTTTGGATGAAGGGGAGTGCAATGAGCTTGCATTTTTTCTTTCCGGACCATCTGCATCTAAAGAGAGGGTTATTGCTTTGAGTAACGACAGGGATAGTGAAAACCTACGAGGGACAGATAAAGAATCGGCACCAGGTTGTTCGAAGAATTCATGTGGTTCAGCCGAGTATGGTTCCCAGAAGACTAGGGAGGAGAAGCCACACGGGCATAGGAGGACAGCTAGTGCTAGTGCTGACATTGGTGTTTGGAAGATTGCAGTTTTTGACGATGCATACTTACCAAGTTCTTCTGCGATGATGGTTGAGCAACCTGTACGAAAGATTCCCAGTTTCTCTGGGTTTATTAGTTCCATGGAAACCGCATCAAAGTTGAAGTGGTCAAAGAATGGTTTTAGGAAGTGGAAGGCAGTGGACCGTCATGAAGATGCTGATGCTGCATTGTTGCCATCTTCTCAGTTGTCTAGGGTATGCATGCTTTAGTCCTTTGATTTAATTTACTACTGGAACTTTATATTTATTGGTGTTGTGTTACTAATGATTAAAATTCTGGTTTTCCATTTAGGGCATCAATGCTTGTTATGAAAAAAGTAAGAGTTGTTTGGATAGTTGCGACGACTGTTATGATAAACCATTGTATGGCTGGTACGGAGCTATTCAGAGACAACTTCAAAGGTCTCAGTACTACGTGCAATATAGTTGGCCTGCCCGTGTAGCTTTTTGGATTGCTCTTGTTTGCTTGATTGGTAAGCTTCTCTGAACCCTGTGAGGTTTGTTTGCTAATTCATATATTAAGTGCATATTCTTAATAATTTTGATGTGAAACACAACAGAATCTTTCTTTTCTGTCATTTCCCTTTAAGTAACTGATATCTTTGTATTCATGAGTTTGTTCTTCTCGTTCCTTGCAGTTTTAATTGCATTGCGTGCTATCTGAGCCGTGCCCTTGTCCACAGTTTTTAGTACCTCATGACAGCCCGAGGGGAAAGCCAAGCTGTCAATTGTTGAACATAGAGGTGGAATATTGTGTTCAAAAGATTACAATATTATTTTCACACATTGTTGAAGCGTCTAGCGGTGAACACAACCTACAACCTTCAGAGAATTTCCCTTTTGTTTTGTTTTTCAATTTCGACATCCTTGAAGGAGGGTAAATTCTGTTGTATTATAGAACAAAAATTTCAGATAAGCTGGAACGGGGTTGTAAGCTGGAAGAAATAGCTAATGCATCCTGTAATATAATTTTATTTTATTTTTTAAATTTTAATGTACTGGTACTATTTGTGTAGTATATAAAAATTTAGATTTCTTATCCTTGCTTTTCAATCTGACTAACAAACAGTTGTGGAAGGTAGCAAAAATATTCTGCCTATGTATTTGAGACGGTAAATAAATTTTCATTTCGATCCTCAATGGTTGTACAAATTCTCTCGAAATATATTCTAGAAACTCGAATGAAGGAAGGACCACATACATCAAAACAATCTCCACCTTTTTCTACACTGCATACATCCGAAATGCTTTAAATACACACAAGTTTATTGTTTTGGACCATATTGTGCTGAAACTCAAAGCTACCGCGAAGCACGATTGTCCTGGTTGTTTTTCTGTAAAGCAAAACCATCATGATCCTTCTTGCCGAAGTCTAGGCCCTGGAATGTGACCCCAGATGAATGATACTGACTACCAAAGGCGATGCCAAATCCCCATCCAAGACCTAGACCAACCCCACAACCTCCACCTTAGAAAACAAAATGCTACGTTAATGATATACGCACCATGGTGTACTTGAATGCATTCCGAAAACATAAACTAGAAATTCCAGTTGGACTAAAAGGGAAAGGGTATACCTACACCAAGGCCCAAGAAATTCAACGGTGTGCCTGTAGCAAAAACAAAATTGTAAATTAGCAAACAAGGGCTATATACATTGAAGCAGGACGAATAACAAAGGTATTAAGAAAATAAGTTTATATGCACAAGCACAAGAATTACTTAATGTGATAATCCAGTGTCCCAACAAATAATATGTATAGTAATAGCATAAGTTAATTGATGCTTAAATGCAGCCTCAATCTTTGAGAAACTTAAACCAGTTCAACACTTTCCATTGAATATGACAAAGTAATTAGTGAAGCAATTATTTGGTCCAAACGCATGACAGCATTCACAAGAAACCTAAATTTTGGCCAAGCAGGAAAACCATGGCATTTTTGCACTGGTGGGGCAAAGAAAGAAAAATATAGGGGGGTGGTGGTTGGGGTGGGGGCGGAGCGGGAGATCTTGTTTCCAGTTGCAAAAAACATGTCTAAGCACACCAAACTCTTCCGGCATACCCTCCTGGTACACATACATTAAGTTGTAAGTTGCAACCAAGCATTAATATATAAAAATGATGAGAAGGGACGCACAATGCGCCATCAGTTGATCATCTAACTACTTTTGAGGTTCCTAAACAGGGTTAGCCTGTCTTCAATTGAGATATTGACACTGTTGAACTTTCTAACTCTGGTCCAACAAGAATAACCGATTCCTATTATTCCTTTAAGTAGGGGATGAACCTAAGGAAAGATGGGATCATATGACCCAGGCATATCACAACTTTCCATTCCTTAAAGATAGGACAGAGAACCCAACCCCTTATATCTACCAATAAATAACCACAAGAACACAAGATTCACCAAGATGATAGGTGATCCTGATAAGATAACTATAAACCACTGGTGAGTGATAGAGGGATGATTTAACATACTTCTCATTCTATTTTTTTCAATACACCTAATATATGTTAAATGGGTTTGCAATAGACATAACCACTTTGAAACGATTTGGCTTGTGGCTGCCCAATCTGCAGCTAAGATGATATGTTGTAACATTCTTTCATTGCACAATCTAAAGAAATGCCTAATGAATCTAAACCCTGCAATGAAATTGGGCACCGAACTGTGTGTGAATCTTCTGAATAACTATGACTGCTCCGAATTTTAGCTACATGAAAATTTGAAGTGTTGAATGGACCGAAAATAGGCAAAAATAATTTCCTCCTTCCTGATCAGATAAGCCCGAGAAAGAAACTAGCCAATTGTTTAAAGTTCAAATAATTTCACGCAAATAAAACATGAAATCAACAGGAAAGTGAAAGCGAGAAAAAATTAATAGAGGCGGAGGAACAAACCTCCGAAACCCCATCCAACGCCAAACCCGCAGCCAACACCGAATCCTAAAGAAAAACGACTGAGTATAATAAGCTCACGGGATACATAAAAATCAGAACCCACAAAACAAAGCTTTTTGAAATCATACCAAATCCAACGCCAGCTCCATTGAAGTTGGTAAGCACCATTGCAGCTACCTACAACGACTGGAATGCGGTGTGCTCTTCAGTTCAGTCTCCCTTCTTCTTCTTTATTTTTTTTCTTTCTTTTTGTTTTTGGGTAAAAACTAAAAGGTCTCTCCCCTCATCTTTATCTGAACTTGGGAAATAACCGTGGCCCATGGGCAAGCCGTCCAATGTCTCCCAACTAGGCCCATTGCTAGGCTTGGGCCACCGCTCAAAGAAAACTTGAAATTATTACAGATTTGAAGGACAGCCGCCTGCAAACCCTAAACTAGTAAAGAATGCAATTGCATGATTATTTAATAAATATTGTAGATTTGCATGATTCGCATAACGTGTTATTTAACTAGAATTATTTTTTCAGCCAATATATCATATGACAAAGGATCCAACCAAATTAATCCCATTTTATATTCCATCAAGCGAACACATGTCATGGGTGATATAAACCTTTAAGGCTTTTTATCACAAAACATCCATGACGTTTGCGAAATTATCAGATTGCATTCTTATGCTCCGTTTGGATGAAAGACTTGCAAATTACATAGAATTTTAAAATGACGGAATTTAGATTTCCGTCATTTCAATTTCTCGCAATTGAAGATTTCAGTGTTTGGATTTATGTATATCGAATTTTGTAAATGACAAAAATTGAAAATTTCAATGTTTGGATATCTCATGTAAATTATAAATGACAGAAATTAAATATTTCGAAAGAAAAAAAAACTGATAACCAACATAGAAGGTATTCCTCGAAGTATGAAATAACATATCGTTTGATGAACTAAATAACTCAACGTAAACAAACAAAGCATATTAGCGAACCAAATCACTCCCCACGTGCAATGAACATCAGCAACATACCTTCTTTTTTTTTCCTCAATTGGGAGTGCCTATGGAATTAGAACTAGAAGCAATCAAGACCCTGATACTTCTCTGGTACCTAAGGAATTAGAACTAGAAGCAATCAGCAATCAAGACCCTGATACTTCTTTTTCACTTGGCAAAAGACCAATGACCATAGAAACTGAAAGGGCTTTGATTAAAAAGTTGCAAACAAAAGTATAGGAATAAATGATGAAATCAATGAATCACTATCATAAGACTTAATTCAGATCCCAAAGAATGAAGGAGCACCTTGGCCAAGTTGCAGCTTACGGGCAAGTTGGTGTAGCTTACAATCAACATCTAATGGCTCATACAAAGCGATAAAGCTAACAAACAACTACAGAGCAAGGCGATAACACAAAGTGATAAAGCTAGCAAACAACTACAGAGCTGTACCATAAACACCAATCACACACCAATATCCATGGGCATATAGTATTTTGTTAAAACTTCCCAAAATCCAACCATAGTGCCACAAAAATCACAAAACTCATTCAACACATTCATAAATTTAGTCAGAAACACCCAATTTTGATAGCCATTCAGAAACCATGGTAACCCTAAAATAAAAATATATATAAATTGAAGGAGAGAAAGGCCTGAAGACTAACCTTCAAACTTGATCCAAAGAGCCATGTAACCCAAGAAGATCTCCTTCTCCTTACTTCTCTGGCTATACTCGGTTTCATAGGTTTTTGGCATTGTTTTTGTTTTTGTTTTTTAATGAAAAGTTTGGTGGGTTTTTTTTATGTAAGTTTTGACACACTGGAAAATATGAATTCCTGCACTACGGAAATTGTGAAATGACGCCTATTTTGGTGGAAATTAAACTCGGGAATTTGATGCCTCAATTTCCATGATTTTTTCCACGCGTCATTTAATAAGTTCCACGCTTAAGTTGCCAAACAATGGAATTGTCAATTTCTCTTCTTCAATTCCCAACTTTTACCTAAATTCCGAGTTATTTTCCCTCATCCAAACGGAGGGTTAAAGTTTTTTTTGTATCATTCATGGTCCCTAACGTTAATATAGGTGCTCTTAAATAATCACTCTGTCAAAAAACCTGTTAAATCCAAGGATATAATCATCAAATCAATCCAAAATTATAAAATATATATTTTCTCTCTCTCTCTCTCTCTCTCTCTCTCTCTCTCTCTCTCTCTCTCTCTCTCTCCCCTTTTTACGTATAAAACTAAAATAAAATAATTTCACTGCAATTCATAGTCGCTTCCCGTTTCCAGTCCTCCCCTCCCCTCTCTTCTTCTTCTTCCTCAGACTCTTGTTCAGTTTTGTTTTATTCCTTTGATTGGTTCTTGCTCTTCATTTTCATTTTCTCCAGTTCTTCTTGTGTATCCAGTTACCCAACCCTTCCCATTCTTCAGCTCTTCTTCTTCCTTTTCAATTCGTCTTCTTTGGAAGTTGATGCTTGAGGTGTTAAATATAAGCATTTGGTCATTTTGAAGAGGTAAGCGCATTGTATCTTGTGTCCTTTCGATGTTGTTTCAATTTCTTACTTTGAGTGCATTTTTCTAACATTTGCTTTGAGTGTATAAATTTGAGAAAATGTTATAAATACAGATGAGATGCTGTTGAAATTTTGACAGATGTTTTCATTGAATGAACAAAAAATTTGGCTAAAGCTTTTGCCCGAAACATTGTGATCATGGTGGGCCCTGGTTCGATCTCTCGTTTCCCTATGAATGCTAATCTTAGTCGTTGTGTTTGGTTTGAAGAAACACAAAGCTACTGATTTCTATTTTCAAATTGTGTAATTGTGCAGAATCTCCACACAATATGCAGAGAAGAATAATATGGAAAACTTGCAATTTTACAAGATTTCATTGTCGACTTGATCAAAAGGCGTGTTTTGAATCGGAGAGAACCCTTCCATTAGTTGGTGATGCAGATTATCCTTTGCATGTTGATGTACCAAGATCTCTAAGAAAAATGTCAGAAAGGAAGCCTTAACCTACACCCATGAAGGTTTTGATTCAAAGAGCGAAAGAGTACAAAGAAGCCCGAAAGGCCCAGCCTTGTAGGATGCTTGAAGAACCTCCTGATAATGGATTGTTGGTCCCTGAATTAGTTGAGGTGGCTCATCAAGTTTACCGAGCTAGACAATCGGTCTTGTTTGGCTTGTCAAAGCTTCTTCAAGTTGTTCCTGTCCAACGGTGCAGGTAGCCAGAAGAAAAAGAAAAGAAAGAGAGGGAAGATAAGATAAGGAAATAAAATATATATATATTTTATAATTTTAGATTGATTTGATGATTATATCCCTGAATTTAATAGATTTTTTAACATAAGGATTATTTAAGAGCACTTATATTAACGTTAAGGACCATGAGTGATACAAAAAAACTTTAAGGATGCAATATGATAGTTTCGCAAACATCAAGGACATTTTGTGATAAAAAACCAACTTTTAAACTTGAAACATAAGAGGTTGCAGAGGTTGTATTGGGTGGGGGAGCTGAGTTGACAAGCATGAACAAGAATAAAGAGCACAGGTTTTGCGGGTTTAGAAACTCCAGGAATTCCTTTGTTTATTGGATGACTTATTACCACAAAACATCCCTGACGTTTGCGAAACTATCAGATTGCATCCTTAAATTTTTTTTGTATCACTCATGGTCCCTAACGTTAATATGGGTGCTCTTAAATACTTCATATGTTAAAAAAAACTGTTAAATTCGGGTGTATAATCGTCAAATCAATCCTTTTGACCTCTTCAATGACTCGAACCTGTTTGCCACTAATTTGGAACCATTTCCCCCAATTTCTTGTTGGAATTGCTAAAGGTAAGAGGTGAAAATGGAAGGGAATAACATAAACAAATTGAACTGTAAACAACACATGTTGAACAAATTGAATAAACTAACACATTCAACTACATTCAATTATATTATCAACCACGTTCAGTTTCATCACATTAACCCCTACATGACTTCCATCAAAAATCACTTCCAGACACTTTTGCCGAGAAGCTTCGCCGCGACAGTCATCGCTCCAAGCCTAAATCAACAGCTGCGATCTGCCCGATGGAGGCCGACGGCGAATCTTCTGCAATCTGCCGGCATGTCGTTGTCGTGGCTAGAAGCATACTGAGTTCACACTTGCCGACAACTTGTCGTTTCAGTCTAAGCTCTGAAGCTTCTCTGCTACTCTGATTTGTACTATGCAAAACAACAAAAAAGAAACAAAAATTAACTAAGAATTAATGCATTAGACGTTGGCAATAAAATCCAATTCCCAGAACTACTAGTGCCACAAAAATCCCTGTGTTATTTTATTACACTCGACGAATAAAGCCCAAAAGCAAAAAACAGAGAAAAAAGAAGAATCTGAGGGCTCTGAAGCTTTTCAGGTGCTCTGGCGATTGGGACAAGCTTCTCCAAGTGATAGCAGAGCAAGTCACCTCCATGTTTGAGATCCATCTAGAAAAGCTTCAGGCCAGTGACGCAGGCCTCACTGCCATCTCCAATTGCTTGGATATAGAGATTATACACCTGGTCAAGACCCCTGAGTGCACAAATGTAGGTTTGGTCTCAGTCTCCCAACGCTCATTTACCTCATCCATCTTCTCTCAGACACTTTTGCAGAAGCTTTACCGCTCAATTTCCCACGACTGAAAAACCCTATTTCTTAGAAAAAAAACGTAGATGATGATGTTGACGATGACCACGAGGAAATATATTCGAAGCGTGAGAGGTAAAAGGAAGTTGACAATTATATCCTTCATAAAATTGGGGATTTAACGATTTTTTTTAACAAATGGACTATTTAAGAGTACTTATATTAATGTTAGGGATCATGAGTGAAAAAAAAAAAATGATGCAATTTGATAGTTTAACAAACGTTAGGGACGTTTTGTGATAATAAGCCTTATTGAATTTTTAAAATGAAAGCTCACAAGATTGTGCCATGATTGAATTCATAGTGTTGAATTTTTAATTGGAAATGTTTGGTTGCTGTGTGATTATGACTTGTAAGTTTAATGTTGGTACGACTTTTTTGTGTAAAGATGTGAATATGGACATGTTGATTGAGTTTGTATCACCTTATGAAAATATAATATTTGCTATCATCAAGATTTGTTTTTTATTTTTTGAAACCGATAATTGAGCTATTTTGGTCAACAATTGTATTACATAAGGTGATAATGATAAAGGCTCCAGATCAGCGGGTAATAGCAATGACATGGCAGAATTATATCATCCCGCGCGAAAAGACACTTTTACCCAACTTCCCAGTGGGTACTAGGTAGTATATGAGCTCGTATCGAAGCACACTCGAGAATGTCGTAGAAAATTCAGCTATTTTTTGTGAAATTTGATTAACAATTCAAGAGACTGAGAGGTACACTCAGATTCAATCTCAGCTTATCTACTGGTCTTTCTCCGCCCTCCCAATTTCTCGAATCAATTTCCCTCATCTTCATTTCTTCCTTCTTCTCTCCCAACTTTACCCAAAGTCATGAGCTGGTGGTGGGCTGGAGCTGTTGGCGCTGCCAAGGCAATTTTCTAATTAGATTCACATAAATCACTCCCCTTTCTTTTTCTTTTTCTTTTCCTGCTTAATTAACATTTTATTCCTGAATTTTGCAGAAAAAATTTGACGAAGACGAAGCACCGCGAAGCCCCGAGAGCGTAGGTCTCGTGATCGGCGTCACCGGCATAGTCGGCAACAGCCTCGCCGAAATCCTCCCGATCTCCGACACCCCCGGTGGTCCATGGAAGGTCTACGGCGTCGCACGCCGTCCCCGCCCGAACTGGAACGCCGACCACCCCGTCGAGTACATCCAGTGCGACATCTCCGATGCCGACGACGCCAAGGCCAAGCTCTCTCCGTTATCCGACGTCACCCACATCTTCTACGTGACCTGGACCAGCCGATCCACCGAGGTCGAGAGCTGCGAGGCTAACGGCGCTATGTTCCGCAACGTCTTGAATTCCGTCATCCCAAACGCACCCAATCTCCGCCACGTGTGCCTCCAGACTGGGGCCAAGCACTACGTCGGGCCGTTCGAGGCGTTCGGGAAGATCCAGCCCCACGAGCCGCCCTTCACGGAGGACCTGCCCCGATTGGACTACCCGAATTTCTACTACACCTTGGAAGATTTGTTGTTCGCTGAGGTGGAGAAGAAGGAGGACTTGACTTGGTCCGTCCACCGACCCGATGCGATTTTCGGGTTCTCTCCGTACAGCATGATGAACATCGTCGGCACGCTCTGCGTGTACGCCGCCATCTGCAAGCACGAGAGAGTGCCGTTAAAGTTCCCGGGAAGCAAAGCGGCGTGGAACAGCTACTCGGTGGCTTCGGATGCGGATCTGATAGCAGAGCAGCACATATGGGCGGCGGTGGACCCGTATGCCAAAAACGAAACGTTTAACATAAACAATGGGGATGTGTTTAAGTGGAAGCATTTCTGGAAGGTGTTGGCTGAGCAGTTTGGGATTGAGGAGTATGGGATTGATGAGGAGGAGGGGGCGAAGCTGAGCTTGGTGGAGCTGATGAAGGGGAAGGAGAGTGTGTGGGAGGAGATAGTGAAGGAGAATCAGCTGCAGCCCACAAGGTTGGAAGAGGTTGGGGTGTGGTGGTTTGTGGATGTTTGGTTGGGTGGGGAGGGATTGGTGTGTAGTATGAACAAGAGCAAGGAGCATGGGTTTGTGGGTTTTAGAAACTCCAGGAATTCATTTGTCACTTGGATTGATAAAATGAAGGCTTTCAAGATTGTGCCTTGATCTTTAATTGGGGTTTGAGGATGTTGTGATGGTGTGTTTTTCTTTGGATCTGCAAAATATGTTTGTTGTGGTTTGCTTGTTCCTGTTCTACATGAATTCTAAAAATAATCGTAGCAGGTCGAGAGCAGGTACCACAGTGGTGGCCTACCCCTTCCCCCTGCCTGACACCTAGGTTTAGGTGTCAAAACCCCAAGAGGTTTCTTTCCTCCTATTGTAACCCCAAATTGTGCTTGTTTTTGAGGTATCAGCGATTAATGTACAACGTGCAAGTGATGGTGGATGGAATGTGACATATTTTCTGCTTTAAACAGCTACCATTTCTACCAAATACAAGTATATGACAAATATTTGCAGGGCAAAAAAACATTTCAGCTGAGCCAGCAAGTCTTTACTTTTAACTAAATTATGAAAATGCTAAATTATGAATCTTTAAGCTTTCATCTTTTCAATCCAGGAAATGAATGGCTTTGAAATTCCTAAATCCCAAAGTAATCATGCTCCCTCCTTGCTTTAGTAATAGTTAATCATGCTCCTTCCGTACTTACTGATTTGGTTGGTTTGGTTGTAACATTATGAAACTGGTCAAATCAAATCGTAATTATCGTAATTATCAATTTCGATTGGTTTTGAGTTTGATTTGATTTAATTTTGAATTTTTACAAATCAACCTAAATCATATCATATCGTTTTTATGTATATTTATTATTTATATTATATTTTACATGTATAATATTCTAATTTGATAATAACTACATATGAATATTTGAATTAAACTGAACTAAATTGTTATATTGTAATTAGTTCGACCGTAATTTTGAAGTGAAACCGATCCAATTCGGACCGTATCCACCCCTATCGATGCATCATCCACAAAGATGAAGTCATGCTCTTGGAATTAGGATAATACCCATGGCCCAATAATTGGTCTGAATTTTAAAGCCCATGGTCATTTACTGAGAAATCCATCAACTCGGCCTAGGAACAAGACAGTCCAAAATGTCAAGATTTTTAGAAAATGTAAAATTGCTACATATGCTATCAAATCTAAACATTGTGCATTTGGCATATTCCTTAAAGATGCTCTAAGAAATTAAAATCAACCAATCATGCAAATACGAGCAAAATGATAAAATTTGCATTTAAACTGACAAGAACAAAAGTTAATTTCCATTTCAAGTACAACATTTGGGCCAAGTTTTAAAATAAAATGGTAAAATTGTCATTTTGCTTACTAATTTAAGCAGGTCTATTGAATGTAGGCCTCCTGGTTGAGTTTTGCAAAACAAAATTCAAACCTAATTGACCTAGCCCAAAAACAAAACTAGCCATTTGAGATATCCTTATTGCTAAACATTTATATGACTTATACCTAATTTATTTTATTAATTAACATTGAATTCCTATTACACAATATATTATTAGTTTAAACTATAATTTGTATTTAAAAAAATGAAATTTGTATAGATACCATATGAACTTTTAGGCATGTGCGCAAGTACCGCATAAACTATAGAGAGTATTGCAATTTACCACATGCCCCAAATCCTGTAAAAATTTCCATACACATGTGATACTTTTTCAAATGCAATTTTATCAATTCATTATAACTAAAAACCTTTTCAAAAACTAGAATTTATAAATAAATTTTAAAAAAAAACTAACCAACTTAATTATCCCATAAACCTCCCCCACCCCTTCCAACATCTTTCTCGCCCTCTTCCCCACCCCTAATAATATAATGGAGGTTAAATGGACTAGTCAATTGAATGAAATTTAGGTATTCAATTTGTCTTGGACTTGATATTTTATAGTCCAATATTAATACTCAGTCCACTAAAGCACACCTCCACACATCCCACTCTAGTGATTCCATTCCACCCATAGAATTTTTTATATTTTTTATAGTTAATTATTATTTATTACTCAGCCTTTTTCATAAAACACACATTCCTAGAGAGCATCCTTTACTTTTTTCTGTATTAAAAAATAATAATAAAAACCTTTACTTTTTCTAGTGTACATAAAATGTCAATTTTTTTGTTCTTATAAATTTTGGCTACTTCGTCTCATTTTTATTTTTCAAGTTGGCTTGGATGGATTAAAATAGTTCAGTTTTTTTTTCCTTATTCTTTTGTAATGGGTAATAAATGCTTTCAATTCTTTTCCTTTTATGGAGAAGTTTATTGTGTAATTGCTAATTGACCTTAAAATTCATACTTCAAAGAAATTCACTCGTACCTTCAAGTTTTCTAGGTTTGTATGTAAGATAAATTTAGCCCACCCTATTTTCAAATCTTGAGTCCATCTCTATCTATTTATAAAATGACTTATAAGGACTGAAAAAAACTATATTAAATGATGGAAATAGTAGCACTCTTTATAAATGATGGAATTTAAAATGACAGAAATTAATGTTTTAGAATTTTTAAAGTTTCTTGTTTGGATAACGAATTTAAATACGGAATTTAATCTTTATATGTGAAGTATCTTGCTTGGAATTTTAGAAATGACGACTTTTTAGATATAATTTAAAGTTGAGATTTATTACCTTCAAATTTCATGTTTTTTACTACACGGAATTTCTAAATTTCTATGTTTTTTATCTAAACATGGGAATTGGGTCATGTCAATTTAGAAATTATGACTTTTGTCAAAATCCCAAGTTATTTCCCTCATCCAAAAACACTTATAATAAATTGATGAAATTGCTCTCCAAGAAATATTAAGTTAACGGAAACTTTAACGAAATTAAATATAGGTAGTAAATTGCAACACTAAAAGTTAAAGGGATATTTATGTAAATTTCCCAACAAAGAAATCTATTAAAAAAAGTATGTGGCAACGGTCGTTCCACTCTCCTGCTCTATTTAATATCTTCGTTCTCTTTTCTCCTCCAGTTAAGTGTGTTTTCAATTTCAAAATCATTTTAATTAACGATGAACTTTAAATTGCGGAGGAAACATGAAGAAGATCATGAGGCACCACATACCCCCAAGAGCGTGGGGCTGGTCATTGGTGTAACGGGCATAGTAGGCAACAGCCTAGCTCGAATCCTCCCACAATCAGACACACCCGGCGGTCCATGGAAGGTCTACGGAGTCGCACGCCGTCCTCGCCCGCATTGGAACAGCGACTACCCCATGGAGTACATCCAATGCGACATCTCGGACCCAAACGACACCGTATCCAAGCTCTCCGGATTAACTGACGTCACCCACATATTTTATGTCACTTGGGCCAGCCGATCCACGGAGCCCCAAAACTGCGAGGCAAACGCCGCCATGATCCGCAACGTGCTACGTGTCGTCATCACGAACGCGCCAAACCTCTGCCACGTGTGTTTGCAGACAGGGACCAAACACTACTTCGGACTCTACGAGTCGTTCGGCAAACTGGAGCCCCAGGAGCCGCCTTGTTTGGAGGATCTGCCCCCACTGAACTCCCCGAACTTCTACTACGTCCTGGATGACGTGTTGTTTGAAGAGGTGGGGAAGAAAGAGGAGTTGAATATTACATGGTCGGTGCACCGACCCGGGGCTATTTTCGGCTTTTCGCCGAACAGCTTGGTCAACATTGTAGCCATGCTGAGTGTGTACGCTTCTATATGTAAGCATGAGAAGAAACCTTTGAGATTTCCTGGAAGCAAAGAGGCCTGGAATTGTTACTCGGACGTTTCGGATGCGGATTTGATCGCGGAGCAGTAGATATGGGCGGCGGTTGATCCGAATGCGAAAAACGAAGCGTTTAATGTGAACAATGGGGATGTTTTTAAGTGGAAGCAGTTTTGGACGGTGTTGGCTGAGCAATTTGAGATTGGGGAGTACGGGTTTGATGAGGAGGGTGGGGGGTTTAGTTTGTTGGAGACGATGAAGGAGAAGGAGGGTGTGTGGGAGGAGATAGTGAGGGAGAACCAGCTGGAGCCCACAAAGTTGGAGGAGATAGGGTGGTGGCTGCTGGATTTGTTTTTCAGTGGAGAAGGTCTCATAACTAGCATGAATAAGAGTAAAGAGCATGGGTTTTTGGGGTTCAGAAACTCCAAGAAGTCCTTTGTTTCATGGATTGATAAAAACAAGGCTTTCAAGATTGTGCCTTGAGAGATGGTCTCAAAATTGGGAAAGTGTTTGTTGCTGTTGACTGGTTCTGGTTTTCTTGTATTGCAGAAAATAAAGATTTATGTTTCATCTTTATCTTTAGACTTGTTTGTAAATTTGGAAAATGATATAATACTATGGCGCAAATTTGTAATATAAGTTTGTGTTTTCTTGAGCGGGATTACGAAGTTAGAACCCTACATGCCATGGCACGTGTACGCGTTTTGTTAACATTATTTTGTTCTTCTTTTAATTGCTTAGCATGGCCAGTAAACGTTTATTAACTAATTTGTAACATTCAGATCAGATTTTAACAAGCATAAAGTACTAATAAACCATTTATAACACAAGAAAACTCTCTTCTACTTATTTGTATACATAAGCTGTTTCTCTCTCTAGATCTATCAAACACATCATGGAACAATCTTGTAAGCTTTCATCTTTTGAACCCAGGAAGTGAAGGACTTTTGGGAATTTCTGAAACCCAAAAAGCCATGCTCCTTGCTCTTGTTCATACTGTCCAACGCAGACTCAACACACAACACGATGTCAGCAAACCACCAAACCCCTACCTCCTCCAACTTTGTTGGCTGCAGCTTATTCTTCTTCACAATCTCTTCCCACACACCACCTTTCCCCTTCATCATCTCCACCAAGCTCAACCTCCTCTCACCCTCTTCCTCATCAAGCCCATACTCCTCAATCCCAAACTGCTCCGCCAACACCTTCCAAACATGCTTCCACTTAAACACATCCCCATTGTTCACATTAAACGCTTCGTTTTTTGCGTACGGATCCACAGCCGCCCAGATATGCTGCTCCGCGATCAAATCCGCATCCGAAGCCACCGAGAAGCAATTCCAAGCCGCTTTGCTTCCGGGAAATTTCAAAGGCTTCTTCTCATGCTTACATATAGCAGCGTAGACGCAAAGCGTCCCAATTACGTTCATCAAGCTATAAGGAGAAAACCCAAAAATGGTATTGGGCCTATGGACCGACCAACTCAACCCCTCCTTTTTCTTAGCCTCATCAAACAATATGTCCTCCTGAGTGTAATAGAAATTGGGAACGTCCAGCCTCGGCAGGTCCTCAGTAAAAGGCGGGTCATGGGCTTTGATCTTGCCAAATGACCCGAACGGCCCAATATAGTGTTTGGTGCCAGTCTGCAACGACACGTGGCGGATATTTGGCGCCACAGGGATCACGACGCCTAACACGTTGCGGAGCATGGCCCCGTTGGCCTCGCAATTTTCGACCTCGGTGGCTTTGTTGGCCCATGACACGTAAAATATGTGCGTGACGTCGGTTAATTTAGAGAGCTTGGCCTTTGTGTCTTCGGGGTCCGAGATGTCGCACTGGATATAGTCAACGGGATGGTCAGCGTTCCAGTTTGGGCGGGGACGGCGGGCGACGCCGTACACCTTCCACGGGCCGCCGGGTGTGTCAGGGCGAGGGAGGATCTCAGCTAGGCTGTTACCCACTATGCCCGTCACGCCGATCACTAGCCCCACACTCCTTTGGCCTTGTGGTGCTGACGTGTCAACTCCTTGATATTTCTTCTGAAAAATTCATGTTAAATGCAAGGAAACATAAGTTTGTTGCTAGCTAAACATATTAATCAAATTAATTTTTTAAGATTATGGTAATATATTCTTACCCTGGCATCGGCAACAGCTCTAGCCCACCACCAGCTCATTCTGATTTTTGGGCTGAAGAGAAGAGAAGCAACAAGTAACAATCGGTGTTGATGAGTGTTGTGTTTTGTTTTGTGGCTTCTCTGTTTTTATACGGAAGGGAACAAAAGGCTCCATCTTTTTCTTCACATATGACGCAAGCTCTTAGCTATGACATCCTTCTAGATATACATCGATCCCTCTAGATAAACATCGAACCGACCGCTCGTGTGTCAGTCTTCCAACGAAGATGAAAAATTACATATTATATATAACATATATTTATTTAAATATAAACAAACCCAATCCTATTTCGATCGGATCAAACATGATGTAGAATTAAGAAATAGGATTGGGATTTTCGGGATAAGGTAACTGAGAGATTCAATCTTCGCGAGACTCTGTCTTAAATCCATAAACCAAACCAGAAAGCGATTTGGACGATGAGCTATTTAGATTTGTAATTATATGTTTCAATTAGTCAAAAGTCACAAAAATGAGAAAATATTAGGGTGGTTGAGTGGCAAACTTTCGGTTAACCCAAAAAAAAAACATAACAATTCTTGCATATTTTTATTTATAATTCAAGATTTTGTAACATGTGCCATGATTAAACTGGAGGGAACTTACATCTCTTATTGCCACACACATGCCATGGTAAATAAGTTGACACCAAAGTTTCTCTCTATAAATAATTTCATACAAAGAGAAAACACATTGATGGGTTATTGGTATGCTTGCTTAGTCTGTACGCGGCTAAATGCAATCACGAGGCCAAAAAGTTGGAATAGATTGTTTGTGCCTTGATTGAGATATGCTAAGCATTCAGGCGCAACCGTTTGTTTGGGAACTAGCTTTGTATCTCAATTAATTTGTTGTAACTTCAATTTTTACAAAAAGAATAAAACTCTTTTAATTATATCTACAAGCTCTTTATCAATTCATTAAGAAAACATTATACATATATGATCACCATCATACATTTCTTCATGGTACAATCTTGTAAGATTTCATCTTCTCAATCCATGAAATGAAAGACTTGTAGGAGTTCCTAAACCCCAAAAACCCATGCTCCTTGCTCTTATTCATACTGTCCAAAACAGCCTCCCCGCCCAACACATAGTCAGCAAACCACCACACCCCAACCTCCTCCAGCTTCGTAGGCTGCAGCTCATTCTCCTTCACAATCTCCTCCCACACGCCCTCCTTCCCCTTCATCATCTCCACCAAGCTCAACCTCCCCTCACCCTCCTCCTCATAAAACCCATGCTCCTCAATCCCAAACTGCTCCGCCAACCCCTTCCAAAACTGCTTCCACTTAAACACATCCCCATTGTTTATATTAAACGCTTCGTTTGCGGCATTCGGGTCCACCGCCGCCCATATGTGCTGCTCCGCTATCAGGTCAGCGTCCGAGGCCATCGCATAACACTCCCAAGCCACTTTGCTGCCGGGAAACTTCAGGGGTTTGCCCTCTTGCTTGCATATAGCAGCGTAGACACAAAGCGTCCCAATTATGTTCATCAAGCTGTGAGGAGAAAACCCAAAAATGTTGTAGGGCCTGTGGACGGACCAAGTCAGGCCCTCTTTTTTCTGGACCTCTTCTAACAATATGTCCTCCAAAGTGTAGTAAAAATTGGGCACGTCCAGCCTCGGCAGGTCCTCGGTGAAAGGCGGGTCATGGGCTTTAATCTTGCCAATGCACTCGAACGGCCCAAGGTAGTGTTTGGTGCCGGTTTGGAGGCTGACGTGGCGGAGATTAGGAGCCACTGGGATCACGACACGTAGGAGGTTGCGGAACATTGCGCCGTTGGCCTCGCAATTCTCGATCTCATTGGCTCTGCTGGTCCACGTCACGTAGAAGATGTGGGTGACGTCGGTTAATTCGGAGAGCTTGGCTTTGGTGTCTTCCGGGTCCGAGATGTCGCATTGGATGTAGTCAACGGGGTGGTCAACGCTCCAATCTGGGCGGGGACGGCGCGCGACGCCGTACACCTTCCAGGGACCGCCGGGCGTGTCGTGGAGCGGGAGGATCTCCGCCAGGCTGTTGCCCACGATGCCCGTTACGCCGATCACTAGCGCCACGCTTTGGTAGCCTTCTGGTGCTGACGCATCAGCTCCTTCCAACTTTTTCTGAAAAATTCGTGACAATTCGCAACATATTTAATCAACGAATAATTGGGTAATAAATAAGATGGGAAAGATCATCTAATATATAATTTTAAAAAATTGAATTGAATAATGACCTTAGCGGCGCCAACAGCTCCCGCCCACCACCAGCTCATTTTGGTTTCTAGGGTAAGAAATCAAAAGACTCCACTCTCCAGCAGCAGCAGCTAACAATCAGTGGTTGATCCAAAATACACCCAAAATGGAAATTGGAGAGTTGTATTTCTTCTTCAGCTTCTTTATCTTTTTTTTCTTTTTTATATGTATAGCTATTGATAGAAAGAGAGAGGGAAGGGAGACAAAGGTTCGATCTTTTGGACATATGACGCAAGGTATGACATGTTGTGTATAAATATGTGGTTCCAATTCATGCCAAGTGTTTGTTTGCATGTGGTCCTCCTCCTAGCTGCTTCGTTTACGTTCTAGTCTTGTACACTTACACTCCACCTCCTCCATTCTTCCACAATCCCTCGCCGTAATGGGCTTTAGTGTTGTTAATACCTGATTGCAGGTTGATTAAGCTTTTATTTATTTTAAAAAAATTTGTTTCCTTTAAGTTGGTATGTCGATTTGATGATGGAAGTAGCAAATAGTATTGAGTATGAGCCGCTAGATTTTATAGCCGTTACTTTCCAATTGACAAAGAAGTCAGAAATGTACAGCTTACCAACCACAAAAAGAAACTTGCTGCATATTGTGAAGTAGAGAATTTTGTCATTAGTTGCATTGCTACCTAACCAACATTATAGCAAGTAATGGCAAAATCATGACATCGCTTTTTTCCTTGTACCTAATCATGAAAAGGATTCTCAAGGTAATTAATTGGTTATAGGTATCTGTTCAAATTTTCAAACCTTAAGATGACAAATCATGTTCACTACAAGAGGAATAAGAGGAATCATCTCCCCTTTCATTCTCTCTCTCAATCTCATCCTCACTTCCATTTTCCTCTATACTATAGCACAAAAAATAAAAATTGAAATAGTTATCAAACGGACCCTTATTATCTCACTATGATACGAGAGCTACAAGCTCCCGTAATCTTTTCTTAATTTGAACTATAGTAGAAATAATATCATTATGATATATAAAAATTCAAAATCATAAAGTTCACTAAATTTAGAAGAGAAAGGCATGTGCAAAACCACAAAGTCAAGTTAAGGGATTAGGTACTCCTTTTTCCCTTTTCCATTTCGTCTTGCTCTTCATTTGAAAATTTGTTAAATCAATATGCTCAAGTGGTCCTCTCCACCTTTCTATTGAAACAGTACTATTTACATATAAATATTGTACGTGTACTATTATCTAATTACCACATACAAAGTATGTCATTAGATTATCTCAGTTCGGATATTCTTTCACTTAGTTTACATTTTAATTCAATTAGACAAGCCTACCTTATACTTCGCTTACCCCAGTGAAGTGTGTGTGAAAAAACTCCCATCCTCCGATATTGCTTGTAGAATTTTATATTATTATTTTTAAATGGTGTTGTTTCATTTTCTGAACGGCTTTGTTTAACTTGGGCAAACACCTTACATATAACATCTTGTGGCCATATCGGTCTAAAACATTTGGTAACCCAATTGACTTACATTGATCGAGCCACAACACAACCCTTACACCCTTCTTGTCCTTTCCATCTTCCTCCTACTCTCTTCCTTTACAATTAAAGGTTCTTCTAAAATGGTGGACAGACCTGAAAAACATAAAATCAAAAGTGATCGATACCTGCACAGATGCATTTGAATTTCAAAACTTATCAATCATATTTTGTACTGCGTCTCATAATGATATATGAGCACTAAATTTAGTTTCACTTAGTTACCTTTTTTCTCCATCATAACTCTCATAATTTCATCACGGTAATCTTGCTTGTCATCCCCACTTTCACATAAGTTACCCTGCCCTTCTGATTCTTGTACTTGTTTCATCACTTGAAAGTCTTGACGAGTAGCCATCGTTGACCGGGCAGTCGCGAAGAGCCACGTGGCCTCCATCTGTTTGCTGATCATACGTGCAGCATAATGTGGAATCTTCACCCGCCTGCTACTCTCAGACTTGATGCAGCCATTGATGAACGCCAAACAGTCCATCAAGCTTTCTTTAGCCAACCCTTTCATGTCATAAGCCTGTGATCTTCTCCAGAGGCTTTTACTATGAGAATTCACTGGAGTTGACAAGCATAGAGCTCTGGTTGAGTCCCTAATGGCAGCATCTGAGTCCCTCATCAGCAATTGACACTGAGCTCTGTTGCTATAAAGCACCATTCTTTCTTTTCTCAACCCTAATGGGCACAATTCTAATGCTTCAGAATACTTAACTATGGCTTCCTCTATTTCTCCCAAACAAAACATATGATTTGCTTCTTGTTTTATTACATCCACCAAAACCATTCTTTTCTCAATTTTTTCTTGACACAATCCTCTTTCCCTCTTCCTCCTCTCCACTTTCAAATTCCATAGCTCTTCTAAATTCTTTTCAATTTTCCTGTTCTTGTTCAATTTTCCCTGCTTGTAATTTGCAAGAAGTAGGGCTTTTGTGATTGTTTCACCTAAGTTTGATCTATCCCCAAGGCTTCTTAGCTCAACCAAATCAACAAGAAACAAGGCAGCAATATCGATAACTTTGTACCTCGTATCTGGGTCTTTGAGGAGCAGCAAAAGGCAGTCGATTCCCATGTACTGCCAATCATCTGAAGACCTCGAGATATTACAGAGGCTCTCTATAACTTCTCTCGACTCTGAAATTTTTTTCCTCCCATATTTACTGTAACACAAGATTCTAATAAGTCCAACACCAGCTGGTGATGAGCGATTGGCCAAACCACCCCACATTCCACATAATTGTTTCAAAAAGTCTTGCTTGCAAATGAGATTCAAAGACTTTTCTTTGCAAGCAAAACAATTTAAAATATTGAGAGACCAACATTGGAGTTGACTTGCCCACTCCTCAGCCTTGCAAATCTCCATTTCTAATCCACCAACACCTCTTGTGAGCAAATCACAGTGGTATTTTTGTCTTTTTCTCTTATCCTTCACTCCTACAAAACTCACATACACCACATGAAGACATGTAGAAGCTACTTTCATGGCTGATCTTACCACCTCTTCTTCATATTGTGCTACAGCTTCAGAGGTTCTTTCATAGCTTGCAAGGTGACCGAGCGCACGAGCAGCAACCCTTTGCTCAACCCAACTCATCTTTCCTCTCAGAAGATCAAGCAATGGTGGAATTACGCCTGAAGCTACCGCCTTTTCAGCAAACTCAGCCTTGTTCATGGTGTAAGAACCAATGACATGAGCCGCATAGTAAGGGATGTAGATGTTTTGGTCTGTTTGAAGCCAACACTTGTTGTTGATGCCTTTGAAGATTAGCTTTGCCATGCACTCAAAGATTCCAAGGGATGGGAACTCTGGGTCATCAGGGTGAGTCATAGCAATTTGCCATAGACTGCTCAGCACCAGAACATTTCCTTGGTCTTCTCCGAGTGGTAGTTCCTTGAAACATGCTGATATTCCAGCTCTCCTCTTAAAGAAGTCTGGTTCTTTCATGGTGCAGAAGAAACAAAATGGTCTCGTGCAAGCCTGCTCCTTTTGCTTCAGGGAATCCATGACTGAGAGGGACAAAGGTGGAGTTTAGGGTTTGGGTTTTGTGGAGAAGAAAAAGGGGAGTTGGAAAGAAAGTTGAAATTAAGGTGAGTCAAGTGGCCAGGTGTTGTAGTTAGTGACATTAACGGCGCACGTATAGTACTTAAAACCTTATTATATATTTTGAAGAATCCTTTAGTACTTTTGAATTCTCTGTGCCTTTGTTTTGAGAAAGGTTAGTCCTAAAAGGTTTTTGTAATGTTGTATACTTTTACATGTCTATCTTTTTCATCAGGTAAATATGTTTAAAGCAAATGCGCCCTTTAATAATTCACGTGGCAGTTTTGCTTTGAAAATTTGCTTCATAAAAAATTTGTCACTTGATCAATCTGGCTTCAAGCTCCGACATGAATTTGTTCATGAATCTTGTAATGATAATGGATTTCTAATTTGTGGGTTGGATGGGCGTGGCTACATATATTCCAAATTGCTGGCTGAGTGGCAGCCATACAAGGAGCAACAAGAAGCATATGCGGAGTAGGTAACCATACAGGAAAATGCTTCCCACATAGAGAAATAGAAAGTAAGTGGTCCTTCCTCCCCGGATTAAGTACCTTTTTTCATTCTGGAAGGATGGGCATTTCTTCGAAACAGTTCTTTTCTTTCTTCATTAATTATCTAGTTAAAATGCTAATTTGTCCTTGCATTCGTCTTAATAAAGCTAATTAAGGATCGCGTAAGCAAGACAGCAGATCCTCAAAAATCTACCAAGTATAAAACCAACCAATAACCAGTTGTTAGAACAAAAAATGTATGCTTTTCAATGCACATTAGACATGATGTTGTCTGGAGCCTGGGTTTTCGTTCGAAGTCCCTTGTCAACAGGCCTACAGTGTGCTACTCTAGCACTCTTGTTCAAAAGCCAAAACCTATATCTCTTTAATTATATATAATAATGCAGCAAGCAAAGTGTATTGTGATTACAGATGGGTTCTTTGTTTGCTAAGGGGAAGAGAGGGACCACCATATGCTTCAATATAAACATACTAAATTGAGGTGGAAAGCATGAGAAGCTTGAAAAGAGCAGATTTAGATGGAGTTTAATCCTGTCTAGTAATGGTAATTGAGGATTAAACAATATGCTTAATTAATCCTAAGACTCGTGCACTTGGGGATTGGGATGCATTGCATTGCATACATACATATGTGTTGTTGCTGTTTAGTTTATTTCTTGTTCGTACGATTGGCGTGGAAAATAGCTGCCTTGGTTTCTAAAGCTCGTAATGATGATGAAGACTAACAGAAAATCCAGATGCGACAAAATTATATTGCGGGCTTTGAGAGAACGTTAAATTGTCCATTTGCTTTCAACGTTCAAAAGATATTTCGCTATGGCTGATTTTCGGACAGATTGGATTGGAATCACGGGATTCCAATTCCAATTCAAAAAAATTCTGAATGATAATTATATTCCAATTTCATTCCAAAATATTTCAAAATTTCAATACCCATTCCAATTCAGAAAACTCGGAATTTTTAGAATATTTCGAATTTTGTGTGTGGAAATTTTTATAAAACTAGTTCAAAATTCTAAACATGTCCAACTATTTGAAGAATTAAAATTGACTCAAAATTGAAAAACTCATATCATAAGCTTGGAAAACTACCCTCCGTTTGGATGAGGGAAAATAACTTGGAGGTGTATCCAATTCTAACTTTTAATGAGTTTAAAAGTCTAAAGGTATTCAATTGTGACTTTTAAATAGTCTTTAAAAGTTTATTTGTATTCAATTGTGAGTTTTAAAGAGTATTTAAAAGTTTTGACTTTTAAAAACTTTGTTAAATAAATGACTTTTCAATACTTTAAAAGTTAATTCTTACTACCAAAAGTCTTACTAATTTACATCAGACTTTATGAAAGTATTGGGAAGCTAAGAAGATAGAAACAAAACGTCTCCAATTTTTTCTTCCCTCATTATATCAAGCAGCAGAGAGATCTTTTTTCTTCATGATTAGGGCTCCACTTTGGTATCCCATCTTGTCATCCACATCCTTCAGGTTAGTAAAAAATCTTGAATGTTTTTCTTCTCTTCTCATCAACAGTAATGAGCCTTGGAATTTCAAAAGGAATTTGTATTATGGTTTATTCATTGTCATTGAAATGAATCATGGCTAAGCTTTTATTTTATTATATATATATATATTTTAACATAATCATGGCTAGCTAAACACCAATTATTTCGTTATGGTACATTTTCAAATGTACTTTGTCATTTTATAAGTGTACTTTGTCATTTTTATCATTTTCTAATGTTAAGGAGAACTATTCTTTGCTTTTACGTAATTGTATCCAATTGTTTTTTTTTCCCTTATTTTTTGTTCCATGTATGTCGACTGGTGTAAGGGTCTTTTTATTCCAGCAGCCTGACGGATGGGCTTGGGCTTCCGAAAAGAGAAACATGTGTGAAATTGCCCCTTGAGTCTGAGTTCAAGAATCAGACCACAAGAGTGTTTTGAAAGGGTAGTTAAGCCTTAGGAAACACTTTGATCTTCTTTACCAATGAAACCAACAATCACTTACAGATAAATTTTTGGCTTGGCATGAGAAGTTTGTGATGTGAGAGCTGAGCATTCATGAGTTTAGCATGAGAGAATGAGAGAGAGAGTTGCGATTTCTAGAAGAGAAGATGGGAGGAGATGAAGGAATATGACTCAAAATTACAGGGGTTTTAGGGATGAGAGATGATGATTGCTTTCTGGATGTGTGTTTATGGAAAGAGAGGAAGAAGATGGAAGCATGGATGACTTTAGCATATTTCCAGCAGCTTGATGAAAGCTTCGTCAAGCTCCTGGGTGATTTGATAGAAGAGAAAATAGGAAGCAAGGGAAGAACAAGGCTTGAAATTAAAGGGTTCTAGAGATGAGAGATGATGTTTGCTCTCTCTAGATGTGGGTTTTGAAAGAGAGAAATGAGGAAGATGGAAGAACAAAGCATGAAATTGAATGGTTCCAGAGGGGATGCTTGCCTTCAATGAATTCTCATGGTTGCTAGGAGGCTTGCAGCAACCAAGGTGAGTTGTCTTTGCTGGGTAGAAAGTGGCTTTTTTTATAGGCACCGAAAACCTTAATTTTATCAAGCCACTCTCTCCCATTTTCCTTCACTTTCTTCAATTCCATCTTATTTGGTGAAAATTCCCTAGCTTGAGCATGTAGGCATGAAGCTTTTTGGAGTTCCAAGGTCCTCAAGCAGTTAGACTTCTCCATGTGGGTGGGGAGCCACCCACTTTTGTTTCTTGTTTTCTTACCAAAGCTTGAAGAGGAAAGAATGGATAAGGGTGCTAGTCAAAAAGGTGATCAGCACATGGGTTTGCTTGGTTTTGATGATTTTGACAGATATGCTGGATATTTTCCACGATGTTGGGCTGGGCTATTGGTATTTTGTTTATAGCAGCCTATAAGTTTGCTTATGCTACTGGAAACAGCCTATTTGATCAGTGTGCTTAATATTTTTGCTGATGTGGGATTTCTCCAAGTGTTTGCAAGCCATTGGATATTTTCCTAAGCTATTGGGCCATTCCTACTCTCTCATGCTTATCCATATGTTTGGGCTCAAGAAACAGGCTCGAGTTTTGGTACTCCCAAGCAGCCCAAAACTTCCACTTATTGGTCTATCAATGAGCCTCGTGAATGCTCGTAACCATCTATACCACAACCCGCTTAGCAAGCCACAGACATTCGTGTGGCTTGGGTCCACTTAAGCTTGTAGCGTGGCATGTTGTTTAAATAAGGATTTTCCATTTGGTGTTGTACTGGGCCAAAAATATATTTGGGCCCAGCCTGGGATTTTTTGGGCCTTAACAACTAGTTAATTCAACATATTAAGATAAATGCTATTCGTAAAATAAATATAAAAATAAGTATTTAAAAGTCTATAAAACTCTATGACAAAAGTATATGAAAGTTTGTCACTTAACTTTATAAAGTATGTAAAAGTCATTAAGAATTTGTCACCTCTAGGAAAGTCACTCACTTTAAAAAAAGTCTTTAAAAGTTAGAATTGGATACACCTCCCATTAATTTCTACCAAAATAGGAGTCATTTCATTATTTTCATAATGCCATTTACGAAATTATGTTATTTACAAAATTCAACATACATAAATTCAAACACTGAAATCTTCAATTGCTAGAAATTGAAATGATAGAAATCTAAATTCCGTCATTTTAGAATTCTATGTAATTTTCAATTCTTCCATCTAAACAATGCTAGTACTTAGATATTGTTATCCTTTATAAAATAACTTTTCTATGTCTATTTGGTCATTAAATTATATTTAGTTCAACATGAAATTAGTAACTGTGTGCAGTACAAGCTTGAAACTCCAATATATTTCGGAATCCGGTTTTTTTTGGAATCTCTAGATACATTCCAATTCCAATTCAATTTTCGGATTTCAAAACTTTCGGATGTCAAAATTAATTTGAACTTGCTAAAATCAGAAATTTTAGGAATGGAATTGGTCGGAATTGAATTTTCCCATCCAACTTGCACCCCTACATTTCCATAGAATATCACTTGTTTTAAATATATATATATATATATATATACAGAGAGCTTCCATTGAGAGACAACCCTTATAGAGCCCACTCCGGATTATATTTCACTAATCCAAATTGTCTATTTTGTAGATACACATTCAAAGATCATCTCTACAAAAAATCACTTGAATCCAATATCATTTGACCATTCAATTGAGCTATTGAAATTTTAGTACTTTCTTGAAGCACCGTGTTCATTGATGTTGTAGGACATAATTGGATGTCGAAACGGTTTCTGATTTGTCTAATTTTTTGTAAGGATGATCTATGAATGAAGACCTAAAAAATAGATGATTTGGATCATTGAAAAAAAAATTGTAGGGTACCCTAAAAGGCGTCCCTCAAATAAAATTATTTGAGGAATCTCTCAATATAGGAGGAATATATATAAGAAATTAATAGAAGAAAGTTGGAAATTTTGGACATAAAATGAATTGATCAAATTTAGTGAAAGGGCTTCAAGTTCTGTGGGCTGGGTAACGGGCTAGACATGAGTCTAAATAATCACAATGTAAAATACTTGTCTAGCCCAAGTTGGGATCACGTGTTCAAAATTGAGATCATTTAGACAAGTGTTGAAAATTGAGATCGTTTAGACTGGCCCAAACTACATAACTCGAAAGTTTGCGGTCGAAATTTTTTAGCTTTGATTGATCAGACAAATCCCTCCCAAAGAAAGGATGAGTACAACATTTGCTTGTACTTGAGTATGGGATTATAAAATACTTGGAACTGTAAAACATCTGCCTCTTCTTCTATTTTAGTTCTGTTTTGATAGTCTAACTTCAATTCCAAGAAGAAAATCCAGCTTGTGTATTGATCTTACTGCACTATCACTTTAGACTTCATGCCATTAAAAGGTACAATGCAAAACCTTCAAGTCAAGCTGAAATTAAGTACAAATCTGAATCAAAGCCTAGATAATATGAATTTTACATAAATCGTAATTGATCTGCAGGTACCGTGTTGAAGGCCATCACAAAGTTGAAGTATTCAAGAATCTCAAGAGAAGTGTTCCATGATATTCTCGTCAGTAAATGAGCTCCCTTAGACAGCTCAATCTTCCACCAAAAACCCAAGCCCCGACTCCGCAATGATTTTCTGCTCGAGTACAAAAAATTTCCAGGCACCTGAGAAAATCTAAGGACAACCGTCCACTCACTATGTACAAGTTTGAAAATATATTGATCCAACGCAGAAGTTCTGCATTCAACTCAGCTCCCCTATGTTACCAAAACCTACCTTTGATAGTGTCAGTCCATACAACTAGAGACCCTTTGCCTCGTGGAATAATCTGGCCTTCCCCTCTCCTAAGCATCCATCTTCCACATCACATTATTGACATTGCCTTGATGAGACCTCTCGAGTGAAGCAACTTTGGCTCGATAAGCAGCTGCTGCCATGGTGTTATTTACAGTCTGACCCTGAGGGAGCTCACAGGTTTCACTCATAGAAGCAAATCTTAGCTCAGCAGGGGGGATGAAACAGTCTATTGACAAGCCAGGGACATTGAATGCCACTTCCTCAATTGTCCAAGCTTCTTCCATCCTGGTCTTGGTGTGACTCAATGCAGTTTCTCCAAACCTGAACAAGGTTACTACCGAACGTCCTGAGTGAGCAATCATAATTCCCTCAACCGGCCTGTAATCATCGAGAAATGAGTTAATTGTGGTCTCCCAGTAGACAGCATCACCTCCATTGTTCTGAATGCGGGTCAAATGGGAATCTTCCAAGTGTACAAGGAGCCCTGTTTTCTGGCTGAAGTAGCCAAATAAAACATGCCTAATGATCTCTGCAGGGCCTTCGCTTCTGGCTTTCAGTGTCAAAGGATCCGTAGAAAGCTTGAGGATGAAACACTCCTCCCCATTAATATTCTTCTCACCAATGCATCTTGAATTGGTAAACATGCTGGCAGTGGTTCTTGGGTCAAGTCCCTGTAAGAGAAATAAATTAAGCACAATAATTATATCGTGAATTGGGGAAAAAAGAAAACTGAGCCAAACAAAACTGGATCGGCACATTACCTGAAGTGCACGTCGCAAGGGTCTAACAGGGCCTTTTGCAGCATGTGCACCAAGCCAAGGTGTGTGCCTCCACACAAGCTGTCCATTGCAACCAGCATGAACCTTGCTGCCACCAAGTGCAAGCTCCACATACCACATGTCTGGATGCATCTGCCACAGTACAAAGCCGCCAGACTCTGCTGCTTTGGAGGAATTCCGGTTCTTCACAACCCTGTTGGCAGTCTCAAACTCTGAAGCTATCATTCTGACCTTACCCATAGCATAAGCATTGTGGATCGAGTTCTGAAGCTTTTGCCCTCCTGATGCTGCCGTGTACTGCTGCAATATATACTGAGCAGATGAAGATTCCTGCAATAGATATTACAAAATCATGTTGAGAGGGTCTCCGAAAACTGAAATGAAGATGAATAAAGGTCATGATCCTGTCCAGTAAATGCAGAAATGACATATTCTCACATCCTTACATTTCAATTTTGTAGATATACTGGAAAATGGGCATCAAATACTCAGATTCAACATTCCAGTGCAGTTCCTTTAAAATGCATTAAGTAATTGATAACTACATTATGAGTTCATGCGGATTGTAAGGGGGTATATGTGGTAAAAAGGAATAAAGGAAAATGCTGCACAGTGTATATTGGTAGAAAAGAATGGCCATCTAAACCAGTTGTGCAGAGTATTTTTAGTATTAAAAAAAGAAAAAGGGAGGTACAGCGCTCAACATCAAGTTGGTTTGCTTACCATCTTTTTCTTTAAATTTTTCCTCCATGTTAATCAAATCAATATGCGTGAAATCAAAGTAACTTACTTTGAATAAAAATTTTAAGGAAATAATCAACATCTCCTACCAAATTTTATATTAAAAAATCAAGCATGCACAGGAAAATCATTGATGAGCCTTTTCTTTCATTTCAGGAACTGGAAAATGTATCAAACAATAACTCACAAACCCACCAACCCAAAACAAGAAAAGCATTAATCTTCATAAAAAGGAACATAAACTAAGACAAGTTTATAGCTGCCAAAGTCATAAACTTTATCTCATCAAAAAAAGTCATAACTTCAGACCCCAATTTCGAAAATTTAACATTTCAACATGCAGAAAATTAATTTAATTGCAAAAAAGGATGTAGCTTGGAGAGAGAAAGAGAAGTACTAACAATGGGAGTGTCTTTGATGCTAAGGTGAGGCAAAGGTTCGGTGGTGCTAACGTGCACCGGGCCGAGCGGCGCACCCAGGACCCCAAGCAACAACCTCAGATCCGACCTTTTGTAAGCTGAGCACGAAACCGAAGGAGCCCTGCACAGCTGTCCCTTCATCCAGTGGCCCCACTTCCCCTCCATCCTCGAATCTCCACCGTCCGTCCCATCCGGCCCTTCCTTCAACGGCGACAACGCCTCCGCGGGCCTCAAGCTCCCGGATCTCGGAATCATGAACGGCTCAGGCGGCGCCACGTGGTGGTTCCTCCTTCGCCTCAGCAAACTCGACACTGGGGACCCACTCCTCGCCGGACTTTTCGCCCTGGACCTTCCCGGCGACAACCCCCTCACCACCTCCTCTTTCAAAGCCGAAAAAAACCCCTGCTTTCTCTCCATTTCACAACTCTGCCCCTCAACTAAAATTCTAAAGAAGAAGAAGAAGAAAAATGAGAATGGCAGAATAGCAGCAGAACTTGCTTTGTTGGGTATGTGTTTTGAAGCTATAAAGAGTGACAGAGAGAGAGATAGAGAGAGTAAAGAACTGAGACAGTGAGAACAAAGCTTACTGAAAGCAACTCTGGCTTTTGATTTTTGAGGAAGGAAAAGATTCAAGGAAATTAAAGGGCAGCAATGATTAAACAAAGGAAAGATATTGCCGCGATAGACAAATCACATTCTGAGAATTCTGATTCTGCGCTCTCTTTTCTTCTTCTTTTATTTTTCTCTATTTTATTTGTGTCTGTCTCTACTAATAATTAATGGAAAATAGTGTGTTTTACTTTTTTACTTTTTCTTTGTCTGGTGGGGTTTGGCCAACCAGCAACAAGAAGAAGAAAGAGCGGGTAGGTCAGGACATATTGGTCATTTCCCAAATTCCCAAATTTCTCATTCGGTGCCTCTCTCCTAGAGTCCTAGTTTTGGGGTTTCGTCCTCTCGGGTATAATAGGACAATAGCGTGGTGTCCATAAGACCATAGCCTGTAGGGCTGCTACAATACGACGACCCTCTGACAAATATTTTCTTTTTTAAGAAAAAGTTTTCTGATCATAGACAATCGGAAAATATTGGGGGCAAAATCTTTCTCGTGAGCTATATGATATGGCAGGAGGCTGTCTGTTGGGTTTGGCGCCGTGAGCAACGGTCAAGTGTCTTGGGGTTGGGTCAAACAAACGGCAAGTGATCTGGTCTTTAGTTGTTGGCTTCAATTGGCTCGTTGCTTTGTTGGCACGTTATTATTGGGAGATTAAAAAAGAGATCATGTTGCATGCATTAATGAGTGTGAATGAATTGATGGGTCTTTGTATTTTATGATCAGCGTGCTATAAAATTACGATTGCTAAGTAAAGCATGCTCCAAACAATTGCCTAACGCTTTACAAATTTCTTTTCTTATATATAAATATAATCGAATATTTACGTAGCGCGGGCAGGTGCAAAAGTAAAAGCAGGGCATTCGAAATTCCAATGTGAAGTGCGAAATCAATTTTGTTGATGTTTGAAATGGGTGTAACTATAAAAAGGTTGCTTCGAAGTAATAATCATATAAGCTTCTCAACGACCCAAAAAGATTGGTTGCTGAAGCTGGTAAAATGATAACTTACGCGCTACTAGAAACAATGGTGTACCTCATTGACTTGTGAAATGATCTTTTTTTTAGTACAAGCGATAGTCTAAATTACAGGGGAGGGGGATTTCTCCCCAAGTCCAAAAGTAATTTGTTTTCGATTTGAATTTTTCCTTTCCTTGTTTTATAGTGGGCCCAAGGCCACTCTTTAATTAATCATTTATTTGGACCCAATTCGGCCTTTAAAGGGTATTTTTGTCCTTTATATGCCTAACGACACGTGGCATCATATTATTTGTTATGGTCGCTTATTCAGCTTTGCCATTAATTAGTGCCATGAGGGAATGTTTGTTGACAAATTCACCATGAAAATAAAGGACTACTCATGAATACCCTCTTTATGAAGTTGGTTAATCATGCAGACTTGTTATTAACATAGGTTTATGAATACCCTTCTTCTTCTCTTTTTTGGGTAATTTTTATTTTACAATTTATTGAGTTTCAACTTTTATTAAATTTTTTTTTTTCATCTCAGTCGCATACATAAAATTGATTTTTTTTTTGCCAGTTTCAAACTTACCACCCTATACTCATTCTTGTGTCGATCCATGTGCTTAATGATCGCCATCAGCACCTAGTCATCACTTGCCATGGAGCTTGACACTCAATGGTGGACTTGTGCAGGCACAAAGAGGTGCGTCTGCACCTCTGGTCGTCGGAAATATCCATTACATGCGCTGGAGTTGCACCTCTGCTTTAAACCAGCGATGCACACAATGTGTTCGATGAAATGTGCAAACCACTGGGCTGGGGAGCTACTAGTGCTGTGCAACACACGAGGGTGTTTTTTTTTTTTTTTTTTTTTTTTTTTTTTTTTTTTTTATTTAAGAAGTCTGGCCAAAAAGACGTCAATTTGGACCAAATTTTTTAAAATGCACAGCCTTTTTTTTTGTTTTGAAAAACATGGCCAAAACGACGTCGTTTTGGACCAGGGTTATGAAAATTAAAATTAAAAAAAAAAGAAAAAAAAAAGGGGGAAATTGCTGCTGTTTGATGTGGGCTTTTTGTAGGCTTTTCAAAAGGGCTTCTATTTCTTTACTTTATTGGGTTTTAATTGGAAGTTCTCTTTATTTAATTAGATTTTGAGAATTCCTTAATTAAATAGAATTGAGAATTCCTTAATTAAGTAGAATTGGGAATTCTCTTTATAAAAGACCAATGACATCACCAAATTTCATCAAAGTGCGTGTGCATCACAAGAATCCTGCGTTTTTTTTCCTTCTTGAGTACGCCAATTCAAAGTCGAATGCTTCTTTTTTTTTTTTTTTTTTTTTTTTTTTTTTTTTTGCTTGTTTTGTTTATTCTTTTTTTAATATATTTTTTTCTTATTTAACTCTCTCTATATTAGTAAGATCAGTAGCAAACTCGAGGAGGAAGAGGCTACGTGACACGTTATTTAAGGTATAATTAATTTTTATTTGTTTATTTAATTGATAATTTGATATTGATTTATTTATTTAATTGATAAATTATAATCAATTAGTCATAGTAATAGATATAAAACCCTTATTTTGTTTCAATTGTACAGTTATGGAACGGTACTTTCAGAGAAAGAGTTTAAATCATCCTTCAAATAATCCGGGTAGTTCAAATCCTCATTCGAATCATCTGTCTAGTTCCAACCTCCTTCAAATAATCCGGCTAGTTCCAACTCTTCTTCAAATAATCCGGCTAGTTCAAATTAACCTTCAAATAATCCGTCTACTGAGTTGGATGAAATATTGGCTAATCTTTATGCAGACCCTGGCCTTAGACCTCCAATGACTTATTATAATCCCAATTTTCGAGAACAAATCTGAAGAGCCTATCTGCAAAGGGGTCCTTGTCAGCCTAAAAGCCAAAACGACATGCCTCAAACACTTATGAGGGAGAGTAATCGACGTTTTATTGTGAAATGGTTTGTTTCCTTTGTTTTTTTTTTTTTTTTTTTTTTTTTTTTTTTTGGGAAGCTCTTAGCTTTTGAAAATTGCACTTTTGCTGAAAATTCCTGGATCCGCCGCTGTTGACACTTGAGCAGTGTGACAGACAATTCTTGGTAACAAGTCTTGGTGGTTCGGTAACTTCAGTTCGTGGGGACATTAATAGATTTTCTTGGCATGTGGAGATGGACATTATAATAATAAATTGGGGTTAAGCCAGGACCAAAATCTTTGTGCATGAGAGTTCATTTGTCCCTTGCAAATGCAATTATATGTATTGATCTCAAAATTTAGGCCAACTTCCTACTTCCTAGCAATATAATTATTTAATGTCAATTACCAAGTTCATCTTTTTAACGAAATGGGACCCATCTAATTGAAAAGACAAGAAATGGGTCCCTTCAAATGTACAAATTATTTTCTTGTAAACTTTAGTTCCAGAAACTCGACTGATGAAATGTTGGTCAACATTATCTCATATTTATTTTGATCAAAATGTTCATATACTTTTTCTTTGGTCGATATCTCATATTTATATTGATTGATAGATTGACAATAAAACAAAACTGTCCTCCACTTCATTAGTTTAAGTTTAAAAGGCAGACCATCTCCTCAATCACCTCGCCAATCACGGAAATCAGTTTATTTTCCATTTTTACTTATTTATTTATTCATGGATCATGGGGGGTAAGTGAGAGCCATGATTTTGGGTTTGGCATTCTCGTTTCAAATTTCCGTTTCAAACGGCTTTGATTGGAAACTGGATCAGTCAATGTTATGCTATAATTTGTCAAAGCTTTTCTAACTTAGTCTCCTTTTTTCGGTTGATTTTTGTTGAAAATTATGCATGTCACCTTCAAAGAACACAAAAACAAATTGCTCTTTATCAGGTTTAATATGACTTTCAATGTTTTAGACTACCATCTATTTTTGTTGATTAGAGATAACTAAAGCTAATTAAAACTCAACATCATATAATTAAGAGCATTTACTCACGTGTCTGAGAGTTTGCGGTCAACTTTGCATGTCTTCTCACAATATTGCTTGTATATCAAATATTTATAATACAAAAAACCCCAAGATTAATGGGCCTTCTCAAAGTCTTACAATCATGGAGGCCGGCCCATACATGAAAAGAGTTGGGTCCAATCCAACAAATATCTTTTTTGAAACAAGCCATGGCTTGCACAAACTGGCCTTCACAACGAAACGCACCCAAGTGATGTCGTTTTGGCCAAAGATCTTTTAACCAATTGATAATTCTAATTAATCAACTGCATTGATACACATACATTCATTACAATATATGTACAATAAACTAATTATGGGCATTTGATATACAAAAAAACTAATTATGTGCATAATGAAGACCACTAAAAATGCAAGAATTGATGATGTTTTATGCATCAATGGCCTCAAAATCATGAAAATATATTTAAGTTGGTATAAAGACATATAAATAAAGCCATGATCCATCATATCCTTCACTAACCACAATAATAATTATGTTTATTTAACAACCAAAGTGCCCCATTTTTGAGTTGCAAGCCGGAATTTGATAGGGGTTAAGGGTGCATGGCCCCATTTAATCAGTCGACCACACAATTTGGCAACCCTAATTAGCCCCAAAGGGGCACGCACGTACGTACCAAGAACACATTTTTTGGACCACCACACGTTTTCCTTATTTGGATGTTCACTCATCAAGTGTGGCAACTGGCAAGAAAGCAACCTTTCACCCTTGATACTGTGTCGTTTTAAAGCTGTGTTCCAATACTCAGGTGGTGGTTTCAGGTACTTTGTACCATGTATCCCAACCCAAATGAATTTTGAGAGATTGCTTATGAAACAAATAATGCATGTTGGTCCCCTACCTACCTCCAACATTTCCCTAACAGTATACAGCTGAAGGGCAAGTTGGGTGAGGAGAGAAGCTGGATCTTTCGAGGATAAACATTTTTGCGTAAAATAATACATATATTTCTATCATTTGATGCTCTTATTAACCTTGAAGATTGAGAGTCTAGAACAATTATCTAATCGATACTCCCCTCAAAAATGATTTCTTTGATTTTTATGTTTTTTCATGAGAAAGACAGACTTCATGAGTTGGATTGGCAGATTTCAACCATACATTTGTGATATTGTTGATTACTATATATCCAAAGACAAACAAAATTTGGTAGTAGTGCATAGGACGAATATGCATGTAGCTTTTGGGCCCTAACACTAAGCTGTATTTTGCGACCAAAATTGTGCCGTCTGGCTCCAGCTCCACTAGATGCTAGTGGGCAAGAATAAACTTCCCTCAGAAGAGGCCTTATTGTCTGCTTCGGACCTGTGTTCAATATTCTGATAATGATTTGATTTCTTGGCTTAAAGGGATGGACCACTTAGCCCACACGCATTTTAAAACGTGTGGGAAAGAGACTGCCATATATATATATATGCATCTTTGCTTGCAAGTGACAGTGTTTGATCAAACGAGAGATATTTTCATCAAATTTGGGTGATGTGTTTCTTCCCTATGAACACAACCAATTAGGTCTAATTCTAAAGCTTCTTTCCAAGTATCTCTCTAGGGCCTTCTTACATTGCATTTTAGCCCAAATGAAGTCAGCATCAGGCCAGCTAAGTCTTCCAGCTTGCAAGCTTTGGAAATTCTTTTTGAACAACTCCATTAAAAGAGTGGTGATTACTTAGGCCCCAAAAAAAGAAAAAGAAAAAGAAAACCCTAGTGGAGTCTGGCAAGAAGGTGCAGATATAGGGTTTTGAATGTATATTGACTTGGTGTTGGTAAGAAGCAATCTTAAACCGACATGTCACATGACAAAGCACGCCAAAAGTGGCAAAAGAGAGGACCGACAAATTCTGCTCTGATGGATGGCACTGTAGCTCCATACACATTAGAGTTCACTTGAACGAAAAAGGCTAAAGTTATGGCTCATTTTTCTCTCTCTCTCTCTATTGGACTTGGACTTGGAAGGGTGTTCTGAGGTTGTCTAGAGACTCTAGAATTTCCTAGTGTGACAAGATGCATAATTAGGTCTATAGATTGTAACTTATGATTTACGTGTATTAGCACAATTCATACAAATATATGGAAATCTAGAAATATAAAAATGGGATTAAAACACAGATTCTCTCTCTCATTTTGCGTTTCAGTTAAAGAGAGAAATGGAATTTTTAGGTTACACAAGAATTTAGCATATTTAAGTCCACATCCAATCTGATGCCACTTGGAGGAGGCTTATGGGCAATTAAAAACGTTTAATTTTGACTTGTGGTCAAGCAAGGGATGAATTGACTAAATAATTTGTTTTATTCTTTGCGGGGATGCACTCGTTTCCAGCTGGCCAGATTAAATAATCCAAAACCATTGCCAAAGATTTACACAAAATTAATTTGCATAGTAAAGTTAATCCAACATCAACCCCTTCATTTCACTTACCTACCCCGCGTATTATAAATACTCTCCTCATCCCCACTTCCATAACGCGCACAAACACACAAAAACACATTAGCCCAGCCTCTTCCATCTTCAACCTCTGTTCTTGGCAAAAATGAAGCTCGGCTTTGCAACCTTCCTGCTTGTTTGTCTTCTTCTCAGCTCCTCCGTATTTGAGGTTACAATGGCTGGTTCATGTACGATATATGCCTACTCTTCCCAAAAAATATATTACTATGTGTCTCTTGGCTTCATCATATTTTTTATGTATATGTATATTGTTTTTTGTAATTTGTTTATTCTAAAACTATGAAATTAATTAGATGCCTGCTTATTTTTGGGCAGCTTTCTGTGACTCCAAGTGTGGGGTGAGATGTTCGAAAGCCGGATATCAGGAGCGGTGCTTGAAGTACTGTGGAATCTGCTGTGAGAAATGCAACTGTGTTCCATCTGGGACTTACGGAAACAAGGACGAGTGCCCTTGCTACAGGGACCTCAAAAACTCCAAGGGCAAACCCAAATGCCCTTAATTAACCACTCGCTTATTATTAAAACCCAACAACAAAAAATATTAACAAAAGTTGATATTGCGTTATATATAAATATGCTAAGTAAGTACTCTCTTCAATTTGTGGTGTATATCATACGTATAAAGAACTAGTTATACTAGTATATATGGTTCAGTCTTTGTATTCAATTTATAAACGCAATACATCGCTCCCTCTCAAAAAAGAAATAGTTATGTCTACAAAGTTAAGTGAATAAGAGGAGGCCCGTACGTGATGTTGTAATAAAAATCTTTATTATATTATAATTATATATATTATGATTATGGTGGATTTGTTATTGGATTTTAATCTCATTTTGTTTTAATGTTCCATGATAGTTGTTTTTTTGTTTGGATTGGAGAAGATTAGGAGCTACCTAGCACGCTTTTAGTGCTCCTCTTATCCTTCCGCATTCTATGATTTTGGTACAAGTGTAATACTCATCTTGATTTGATCAATCAATCATGGATGCTCATCTTGATTAAGATGGAGGGATGGAGGGCCCTGATTGTGGCACCACTTGATGCTTCTACGTAATGGTTCATTGGTTGGTGCCTTAATTATTAATTGCTTCATACGGGAAGAGTTGGCAGGTGCGTCCGCTCCTAAATTATATTTGATATGGACACAATTCGTATTAATTAAACGCGTCGTTTTAAATGGTTCGCTTTCGAGGTCGTTTGTGGGCATGAAATTTTAATTTCACATGCATCGCACGTTAATCGTCATCAGGCCCTAATCACCCTGTTTGACAGTCAGATTGGTACTTGCAACGCCACATCTGCCGCGCCCAACCCACCTGAGCCCTAAATTAATTACTCACATATATTTTCTTTCTTTGCCCTCTCTCAACAGTTTTTGCTCTCAATATATTATACACTCTGTTTCAACTTTCAAACACATTCAATTCAACGAGTAACTAATTTTGTGGCGCAAACTCTCTATCTTAAATTTAGGTTTTCTCTGTGTTTTCAGTTTTACAGTGTTATAATATTACTAAATTACAACTGCGATCCCCTCTCCCGATATCGCTTGTATAATAAAATTAAAAAAATACAATTATGATAATATTTTGAGTCAGCCTTAAACATGAAATCGAGGACGTACGCGTAGTTTAGATCCGGTTGTTTTGTCCAACTTGAAAACAAAGATCTTCAGTTGCCCCTCTATCCAGCTAGCTCCCACTTTTTTATAGCATCCACAATTGTGGGGGGGGGGGGGGGGGAGGGATTTATTTTATTTTTCCAAATAAATGGACTTAAAAAAATTTAAAATTTGGAGAACATATGATTTTACCTACAAACTAACATAAAAATATCTATGTAGAAATCTAGGCCATTGGAAGTGCAACGCAAATTGCATGAAATATAGACCTTCCATTTTGAATTCCAATCCTTCTCTTTCCCTTTTTCTCTTGTAGGTCCCGCCTGCAAATGATGTAAAAAAAAAGAGTAATGCTACACTTACCACATTTATATCCCACATTTTCATACCACCTTATGTGGCAGATGAAGTGGACAATTACATCAATTAAAAAGTGTCAATAAATCATAAAAGATAAGAAAAGTTTAAATTAATTTTAATTGATGTGTTGTCCACCTCATATGCCACATAAGGTGGTATGAGAATGTGGTATACAAATGTGGTAAGAGTAGCATTATTAAAAAAAAAATACAAATGTGCATCTAATTTTATATCTCCATGGTGGGGGTGTATTTTTATAACCATTTACATCTTCCCACTGAAGATGATTCCGGCGACAAATGGTGTATATTTAACATACACCCCCCCTTATACACCCTCCTATTGCGAATCCCCCCCTTATACACCCTCCCATTGCGGATGCTCTTAGGAGAAGAAAGGTGGGGTGGGGTAACAGGTTGCCCTCCAAGGACAAATTTTCAATTCTCACAAGAACTCCCGCTAAAAGTGAGTATGAAATCAGATTGAAACTTATTCGACTTTGTTTCTCTTTTGACCTGAAAACGAGTATCATTGTTAGTTTGGTAGATAGCTAAGAAATATTTGCCAGAAAAAATGAAATAGTGCTGCCTGATCCAATCCCTTGACTTCACTTCACAGTCAGACTCAGAGGCGTGATTAAACGTCAATAAAGGGAAGACTTGGACTTAAATCCAACTACTTCACAGTCAGATTATATGCATGTTTATGTACATGAGAAAATAGAGAGAAATATTTTATTGAAAGGGTAAAAACAAAAAAAACAAAAAAAACCAGATAATGCAACAACAGTCCACAGTTCCAATTATTATCACTCTTTTCGGTTGGTGGGAGGCAGCCATTAAGCCAGGGGACACCAATAAACCAATTCTCCGTACAAGTCCATCACTTGATTGATCTACACAACTATTTTCATCTATCAACAAAATCATGCCTGTTTGTTTTGTCACCCATTTGTTTTCTTTCCACTTTCCTATACTAAAATTCCATTGTACAGTAACTGAGAGGGATTGCAGATTTCATCTCCACCCAATGTCCAGCTTCTTCAATGCACCCACCACATGCGTATGCTTTCGGAGCTGTCCACCACAGTGAGTAATAGAAGTTCTTCCAACTACACTGTTTCAAAATTTTTGATTTTAAAGCGGTTGAAGCTCTTGCTCAGGAACAATGGCCCTGGCAGCAATGGGCTCATACGAAACGATGTCTTGCAATCTATATTTCCAAACCAACCACGTCCCTAATGCTAATAATCCAAGAACGGAGGTAACTATAACTGCAACTGCCACCGCCCAATAGTGTTGCTTCCACCATGACCTGCAATTCTCGAACAGAATCCAATTTTAAAGATGACACATAATTTGCATAAAAGATTGCAGCAAAATTCTAAAGTTAAAACGGTTGAGGAAACAGGACACGGAAAAGGAATCCAGCACTGCAACTATCAATCTACAAAAGATTCAAATACAACCTTACCAAGAAAATGATTAAAACACAAAGTGAAGGAGAAAAATAAAATCTACAAAATCAACCTGATTGGCCTCTAATCTAATACTAGAATGAGATGTTTGATTCCAGTGAAAAGAATGCAAAAAATGAGAACCAATTATGGAGTGAGAAAAGAAGAAGTACCAAAAACACAAAAAAAATAAAAAAGATAAAAAAGAACAGACACAGTAGAGCATACCGCTTCATTTGAGGCTCAACCTTCAATTTGACCAGCTGATAACTTCCAAATTTCTGAGGAATATGCATTTGATGTTCCTTTAACTGCCGAATAATGCCCTGCAATATTAAATAAGAATTAGCTTAACACTGTAGTTGGCATATGGAAAAGGCTCCAATTGTAAGTAGATGTACTCTGGCACCAGTAGTCCTATTACCGTTGCTTTGGTATTAGAAAAGCAATTTGCAGATTCAGCAGGGACGATCGCCCACCTAATGACGAAGTTATTTCCTGTATGGGTGTAGTTCATTAAGCGAACCTGAAAAAGAGTTCGTTTCGTGGATGTTAAAGTAATCCAGAAATACAAAGGCAAAATAATAATAAGAGATACTGGCACACTGTAAGGGCAGGTACTACAGACCACCAAGGGTGGCAATTGGATGGGCTGAGTTGGTTACCAAAGAAAATTGAGCCCAAGTTTAATCTAATCATCGATCCAATGACAAAGAAAGACCTTGACAGCCATAGAACTTCAAAGCCTTTCATTATTTTTAAATATCGGGATACCATGGGAGAGAGTGGAGTAATTTTCTCTTGATTCTTTCTTACAGCTGGATGCTGAATTCTTGATATCATACATGGTCTTATGCATAGTTGAGCACCTAGGATATAGATATTAAGGGGAAGAAGATTTTTGACAGGATGCTAGGTTGAAGATAAAGTAGCTCAACCATACCTGTGAAATATTAAGTTCCAGCCCATGAGCAATAGACTCTGCGAGTTCTGTGAAATTGGGTTTGATAGTGTTGTTGATGCTGAGCATCATATCAAAACTTATTAGCCCTACTTGAAGTACACCTACATATCAAATGTTTGAGATGTCATGGAAGAAAATAGCCAAAGTTGCAGAGGGAGAGCAAATTTCAAATGCATGAGAGGAGTATAAGGTTAAAATTTATGCATGTGCACAATCCCTCCTCTCCCCAACCCCCCAGAAAAATGCTTCCTCTTTCATGATAACAGAAGATAACTACTTAAGTATATTCAGAAAGATGTTGACTTAGATTAGAAATGAGTCCAACGAACCTAACAACAGAAATGTTAAGTGCAAGAAATTATACTAACAGCCTAAACACTAGGGTATAAATCATAGCTCTTGAACCCACTACGGGTTGGACCACATGCGGACACTAGCTTATTGCCCTATGCACAACAATAATTTTGAATAGATATATCAATAAACGAAAAAAAAAATCCTCCCTTTTTCTGTTCATAAATGCAATTACTGCTTCCATTTTTCACAAAATCTAGCTTTTCATCTATCTACCTGATGCTGTACCAGTGAACTAGTGACCGATTGTGGATCAATATCCAATATGGTTCAATATTTGATAACTATGTTTTTTATTTGAAAGTACCATAAAGGTTATTTAAACACTTGAAACCCACTGTACCTGGAATAACTGTATCAGGCAATCCACTCGGAGCAATGCTAGGAGAAATTTCTACACTTGTATTTCTGCCATCAAATGCTGAAGGTGCTGGAGGCGGAGCATTACTATAATTCAATCTTTTCCATAGTTCAGAACAATTGGTTTTCCAAAAGCCAATCTTGTCGTTTGCTCGATCATAAGTCACAAGGGTATTACGTGTAACAATTCCTGTACAATCCAGAAATGCAAAGTGAGCTAGCTCCATTTTTCGATTGTGAAAATGCTTGGACATGCATGTTTTGGGCAGAAAATGGGGAGGATATTTATTATTTGAAATGTTTACGCAATACATGATTTTGCAAAAGAAATTGTAGAACAACATCAGACCAAATGTGAGAGAGAGAGAGAGAGAGAGAATGAGTGATTTTGTAAATATCACATACCTCCTAAAAGAGTAGTTGAATCCCCATTTTCAAAAATTCCCAGGCAATAAGCCCCGCTGACCTTTGTATGCTGAGGATTAAGAGCACAAGCAAAACAGAGGAAAAAAACAATAGATCAAAATGTGCATGATTAAATAAATACAAGAATGACCCACGCATGCAACGTGAATACAATATGACCGAAGATAAATGACATTTCCTATGTGATGATTCACAAGGACAGCTCTCTTAACAATATTATAGATAAGAAATCTGAATTATAAATGTCAGGAAAAAAAAAGGCCTCTAAACCATTTTCAATCAGATTTTCCACCATAAAGAGGCTCATAAATTATTTCAAGAAGACATGCTTAAGAACAATAAATAATCAAATTACCGGGAACAGGTAGTTCTCTGGAGACAGTGAGAATTTTTGTCCCTTGGTGAAAACCATATCAACCTGTGGAAAAACCTTTGATAGTTGGGTGACATCCCTAAAGCACAATTCCATGTTAAACTTTATGATGAAAAACTAAGCTAATTAGTAAATCATGACGAATGAAACTCCAGATATGCAAACTTTCTGCAGGAATTACCTTCCAGCACCTGAAAAGCAAATATCTTGATAATTTGGGTCAGGACCATGGATTTGTTTAAGGAAATTGACTTTCCTTTTAACCTGCACATTAACCCAAAAGAAAATATTACCATCACATGATGGTTCAAAGGGGGTAAAGATTGATTGCAAACCAAACCAATTTACGGAGGAAAACAGTTCAATAATTTGTTCCTTAAGTAAAACCCACCTTTTCCTTTTACCTTTTTGGTCAGAGTGAACTTGACCGTTTCAATGGGTGTCAAAATAAGCTAAGACTTTATAAGCATTAAAACAAAGAGAGGAAGAAACTCAAAACGTGAAGGCTTACAGCATCCTTAAACGCATGAAAAGCATCCTTTGGAAGATATGCATATGTAGTTCCACTATCCAGTACCGTTCCATGTTTTCCATCAAATATTTTCGGGTTTAACTTCAAAGGCTTCCCAGCTACATGTATGTCCTTCAGCTCAATGTTATAATAAGGACTGTTGCAATTCCAAAACTAAAGTATATGAGTGAGATGCACAAAATACATTATTTAGGAAACCTAAGTGCCAGTTAAGGGTGTTAAAAAAGTATGCACCTGCGAAAAGGATCTGAATGCGTAAATACCATATCAGGGGGAGATTTGATGCTGCCAAGAACCATGGCACCCCCGCCTACACCCATCCCTCCATAACATAATGAGAATGAATCACTAATAACCCCCTTGTCAACAAGTTGATCCATCACACTAAGCCGACCACGACCCAAACCCATTATTCCATCAGCACGTTGGCTGTAAAGATCACCGGTTTCAATATTTTCACAGCCAAAAACAGCACGCTGTGGCACAAGTTCACTTTCATTGCCAAATGAGAGGACGTCCTCACCAAGCACGCCACTGCTAGAGCTCATCTCAGCATAGCGCCGCTCATAAGTGCATTGGGCTTCTTTCTTGTCACAGTTACAATTGATATCACACTTTACAGGTTGGTATGTGCTAGATAAATCAGGCTGGAACCTTGGGTCCTGCATAACAACAATATTTTAGTTTCAAGAACAATGAGTTAATACTAATAATATTAGAACATAGGGAGAATCTGCAAGGTAAGAAGGTAGAACTTTACACACAAGTTGAATAAACCTTCAACTTATGCAGAATGATTGACAAAATTAGGAAAAACGGATTTCTTCAGCTCCAAACAAGGAAAAAAAGTGAAATTATTACTAAACTGGCAGCTAAACTAGTGAACGTGATTTCACATTCTTTTAGTCCCTACCTTCTTGTTTTCAAGAAGCACACAAAACTTTATACTGAATTTTAATCAAGAACTGTGGACTGCAATTGTTGAGCTTTTATCGCTAGTCAGCTTAAGTCAATCCTAAATGGTACTCAAACAATTCAAAAGCTAGACGGATATTAAATTGAGCAACATATCAACAAATGTCCGATTAAGTAAAACCTAATTGCACAAAACTTTATGACTATAAGTAAGGCTGCAAGCGAAGCCGAACCTGATGCCTACCGCACTGTTTACAGTCAAAGCAAGGCACATAAGTCACTGTACTTCCCGTATCCACAATCAACGCGAATTGCTGAGGCGGTGTCCCAATCCACAGCCTCGTTGTGTAGTACCTATTTCAAATTCCAAGTTACAGAGCCTTCCGTTCAGTACAATTCGAAAACATCAAAACCTTAAAATTAGGGAAAGTTTGGGAGCAGAGTCAAACCCGTTGGCGAGGAGGTCGTCGTAGAGCCTCATGTGAGAATTTGGCTCCGATCTCTGGAGACGTCGGCCGTCGAAGGTTTGACGGTGGTGCCAATTAGCGTTTGGGGATGAGAGATAGAGAGGAAGGATCATTGGACGGCTGTGATCATCGGAGCCTGAAGCAAACGCGCCGCAGAGATTGAAGACGATGGAGGAGATGAGAAGGACTAAAGTCCGACGAGCCATGCCTGCCTGCTACGATTGAATCGCAGAGGACCAAAGTCCTCTGTGCTCGCACGATTTGAAAGGCACTGCTCACAAATGAAAATTTCTTGGAAACTGATTTTAGTATTTTTTTTCGCTTTTTCAAAATGTTTTAAATAGTTTTCGGGATTTTGGGCATGGAATTGGCGGCCGATTGAATTAAAGCCGTAAAAACTGAACTCCTTTTCTTTTTGGGTTGCGCATAAATTAAGTAATTGGTCCGCGCCACGTCAGGTCAACGGTTGATTAGGAAATAGTGAGAAGAAAATCCTTGGAATGTTTGCTATATACGGGCCCAGCCATTATAAATATATATATATATTTTCTCAATTACTAAGACAAAAATATTTTTCCCATGTTAATTCCTTTTTTAAAGTTAAATATGTTAACTGCATTTTACATAAGCTAGAATAGTTGTTATTAATGCTTGGTTTTCAAATTTCCCTCCTACCTTTTTTAAAGTTAAATATGTTAACTGCATTTTACATAAGCTAGAATAGTTGTTATTAATGCTTGGTTTTCAAATTTCCCTCCTACCTTTTTTTATTAAACCCTTTATGATTTTCAGAATTTAGGGATCCAAGCTGCCTTTTTTCATTAAATAAAATTGGGAGTTTCACTAAAACACCCAAAATGAGGGTTGAAATTATAAAAAAACCCAACACCCAAAACACTTTATAAACACACCCAAAACCCATCATTACACACACTCAAAACCCATTTATAAACACACCCAAAAAATATACAATTGTTGATTTTGGGTGTATTTCTATGTTTAAATAGTGCTTGGGTTTTTTTTATAAATACATGTCTATGATTGGGTTTATTTATAAATTTGTATATAAAAGTTGTTAATGAAATGAAAACTCCTCTCAATGCTAAAATCAATAGCATAATGAAACTTTAGTAGTAAACACGTGGCCTAGGTGAAGCATCAGTGAAAGGAACTCATGTTGAAGGTAACACAAGTGATCCTTGGGAAATGCTAAGAGAAATTTCTCCATTCATGTTCCAGCCATCAAAAACTAAAGGGTGTCTGAAGCTAGAGCAGGAGCCTGAGCATAGGCATCACTGTAATTAAGTCTCTTCCATAGTTCAGAACAATTGGTTTTCTAAAAGCCAATCTTATTGTTTTCCCAATCGTAAGTCACAAGGATATTACATGTAACAATTCCTATACAATTCAACAAATACCAAGTGAACATGGGAAGGGAATTTGTTATGTGCAAAAGAATTGTAGAACATTATATGAGATGAGTGATTTTGCAACTATTACATACCTCCTAAGAGCAAGTGCAGCGCAGGGGCCTGGCCTTGGCACAAGGCCCCCCCAGGCCAGATTTCTACCTCCAGCGCACAAAATCCAGCCCGGACAATGTATGGGATCCACCAGTTTGGGCAAGCCCATGGGCAAATCTGGACTAGGCTTTTGCCCAAAGGAGCTGACGTCAGCAAAGCTCAAGCACCAATAGTAATTTTTTTATTTTAAATTTGCCTTACTGACGCCAGCATTGACATCCCCAAGTGGGAAGAAGCCACGTGGCGCTTCTCGGATGCTCCAATTGAATTTTTTCCAGAAATCCGACGGTTGTGATTTTTTTGGCTAAAAGAATTTCAAAAAAATTCAATTTTTTTTTGTAAAAACCAAAAAATTATGGATTTTTTCCCTATAAATACCTAACATTTTTATTCACTTTTCACAACAAATCTTCATACAAACTATTCTCCTTCCAATATTTTTTACTTTCCACTCACATTTTTCTACTACTTTCCATTTTTATAAAAATAAAAATAAAAAAATGGTCTATTGGACAACTCAGGAAGATACTGTTTGAAATGAGACATGTGGCAACCGAAAATCTCATTCGAAAATCTTATCTAAAATTTGATGGACACGTGGCAACCAAAAATCTTATTTGAAAATTTTATCAAAAAATGTTATTTGAAATTTTAGGTGAGAATTTTATAGTGACATGTGGCAACCGAAAATATTATCCGAAAAACTTATTAAAATTAATTATTTAAGTATAAAAAATAGAAAATAAATTAAAGTAAATAGTGTTTGTTCTTGCCCTTTGGGGTGGAACAAAAAAAGGTAAAGCTGCCACTATTCACATGAATAGTGACAAACCTTGCATTGCCCTTGCCTTTTGGGGTGAAGGTGTTCTAAAATAGTAGTTGAATCCTCACTTTCGAAAATTCCTACGCAATAAGCGCCGCTAACATTTGTATGCTGAGAACTAGGAGCACATGATGAGAAACAGAGGACAAAAAATACAATACATCAAGATGTGCACATTTAATAAATACAATGATGGAAAAAGGATCGTGGGCACATGTAATGCATGTGCAGATTAGTTAGCTGATTAGCTTAGTCATTAAGTAACCTCATTGCCTATATAAGCTGTAAACACAATGTATATTTGATTAGCAAAAAACACAATTGAGAATTCAGAGCCTTTTCTCTAGTCTTTTCTTTCTAAAATATTCATCAATCCTCCATTGTAATCAGTATACACTAGCAATATATATGATGGTATCAAAATAAGCTAGAATTCAGATGCATAGAAGTTTAAAACACAAAGATGAAACTTAAAATATGAAGTCTTACAGAATCCTTAAGCGCAAGAAAAGCATCATTGGGAAGGTTCCACTATCCAAGACTGTTCCATAACCTCCATCAAACACCTTCGGGTTTAATTTCAAAGGATACGCAGCAACATAGATTCCCTTCAGTTCAATGTTGTAATATGGACAGTTGCAAAAGCCAAACTAAAGCATACATGTGAGATGCACAAAATACATTAACTAGAAGCTAATGTTATTATAAAAGTATGTACCCGCGAGAAGGATCTGAATGCGGAAATACCATATCATGGGGAGATTTCATCCCTCCAAGAACCATGGCACCCCCTCCTACACCCATCCCTGCAGCATAATGAGAATGAATCACTAATAACACCCTTGTCAACAAGCTGATCCATCACACTAACCGGACCCCGACCCAAACCCAATATGTCATCTGTTTATACCAAAATGAACGGCCTATGAAGACCAGACATGTGGACAAAACTGAGCTCGACCATGGTAGCCTTCGGCACCTTTCTTACCGATCCCACGATTAGGGCAACTCCTCTTTCCTGGACACGCGGTATGCCCACAATTGATGTCTACACTCCCACATCGAAAATCTAAACAAAGTACACACCTTCCAAGGTTTATAAAAGAAGCACAAATTCCCAAAATGGAGGTAATCAGAACTTACGTCATACTGCCTATTGGTCTGTTAGTTCCAACTTACTATACCCGTACTTACTTAAGCATCGGAGAGCCTTCGGCTGGTACTACAACGATGCCTTAGGTCTTATTGAGCGTTTGTTGTCTTGCAGATCACACGCTCTATACACGCAAAACATTTAAACCACCCAATCTTCCCAGAGCCTACAAACCCCAAGTCAGCAGAAGAAAGGTAGGAAAGTGGTAAAGGCAATGTCTGAGCCCTCCAAGCAGTTGGTAGTTCTGGCACCTAAGGATCAACCACACCAACCGAAAAAGGTTTACTTCGATTGTCGCCATCGGATTAACGACCGGGAAGCCGAAAGACAGAGATCTCCGGTCAGGATCAATGCTCACCTAAAGGACTTGTGGATGAGGGTTCTGGGAAACAAATCACCCATTCGAAAAGTTCGGGGCTTAGAATCTACCGCTAAATCAAACTATGAGTATGTCCCTTCCAAAACCAAAGAATCTACCTACCGTTCGGCAACACAAACGAGGTACTTGGAGGCTAGACCGATAAGCCTGCAGAAATATTCGGAGGTTTACGGCTCCGAGGAAATCCCTAGCCCAGATCCCGTCATCCGACTTCTTTTTCAAAAAGTCCAGAAGATGGAAAAACGATCGAGTTCGCTCTCAGGAATCGGAATGAGGAAATCTTTGGCCAGGACCGTTTACCGAACGCATAAAACGCTCACTGCAGGATAGAGACATACAACCTTTACGTATACCGTTCTACACCGGGGTGGAAGACCCCTTGACACACATTCACTCCTTCCAATCAATTGTGCGATGCAAAGGTCTCAGCAACGAGGGGCAATGCTTGTTGTTTCCGTCCTCCCTTTCGGAAGCAGCCTTAAACTGGTTTTACCGGTTAGAGCCAGAAACAGTGGATTCATTTGACGAATTGAAGCAGATTTTTCTCAATCACTTTATGATCCAGATGAAACATTGTATTCTGCTGATGATCTGTACACGATTCAGCAGAGAGAAGATGAGCCCCTGTGAGAATATGTTGCACGCTTCAGTCACGAGTACTCAAGGTGTCCGGAAACGAACGACAGGGCAGCTTACGGGGCCTTCAAGAGTGGCCTTCAATCCTTATACTTTATGTACCTCGTGCACAGTAGCAACTGGCGCACTTATGACGAGCTGATGAAGCAAGCGGCAATTCACGCCAAGGCCGAATATTTCAACTCAAAGTCCGAGCCTTCGGCTAGGCAGGAGGAGCCGGCATTGAAGAGTTATCATCGGCAGCGATCACCCCCATCAAGGCCACCCAGAAGTTGGGATTGTATTGGCCTGTAGCATACCCAATTTGGGCAAGGATCTTCTGCACGGCAGGCTGCAATGGCAACCGAACCCCCTGCAGGAGAACGTCTATAAAAAAAATACGGCACTGCCGTCCTCCGGGTTACTGAGGAATTCGGTAGGACCCGGAATCCTCATCTTTACCGAATCCGGGATGAGGTACTCAGCACGAATCTTGGCAAGCTCCGGTTCGGTCATCTTATTGGGTTCCAAATAATCTATCTCGAACAGGTGCTCCTTTGGCACATCTATGGGTACCCTAGAACTTTCCTAATGGACTATGGTTACCCTCGGTTGGGAGGAATGACCGACAGCTGCCGCTCCACGGCCAGAGGTGGAGGTCTCCGGTTGATGACTAGTGTGCTCATCCGGCACCTGAGTATCCCCCGTCTGTAACTCGCAGTACTGATCTACGCCGGCATAACTGCCGTCACGATACACCACAGCCAACGGTATTGGCTGCCTTGTCATCAGTCCCTTCTCGATGTCGTGGGTAGGAACGAAGTTTGCCCCCTCACCGATTATTTCGACATTGGTATCTTCTCCACCCTCGGCACCGAGGCTCACAGCCTCACTATTCGTATCCCACTGATCGTTCGATAACTCCCCATTGAACGCATTGGACTCACTCTCGAACGGTGACTCGCTATCGGACATCTACAAAACACAAAAAGAAAACTAAGGGCCATGCAGAAGACTTCCCTATCGATACCTACATCACTACCTATGACAATTAGACTACCGAATGGAACCCCACTTAAAGTTCAGTATAGCCCATGCCAAGGAAGGACGTGCACAAGATAAGTGAAAGTATTTAGAGGAGTGCCGAACGGTACCTTACCTCGAATTAGGGATGATGGAAGGTAGCCTGGGTTACCGATCAATTTCGTCGAAAATCACCTCGGTTGCCGCCAGCTACGTCAGAAATCGCCTTGGTTACCATTAACTCTAGCCGAAAATCGCCTGAACAGAGCTCTCGCTTTACTCACAAATGCAAAGTGAACTTCTCATCCGGAGCCACCCATATTTATAGGGCGATGGTTCACAACGGTACGCCTCGAAAGCCAAACGGCACATTAATGCGCCTCTCCGCATGAGTGAACACGCCACCTGTCGTTCATTGTGTGGACGTCCAGACAACACGCAGGGCACAGAAGACGAAGCGTCTTTCTGTCCCATCACTCCTCAAACAAGCGACTCTTTGAGTCCTCGGACGACCTCTTCCGAATGAAGGCGCATGAAATGATAAGGATCAAGCGTCTCCCTCCGCTAAATTACCGAACGGTAGAACAACACCTTGATGACCGAAGATAGAATCAAGTCCCCACCTGAGAGCTCTCATATGAGAACTTGGGGGACTCTTGTTTATACCAAAATGAACGGCCTATGAGGATCAGACATGTGGACAAAATTGAGCTCGACCATGGCAACCTTCTGCACTTTTCTTACCAATCCCATGATTAGGGCAACTCCCCTCTCCTGGACACGCGACATGCCCATAATTGACGTCTACAGTCCCACATCGAAAATATAAACAAAGTACACACCTGCCAAGGTTTATAAAAACGCAAATCCCCAAAATGAAGGTAATCAGAACTTACGGCATACTGTCTATTGGTCTGTTAGTTCAAGCTTACTATAGCCGTACTTACTTAAGTATCGGAGAGCCTTCGGCTGGTACCACACCGGTGCCTTAGGTTTTACCGAGCATTTGTTGTCTTGCAGATCACACACTCTACCGAGGCCTAGAGAGCATACCAAAGGCCCATACATCACTAAGTTGGCCTCGAAAAAGATCGAACCATTTTTTAGCGTCAACACCATCTGCACGCTGGCTGTAAAGATCACCGGTTTCAACATTTTCACAACCAAAAACAGCATGCCCTAGCACAAGTTCAATTTCATTGCCAAAAGAAATGATGTCCTCACCAAGCACGTCAATGCTAGAGCTCCCCTCTATTGGAAAAACAACAATCAGTGACTATTTAAAATAATTATATAAATAGAATTTAAAACAATATGTAATACAGAATATAGTATATAAACAACAAATTAAACTAACTTGGATTCGAGATAGAGGCTTGCAGAGTTGATGCAATGTCCTAAAGACAGCAATTTCAACATTTTCACAACCAAAAACAGAATGCCCTAGCACAAGTTCAATTTCATTGCCAAAAGAAATGATGTCCTCAGCAAGCACGCCAATGCTAGAGCTCCCCTCTACCGAGACCTAGAGAGCATACCGAAGGCCCATACATCACTAAGTTGGCCTAAAAAAGGACCGAACCATTTTTTAGTGTCAACACCATCTGCACGCTGGCTGTAAAGATCATTGGTTTCAACATTTTCACAACCAAAAACAGCATGCCCTAGCACAAGTTCAATTTCATTGCCAAAAGAAATGATGTCCTCACCAAGCACGCCAATGCTAGAGCTCCCCTCTATTGGAAAAACAACAATTAGTGACTATTTAAAATAATTACATAAATAGAATTTAAAACAATCTGTAATACAAACTATAGTATATAAACAACAAATTAAACTAATTTGGATTCGAGATAGAGGCTTGCAGAGTTGATGCAATGTCCTAAAGACATCAATTTCACCCCTTCTCGATGCTTGAAGTTCTACAGGTGACTGCCTCCCAGGATTCAACTATTTGTATTCTAAGCCCTACCACTCGGACTTAGAATCTGGCGAACTTTGATTGTTTTCCTCTCAGAGGAATGTGAAATGCTTGTAGAATGCTTTTTTTGTGTCAAACAAATGAGGCTTCGTTTTGCTTCCACTTGGCCCATTTCCATTTATTAGGTGTGAGACTTCCACACTTATAAAGACCTCACTCTTTCTACTTTCTATCAATGTGGGACAAAGTTTCTTGAATTTCATTCAAACTTTCAACACCCTCAGCATATTGACGCTTATAAGTGCATTTAGATCCTTCCTCATCACAGTTACAATTGGCATTGCACTTTACAAGTTGGTACGTGCTAGATGAATTAGGCTGGAACCTAGGGTCCTGCATAACAACAATAATTTAGCTTTGGAGACAAATGAGCTAATACTAAAAATATCAAAATATAGGGAGAATTTTCAACTACAAGGTAAAGAATTAGAACTTTCACACATGTTGAATAAACCCTGCAACACTCAATACAGACTTATAATTGATCGATAAAAGAAGTAGCAAATCACGATTTTTTGGCTCCTACCAACGAAATCAAAAACCCGTTTGGTTTTTTTATATTTATTATTGGTCTTATATTGTACATTAATCGCATGTTTACTTATGAAGAATGAAATAGGTAACACATAAGAAATCAAGGGGAGTAGTTGATCCAATTTTAATTCATTAATTCCCATATCTAAGTTCCCGATTCATAGCTTACTCCATTCATGATAAGTAAACATGCCATAATTGTTGAGATTCTATTGCTAGCCAGCTCACCCCCAATCCTGAATGGCACTCAACCAATTCCTCAATGCAATTGTAGAAATTAGCAAGGTACTAGTTGCAAACGCTAGATGGATAGCAAATTGGGGAAAGTAGAAATGTATGATAAACAAGTAAAATCTAATTGTACGAACTTTATGACTGAACGGAAAAAATGGGATCCGAACTTGATGCGAACCGCACCGTTGACAGTCAGAGCAAGGCACATAAGTCACTGAGCTTCCCGTATCCACAATCAGAGCGAATTTCTGAGGCGGCGTCCCAATCCACACCCTCGTTGAATAGTACCTGTTTTTAATCAGAAATATCAGAATTTTGAGAAGTTATGTACGGAAAATTAAGTTCAGAGGAGAAGAGAGTAAATTTGAAACCCGTTGGCGAGGAGGTCATCGTAGAGCCTCATGTGAGCGTTTGGCTCCGATCTCTGGAGACGTCGGCCGTCGAAGGCTCGCCGGTGGTGGCAATTAGCCTTGGGAGATGAGAGATGGAGAGGAAGGATCATCGGACGGCGGTGATAGTCGATGGAGCGAATGCAACGCAGAGATAGAATCTGACGGTGTAGATGAGAAGGAGCGAGTTCTGCGCCATGGCTGCCGACTATGACTGAATGACTGAACTGAAGCACACTGCTTTGCTTCAAGATCAGAAAACAAAGAAATTTCTCGAAACTGAATTTTTTACGTTTTCATTTTTGTTTTCTTCTTTGAAATGTTTATACAGCTTTATAGAGCTTCCGGCCTCTCTGGCATGGAACTGGCGGCAAATTTGATTGAACGGCCAAAAACTAATTAAATGGAAAGCGCCACGTCAGGTCAAGGCTCGATTAAGAAAGAGCGAGACGAAAATAATCCAAAGAATCTTCTACTAATACAAACCTTTGTCGATTATCAAAAGACAACAATCTTCTCGGGTGTACTTCGGTTCCAATTCAACCTATCTTAATCCAATTTATATATAATCCAGTTATAATTCATCTGCAAATTCCAATCAATTAAGTATGAAATTTAAGTTTAACCCCATATGAGTTGGAGATGGCCTTAAAACACTACATGGCCACGTGGTACATCTATAGTATTCTATAATTTCTCCCTTTTGTGGGCATAAGAATTGTCTTCGTTTTGAAGGCCCTTACGTAAAGTTGAATTGTTGATCCAACCATAATAAGTGAAAGAAAAAAAAATCATTCACAAATGAACTTCCTATATCAACCTAACAATGATATAAACTTTGAAGGATAACATGCTATTATTTATAATTTGAGAGTGAAAATTTCCCTCATGTCAAACACAATAGCATCCGAAACTGAAGCTTTATATCCGTAAGAAGAACTAACAAGAAGAGAAACAATCCCCCTGAGTTTTACACAAGATTAGATGAATTCAGAAACAATTTCTAATATAACACTGAGTACAACAATGGGGGATCTCAATATACAAAACCTATACCCAAAAACCAAAACAGTGGGAATTAAGATCATAGAACTCTACAGTTTAGAAACACAGATTGTATCATCCCTTTCTGATCCCCTTGAAGGATTTTGATATTACAAACCTAAGGTTAGCTCCTATCCAGCTGCTCCAATGAACGAATCCTTGCATCCCTACAAGAGTGACATTGAAAAGTAGGGAGAAAAAGCACTGCAAGATACCGACACAACACAACAGGACAGTGAGGAAATCACTCCATCGGAGTTCAAATGGGGCAGAACTACAGAAGCAACAAAATGCCAGGCACCCTAGAGTTGCATTTTTATTTCTTGCTAATAAAAATACCTTGTATTTGTCCATCTCTACATATGTTGCAAGCTCCTATCGCGCCAAGCAAGTACCTTTTGTCCATAATAATTGCCGCGCATGACGTGGGAGTTTAATTGAACCAGATTAAATAGAGCATCATGGTAGACACCCTGTTCTTGTGCAATAAATTAGAAATTAAATCAAATCATTAGAGCTTAATCGAAATCATCTAGGTTTAAGAGAACTGGACATATCAAAAGATGATAAGTTGACAGGTTAATCAAATGAAGTAATTTTTGAACAATATGGGCAAGTGAAAATATCTAAACGCAGGCCCGCCTTTCGGACACAATATATGTCACAAATTTGTAAGGATAACAAGAACTTCTGCGTATCTAAACAGTTTGTTAATTGATATGCACTTTCAGATGATCTAACCTTTGAAACCGACAGTGCTGTCTGGATGACATAGTTTCCAAAAGGATGCAAAAGAAGCATTGAAACGTTCCGATTTGTAAGCAACTCAAAAATAATTTGTGAAGACTGTTCTTCCCCTGAATCTAACAAGCACTTCTCCACAACATTGCTGCCATACTTATTGCAAGAGAGAGACATATAACTGCCTCGAAGTTGTCTCAGAAGATTTTCTGTGATTTGTGGCATCCTCAACCCCAGTAAATGTTGCAGCACGTAGTTCCTAGGGTATAGGAACAATAAAAGAGAACATAAGTAAAGATCATGATTGATATTTTTAAAAAGTATGGATAACGTTTCATAGGAACAAACCCATAACGATCTACTGCTAGAACTATTGCTTTTGCTGTTATCGCAGCAACCAGACGCTCTCTGTTTTTTCCATTAGAGTGTTCAACACACTTCTGTAGCACACAACAGCCGCTTTTATCTTTTGCGATTCCACAACAGTTATTTGCCACCACATGCAGAAGATGCTGCCAACAAATTTTTTGCCAGAAAGTCAAGATACTACACCTTTGCCTTGTACTTAAGGAAAGTGGATTCATGGACTAGTTACAAGGGGCTTCTGAAACGTTGGTGTAAGCAACATAGAAAGATTGGTGCTTGTTGACTACCAAATATTTTATCACCAAGTAAGTTGATCGCTTTATTATGCATGTCAACTTACATTTGATGGTTAACTTATGAGGATACTTTAAAATAAAAAGTCTGGGAAGAGGATAGAAATGTCAAAATATTATGTGGAACAAAATATATTTTGTTAGAACTTAGGTGAACACCGTTGATAAGAGAAGTAAATATGAAAAAGAAGGATGCGTATTAAGAATAAGGATAATCTAAATAACCTTCAATTACAAGAATCCATCATGTGATCCTTGGATATAAAACTCATGCGCTTCACTGAAATTTTAGAAATAATAAGCCTAAAATTTTGGTTGTTTTATTAGGGTGCCAGGCTTCAATCCAGTCCCATCTGCAGTTAAAAGTAAATTCCCAATGAACGTACCACACCCTTTGTTTGAATGAAACATGACCAATAATAGCCAATTACATATTAAACTTTCAAATTGTGTTATCAATAGTTTACCTTTATAACGACTACAAAGACAAGATCTTCTAACCAACAAGACACGATGGTAGAGCTGATAAATTTCAGGTGCATGGATGTTATGTTTCCAGCTTTTCGCAAGCTGTGGATTGGCTTAGAATCATAATTTTAATGATCAAAAGCAATTACTGAAGGGGGATTCTTGCAAGATGTAACTCATCATGAAAATGACATGAGCAGAACTAGCAAAACATCTACTCCAAATGCAACATGAACAAAATATTCGGATAATTGCAAATCGCCTAAACAGGAGAGAACATACCTCATTGTCTTGAACAGAGAAATGCTCTAAGCAATGCTCGATCACATGTTGACCATTGCTGTTCTTACTCAATGCAACAACACCAGGACTCAGAGCTCTCATAATCAGAGTGATTTGCTCTTTGGTGGTAACATACTTCAACAATTTCTGTACAGATCGAGTCCTGTCACACGAAAGATAAGAAAACCATCATACTAATAAAAACAAAAATAAAAAAAATTACCAAAACAACTATTTGGTCAGCAATCTTACAACAATTAATAACACATGCAATGCAAACAACAACTAGGCACCAACCATACCCGCGCGTGTCAAGGGAAATACAAATAAGCTGCAAATCATTTTTCTTGGTCAACATTAAAAGCATTTGGGTCCTCTGCTCTTCACTGCAGACCTCCACAAGCTTCTGAACAACGTAATTCCCATGAGGGTCAAGCATCAAAGTGGCCACATGTTCTAGAACCTCCAAGAATATCAAATCAATCAATTCTTTGTTTGGTACAGCCTCCATTGCTCTTTGTAAGCAACGACAACCGTCTTGGTCCGTGGCCAGAAAGGCTACCCTCCCACGCAAATCAGCCACAGACCAGCCATTCAGAGACGCTTGCAACCAATGTGGGCTATTATCAGAATGTTGATTTAAATTGGACACAAAGCCATTCGAGCAATCAATATCAGACTGAACCCAGCAATTTTGAAGACCCAAATGCGAAGGAACCCCATTACCGCCACTATTTAAGTTCAGACTCTGCAGCTCGTCGTTGCAAAATGGGATAAAATTTTCCCCACCCAACCCATGATCGTTTGTTGGGTATTTTATCACAGACCCATTACTGCAATCGCCGTCAAAGCGAGAAAGCTGCGGCTGGCGGCAAAAAGATGATACTTTGAGGCGAGAAAAAGCAGCTTCTAGGGTTTGATCAAAATGGGATTCTCCAATGGGGTTCTGCGATGAACTTCCGGACATACATTCCGGCAACGGGGATTGTGGAATACGAAGCGACGCCGTGTCCAGAAAACACCGAAAACCCTCCATTCTCCGTCTTAACAGCGAAGATAAACAACTACAGAAAGTTTACAAGATTTTTTGAGAGTTGGGGTTCTAGATTGAGGAGAGAAAGGGGCGGAGGAGCTAGAGATATATATTGATGAGGGAGATATTTTTTAGTTTTGGTAGTAAATTTGGGGGATTTTGAAGAGGAAAATGTTAGGAAGAGTTTGAAAGTGGTTGGGAAATTGCTTGACTGACTTTAGCGTAGGTGATTGGGTTGTAGACTGATACTAAAACTGGGACTGGTAGAGTTTTATTCGGCCTCTGAGTTTGCATGCAATTTATGGAAACTTTTCATGCGAGAAAGCGTGAAGAAAGTTGCATATCTGTGTACGCGGCGTATCTGTCACCTAAAATAATGGGCTCTCTCTATCATTGACCAGTAGCCTTGTTGCATTTCATGGTCTTGGTCTCTTTTTTGGTTGTGGGCTTTCATTTCTTCTGTGTTTTTATTATTTGTCTAGTTTAAAAATAAATATAAAAAACCCCAAAGCTTCTCAGGTATTCTTGTGAGTCAATTTCCAATTAAAAAAGTTATGCGTGTGACTGACTTGTGAATGATTGATGCAAACAAATTAGATGATTTGAATATGACTAATGGTAGGGAGACCATTTTTAGAAATTAACTTTGTGTACTCTCTCTAATAGAGGTGGAGTCCACCAATACAATGGGTTCCACCTTTATTAGGAAGATGATATACAAGTTTGTCTTTAAAGATAGTCTCCTTAGCATTTTTCTAATTTTGAAGGTGTTTCTAATTCCAATTGGCACTTTGAAAGTCATTTTGTTTCAACTTAAACATTAAGTCACTTAAGGTTAGTTTGATAACCATTTCAATTTTCTTTTTTCTTTTTTCTTTTTAAAAAAAAAAACTGAAAATGTGTAATCTAATTTCAGTTCTCCAAAAAAGTTAAAAGTTAAAGAGTTGTGACACAAGTTTTGTTTGGTAACTTATTTAAGTTTTTAGTTTTATGTTTTTTTTTATTTTTTTTTTTTTTTTTTTTTTTTTTTATGTGGGGTGGGGCGTGTTAATTGAATTAAGAAAATCATAGAATGAAGGTGCATGCTACAAAGAGTAGTACTTTTTAGTGAATTTTTTTTGTTTGAATTTTTTTGGATTTTTTTTTTTTTTTTTTTGGTTTTGAAATGGGTTCGTGGCCGAACACAAGAAATCGAGAGGCCAAGTCCAAGTCAGGTGGTCTCAAATACCTAGTTTGGGTAACTATAGTGGATTTCCGTAATGGGGATCAATATGAGGAATTGAATTCCGATTACGGACTACTCATGTGTTTACTTCACATAAAGAAATAAAAAGGCAAGCGGGCCCCACACAAAATTAGGAATTCAACTCACAATTTTGGAGGAATTGGACTATTTGCTGGATAACTAGCCCATTAGGAATCCAACTTTTTTACCAATTATATCCTCACAATTTTTAAAATTTCAAATTTATCATCCAATTTAACCCAATAATTATTTAGAACAAGTGCATTTTAGTAATCAAACTAGTTTCAATTCCGATTCATGATAATTTAGTAAACAACTTTAATGGGAATATTGATCCCACTCCCTCTTAATTCAATTCCTCTTAACTCAATTACGAATTAGTAAACATGCCATTTGTGAATGAAAAAGGAGCGCAAAAAAAAATAAAAATAAAACAAAACTGAAAACACTTTAGCATTACTCTATGGCCCCGTTTGGTTCACTGAATGGATTTGTGGGGAAATCATTTCCCATGTTTGGTAATCCTGGAAAATTAACCATGAAATACTACTTTATTTCCTTTCACATGTTTAGTTTGTGTATGAATAAAAACACTTTAGCATTACTCTATGGCCCCGTTTGGTTCACTGAATGGATTTGTGAGGAAATCACTTCCCAATGGACGAGAAATAAAGATTCATTTCCCATGTTTGGTAATCCTGGGAAAGTAACCAAGAAATACTACTTTATTTCCTTTCACATGTTTGGTTGTGTAGAAATGCAAAACAAAGTTTGTTAAAATTTTCATTTATACCCATATGAAATCAAATAAAAAAAAGAATGCATTTAATGCTATATTGTAATTCTAAATTGTTAATGGGGACAATATGGTCATAAAAAATGTGTATTTAATGTTGGCTCATTTTCCCAAATTTTCTCATGAGGAGGAAAACAAAATCCAAATGAGAGGGGGGAGGGGGAGGGGGGAGGAGAGTTTCACTTTCCCCCTACTTTCCTATGTGCAAGACAACGATTTTTCATGTCTGAACTTACCAAATATAGGAAAACAATTGATTTCTCATTTCCAAGCCTCATTTTCCATGAACCAAACAGGGCCTATATGATGAGAAAATATTTCCAGCATTACTCAATCTGATTAGGTTCCATACTAACATGTTTAGTATTTCAATACAAAAATGCAATGTGCATGGCACACAGGTTTGGCCTGCTGGCAGAGACTTCCCTCTTCACCATCAAATCCCACTTTCCCCTCTCTCTCTCTCTCTCTCTCTCTCTCTCTGCCGAGCAGCCTACAAGGTCTACGGCCTGGTCATATTTGAGAGGGAGTTGCAGAGAGATTAGATTTGAGAGTTTCATCTTACTCTTGTTGGCCTTCATTCCCTTCAATGAAATATCACATTTCACTAGCGGAAAGAAACAATTAAGGAAAAAAAATAATTCAACTTTTCCTTTGGGTGCTAAATTATACTATGGTGGCCGCATGTTGTGCTTCTTTAAATTGGAAAAATTCCTAAACACCAAACAACCATGACAAATACACTTAAACTCATAATGGTTGAGTTAATAAAAGTAGGGTAACACAATAACATTACACATTTTAATTTTTTTTTTTTTACTCGTCTAAAATGGGTTCTACATAATTTCATAATCTCATGTCATAGATCACCTATCATATAAGTGAACTAAGAAAAAAATTGACCTCTCTAATATTAAGAAGAATGCTAGTTACATTTCCTCAGTCTTTCTCATTCAGTTTGTGCCACATGTATTTCACTCACACATAAATTGTCACGTGTATTTCACTAACACATAAATCTATGTAATTTATGCAAAGTAATGATATTTTGCTAATAAAGAGAATAAAAAGTTGGTTGAACAGATTAAATGCACAGGATGCCATGTGTATTCTATTAACACATAAATCTATGTATTTAATACAAAGTAATGATATTTTGCTTGTAAATATAATAAAAAATTGGTTGAACACATAGATTTATATGTAAGTGGAATACATGTGGCACAAAACTAAATAGAAAAGACAAACGAAGATTGGAAATATCTTTACTTACCACTTTAACCCAATATGTATCATCACAACCTTCTTAATACTTCACATATTTCTATAGGCATATCAATAGTTAACTTTTTACTTGGTATTTATGAAACCATGGTTATACATGTGGACATGTACCAAGTGATGAAAATAATGATAAGAATATACACCCATAATTAAAGTGACGAGGAAAAATGTGGTGACTAGAATTCCTCCTATATTAATGCATCACATTGGACGCTACAACATGTTTGATTTTCCAATGCAATGGTATACACATCAACTCTTATCAATTTTCCCTTCATGCATACTATTTTTGTAGATTGTGAGACACGTGACTTGCAATCCGTCCGTTGATCTCCAAACCCATTGTTGTCTGCTTGTTGTTGGCCAGTGATCAGTTCAAACCATCATTGATCCTCCTTGAGCAGTCCTTTCACCTTGGGCGCTCGCTCATGTCTATCGATATTGTTTTAGGGTTTATTAAAAAACATCAACAATTTTTCTCTTTGCTTTTGGGTGCGGCCCCAATTCAGGGGCGGTGCTGGGCATAGGGTAGGCTGGAACCCAAATTTTTTTTAAAAAACAAAAAGCTACTTGTGTTATAAGCCCAAACCAAAATTTAAAAAATTAAAAGCAAATCCTACACACATGATGTCCATCTATGTGGTCCTATATCTTCTCTCTCATTCTATTTTGGCTATGAGACTTCTTGTTTCTCTCTCTCTTTACTATCCGACAACAACTTGTTTCTCATTCTTTTTTAATTTTTTGGGTCAGATTCTCCCTCTATTGACTACATCTTCTATTATCTTGGGTGGGCAACTTGGCAACAACATATTCTCCTTTCTTTTTGTCAACAACAAGTATTATTCTCATTCTCTCATTTTTCTATATATCTTCAATTATAGTTTTAATTTAAAATTGAATATTCTAGGGTTTAATTAGGGATGAATTATAATTTTGAGATTTTGTTTGAAATTAATTAGGACTTTGATTAGGAATGAATTATTCTAGGGCTTTAATTTGGGGTTTTGTTAAAACTAAGTATTCTAGGGTTTTAATTTGGGATGAATTATAATTTTTGGTTTGGTATTGTTGAGATGCTATTATGAGAAATTGTTTGTTTGTTTTTTTGTCGATATGTTTGATTAAAATTATTTCCACATATTATTCATAGGCTATCTTTTATTATATCCGATCACAATTGGAATCCCAAGAGAACCAAAAAAAATTTATTTTTTATTTTAAAGAAAAAGAATAATGGGTCATCTAATTGGTTTAAGCCTGAATTAGATAAACTTTCAACTAATTGGTCTTTGTTTTTGTATGGTTTTGGCTAAGTTATTCTATTTCGCTTTTTGTTGAAAGTTCATTTAATTCAGGTTTGATATGCACTTACGAGTTTGGCTTTTGGTTTAAGCATTGCTACAGTATTCTTTGCTATTGCTTACCAATGTCCCATTGACCAATATTTTTGCTTTAATAGATGAAAATTTAGAGATGGGAAGCCCACAAGGACTCGGGGCATATAAATTTATGGAAGATGCTAATGAAAATAATTTGGACTTAGTTTTCAATCCTCAAGTAGAAGATCAACATGTACCAAAAAATTGGTCACGAGTTTAAATCACTTGAGGAGGCCTATAACTTCTATAACAAGTATGCAAAACAAGCGGGATTTAGTGTTCCAAGTTATTGTCAGCAAACGAGTAAAACTTCTAATGAGATCTTAAGAAAAGAATATGTGTGCTACAAAGAAGGAATATATTCCAAATAAGTTTCTAATGGAAATGAAAGGCAGCGAGGTGTAGTATGAAGTGGGTGTAAGGTTAAGATTGTGGTTCTAAAGGTAAGAGAAGGAACAAAATACAAGAAAGCTATGAGACCACCGAGTCATGGTAGGGATTAATAACCATGGTCAAACTATTCTTTTTGGTTGTGGGTTCTTGAGCAATGAGACCACCAACTCTTTTCTTTGGTTGTTTGAGCAATTTAAGAAAGCTATGCTTGTTGGTCCACCCAAAATAATTATTACAGAGTAGGATCCGGCCGTGGGAAATGTTGTTTCACAAGCTTTTCCAGGTGTGTTCCATAGATATTTCATTTGGCACATTTATAAGGATGAAAATAGAGAACTTCAAAGTTGTGTGTGGAATCAGACACAAAGGAAGAATTTGAGTCAAAGTGGATGGATGTGGTCCACAAAGGTAAACTAAATGATGATGAGTGGCTATCTTCAATCTATGGAATACGTTCAAGATGGGTGCCAGCATATGTGAAAGATATTTTTTCAGCATAAATGTCAAGTAGCAAACGAGTAGAGGGTGGTCATGCATTTTTCAAGCTATATATTTCAAAAAGAAATTCTTTAATGGATGTCATACTACAATTTAATAGGGCGCTTGCCCAGCAACGTCATGAAGAGATAATTAATGATCATGTTGATATCAATGAGCAGCCTATAATGGAGAAGCAAATGGTTGCCATTTATACTCGTAAAATTTTCTACAAGTTTCATAAAGAGTTGTGGAAATGTTTGGCATGTGTACTTCAACTTGCAAGAGAGGATGACAATATTTATGCTTTTATAAGGTAATGGAGAGGAAAAAAGATGGCAACTTAGCTTCAAGTTGAAGGTGCGTGAAGTCATGGTTGACAAAGTTGCATACTTTGCTTCATGTATATGTAAGAAATTTGAATTTGAAGGAATCTTATACAGGCATGTGTTGGCATACATGAAAATGAAACAAATTGAGTATTTTGCCAAATAAATATATATTAAAGAGGTGGACAAGAGACGCAAAATTTGACATATTTGTGGAAGATGGTGGAAGGGAAATGACTGAATATGACTCTTCGAAATCATCCAAAGAAGGCATGACTCTTCGAATCATATCGGGAGATCATAGTTAGCTTTAATATCCCCATTTGTAAATGAAATATATTTAGTAATTGTAAACATCATGTAAATACAGAGTATATTTAAACAACATATCAGCCAAGGTCACATAAAGAGCTCCTAAAATAGCTTTTATAAGTTTTTAGCTAAATTTTAAAGTGCTGCTAAATGAACCCTAAAATTAACTTAGTACACTTTACTGCTAAATTAATTATTGAATTATTAATTTACCCTAATATAAAATAACCAAAAATGATATATTGAATTGTGAAATAAATGTAATTTTAATAAGTACACCATACACACCATATTCAACTATAATCAAACGTAAGCGAAAAACCCTACTTCCAAAAACCTTAGTATTGACTCCAACAATTAATTTAATCGTTATTTAGTAATTCATCGATGCAAACAAGTTTCATATATGCTTCAGACATGTCGAGGGAGTCATCAAAAGATATATTAACTTTGATTTTTTTGGTTTAGGTTGAAAAAAACTTACCGATAACAAATTTTCTCCCTTCCCCTACCTCCTTTTCCACGGAAAGTTTCTCACGACGTCACATATGGATCACATCATTACATTCATTCTCCACATCAATTCTAGCATGACCTGGATAATTGAAAAAAATTAATCCTATAAAAAACCTTTTACTTTCTTGACCATCTAAAAAATCCAACTAAATTACTATTGCTGTAAATCAGGACAGATCTTATTTTGCTCATCAAAATAATATCCCAAAAGGACTAGCTGAAGTCTAAAAATGTTCATGATGGATGTTATAAATATTAACTTTTGTGTGCCAAACTTCACCAACAATGAAAATGAAATCTCAACCCACTCTTCAAATGTGGATCTATAAAGTGCGAAGAGGAGGGATGTGTGAATTAACGATGCAGTGTTAGGGTGTATTAAGGATATTTTTGGTATTTAAATAGGGTATATTTAGTTAATTTTATATTTCGATTTAGATATTAAGGTGTACTTAGATCATAGGGTGTACTCAGTTAATTTTAGAGTTCGTTTAGCATCATAACTAAAAAATAGAGAGCATAATTGTAGATGCTCTAAGCTTGGGAAATTTTAGCTCTGATGAAAAGATTGAAAAGCTTTGATATTTACGGATGTGAAAACGAGTTCTCTCAATTATTTTTCAAATCTACAACGTAAAAGTAATCTGACGGTCAATAATAGAACCCCGTATCGACTTTGCAAAGTTGCACTTCGTAATGGAGAAAGTCCCTTGTACCATCGGCTCGGCCCAATAATACCAACAAATCAGTAGTCTACTGTTTCTGCATCAATCTTCGTTAAAAAGGAAAAAATAACGGTATTGCAAACTTCACTTCCTCATTTTGTATAAAGTTACTGATCCTCTCAGAGGAACAAAGATTTACCAGTTTCACTATAGTACACGATAAAACTGTTACCTCAAGAATAACAAAGCAATTCGTTCCAATTTTCTAAAGTTTAAAGAGGGGAACACTACATGTTTTACAGCCAAGGTAATTCATCCTGCATTGTCGCTACGATGCTTTGTCCATCATCTAAAATGGGGAAAAGAATATTTTATGTTATCAGACATCAACCTGTGCAAGATGACCGTGTAGCTCCATAATGCAAAAAGGCCTTCAGTTGTCTAAATTTGTGTACTCACTTTAACATATGCAACAAGGTTAGAGACCGTTATGTCGAAAGAATGCTTTCACTCCTGAAAGAGCAGATCAAAGACTCTCGCGCCGCCTAACTGGCTTTTGCTTTGGTTCACAGCAGCGTGCATAACTCAGATATGCAGAGCTTCGAGCAATCACATGAATTTGTTCAATCAAATCCCTGCGTCTGCAAACTTCTTGGACAATGAACTGAAAAATGTGGAAGGGAGAACACCACTACGTGAAACAAGATATACAATAAATGTTATATATGCAGCTGTGCCACTGCAGACCAGAAGAACAAACAGCAGTCCATTGACTTCAGAAATGAAGAAATCCATCAACAGATAACCATTTATCACCATCACCAAAGCAGCCACAGTCCATGCCACTCTCTGCAAAATAAATTGATATTTTCAATTATTCAAAAGTCAACGCATCTGAACCAAAGTCTCACCCACCTACAAATTGGACCAACAAATGCTATGAAGGATATGCTTTTCTTACATCCACCCACATCATTCCAATTTTAGATTACTATACTTAAAAATTAACTTTTACTGTGCAAAATGAGCTGCTGATAATCGTACTCTTCTGCTATGAACCTGCCTTAGCAGAAGTTGAAATGAATAAGTATTCTATCCCTCCCTCCCTCCTTCAACCCTTCCTTTTTCTTTAGAGCCATCCAAATAGGAAACATGGACAGTGATCCAATATCAATATCAAGTATGACCAGTTATTATTGAATAGACAGCAAAACAAACCAAAGATATGGCTGTTCGCAGAAAGCTAAAAACCAAAATGATAGAAACAATGAAGTTAACAACTTACCTCAAGAACAGGTCCAATCTTAAAGACCCCCATGACCTGCTCCTTGGACACCAAGGTAAGAAGTGGTATAAGAGCAAACGGAATCTGAATCGACTGAAGCACATTAAGCCATTCATTCAAAACATCCAACGAAGCCTCAGACCTATTAAAAATAATTGCTACAACTATAGTTGGCACAATTGCAAAACTTCGTGTGATCAATGCCCTCAGCCACTTCTTCAAACGGAGATTAAGGAAGCCTCCCATGATAAACTGCCCAGCATATGTTCCAGTTATTGTGCTACTTTGCCCAGCCGCCAATAACCCAATACCCCAGATATAAAGAATCGGATAAAGCCCTCCTCCATACTTCTCCTGAAGATACTGACCAGCATTTACTAGTCCTATACTATCAGCTTGTTTAGTACCATAAAATCCCTTAGCAAAAACAGTGGTGACAAACAAATTGATCATGAAGGAGATAAAAAGTGCAATTGATGACTCAATTGAGTAGTAGTTTAGTGCCTCTTGAACCCGTCCTTTCTTGTGGGGATTGATATTTCTTGACTGTACTAAAGCAGAATGCAAAAATACGTTGTGTGGCATAATGACACAACCCACAACCCCCACAGCCTGCCGAATTGTTTTTGGGCTAAGTCTTGGAACCAGAATCCCTGCAAGGAGGAGGAAGTCGATAAATACATATCAGTAAGGCCAATGATGATATAGTTTACTTAGATTCAATGTTTACATAGCATAATAAATACAATTTTACCCATTAATAGTTCTTTTCCACTCGGTTTTGTGTCAACAAACATCCAGGCAAACGATAAACCCATAGTTGCTATGAGAACTGCAAAAACAGCTTCCAACTTCCTCACCCCATAGTTCTCAAGAAATAAAAAGATGAAACTGTTGCATGAAGGAGAAAACAGAAAACCCTAGTTAACAGAATTATGTCTGAAGGGCCAAATTGACGAGCTACTCCCCCATGGAAGAAAAGAGGGAATTGTCATTTAAGACATGAAATTAACATGACACAATTATGTCCAAAAAAAAAAATTTGATACAATTGTAAGAAATTTTATTATTTTCAATTTTCAAGGATAGAATTCTTCAAAACCATGAATTCCCAACTTAATCTCCCAACCACAATTCATTTTAATCAAGTTGGGTTTAAATTAACACTTAGCACCCCAGCAATTATGACGAAGAAAAATAAATGGTGAGGATGTTATAAATTTCAACCTACCCACTCCAACCTAATGTCATTTGACCCAAGCTCGTTGTTCAAATAATTAGCCTAAGTTCCATTCAATCAACATAAAATCAGCTAGAAGTTAAAGATTCCAACCAGAAGTCAAGCTTCAGAAAAGCAAAATCACTCCCCCACTTGGTGATGGACTGAAATGAACAAAATTATGCGAGGTAAACCAGAATTCAAAAACAAATGAACAAGCATTGAGAAGCAGAGAAAACAAAAACCCCAAAAAAGACTTGAAAAACGACATCAACTGAAAGTAAATACTCAATACCAACCAATCCAACGCCGTAATGAGAACTCCAGCCCAGAGCGGCAAAACCCCATGGCTAAGAATCTGAATAGCAATGGCGCTCCCAATCACCTCTTGAATATCCGCCCCAATCAACGCCAGCTCAGCCATGAACCAGAGCACCAACCCGGCCCATTTCGGATACTCCTCCCTGCAAAGCTCCGCCAAGTGCCGGCCCGTGGCAACCCCGAGCCGAGCCGAGAGCAGCTGGACCAACAGGCCCATGGCGGTGGCCCACATTAAAAGCCAGAGCAGCGAGTACCCGGCGATCGCGCCCGACTGGAGATCCCCTTCTAAATTACCCGGATCCAAGAACGCTATGCTCATCAGGAAACCCGGACCGGTGAACAGCCAGAGCTTCTTCCACGAGAAGGGCGGGACCGCCGTGGAATTGTCATCGACGGCGTCGATTGAGTCCACGTCTTCGGCAATCAGGATCTTCTCTCTGGCCTCGAAAGCCACCTCGTCGTCGTCATCCCATGCCGACGACAGCGACAGCGACTGCGGCTGCAGCAAGCGGTTTGCTTCTTCGTCCTTGGCATCTTGGAGCTTCGGCTCGTCATCGTCTTGGCGCAATTGAGCGCTCATGGTTTGTTGGTTGGCGTCGTCAACGCAAAACGGAGCGTCGCCGTTTTTGATTTTTGCGTTTAATGTTGGATTTTGGGGTGGACTGTGGAGATATTGTGGACTGTGTGGCCTGTTGAGTTGTATGGGATGGGTTACGTTAGTGGATAAACGGACCGACCGATTTGGGTGGGCTCTTGAGAGTATCGTTGAGGAGGCTCTGCGTTTCGTTGTATTTTATAGTCGTTTTTTCTTTCTTTACGTGCAAAATAATTAGGAATTTATTATTGGTTGCAGTCGTCTTGTAGATGCAGCATTTAGTGTTTCTGGCCATTAGGAGGTTGCCACGTGTTGGAATGGTTGATGCCCTTTTGTTACCTTGAAGTTTAATTACTGGGGTTTATTATTATTATTTGTAATACAAGAGATATTGGGGGAGAGTGAAATCAAACCCATAGTATCTCGAGTATTGGGGTAAATGCCCTTTAACTAATTAAGTTACAAGTCCCTTGCAATTACTAGTCATCTTAAGAATTTTTTTGTTGGGTGAAAGAATGGGCACCATCTTAATATTCTTATTTTTTTGTTTATTAAGATTTCGAGAGAACAAACCTGTTCAACTAAATATTATATCGAAGGTTATATATATATAAAAGAATAGAGTTATGTATAATTTTTTATGAAGTTAAATTATTTTACCCTAACATTTTTGTATTAAGTGAGCTTCTTTTTTCTTTCTTTTATTGGTAATATGATTAAGTGACTTCTTATTGCATACAAGCATATGGAAGATAATTTATAGATAAGAGGCTCTAATGAAGTTGTAGTTCCTAATATATGTTTGATTGCATTAAAAGATAGAGTAATACGGATATTAGCACTTCAGCTTGAGTTGATTAACTAATTATGTCTATATTAGTTGTGTAGTATCGATCAACATGAATTGATTGTCCATTAAAACTTTGTAACTGCTATCTTGAATGAAGTTTTTCTTGATAAAATGAACAAATATATCACAATTGTTCATGATTACAAATAAACCAATAATATTCGTTTTTCTCTCTCTTATGTAAGTTGTCAAAATTTACACGCATAACTTCTATCCAAATTAGAAAATAATCTGGGGGGAGGTTTATTATTGATGTGGACAACTGGTTGGGAGGTGAATTTGTTGTCATACTTAGGTCGTATACATGTATCAATTAAACCCCAGATAATTATTGCTTTTGTTTGACGGGTTTTTATGGGAATCCAGAAACTCAAAATAGAAAATTTTCTTGGGAATTACTTCGACGTCTCTCACAATCAATGTATGGACCTTGGCTAGTCATCGGAGACTTTAATGAAATCTTGATGGCTTAAGAGAAAAAAGGTACGAGAGATCGCCCAACATATCAAATGAACTCTTTCGCCAAGCCTTGGCAGATTGTGACTTGTGTAGTGTCTCATGCCAAGGATATCCTTACACTTGGGCTAGAACATACCTGAGTGGGGATATGGTGGAGGAAAGGTTGGATATGTGTGTGGTTAATGAGAGAATTAGTGCGGATTATGGTCATATTCTGACATATCATTTAGTAGCACTAGGTTGGACATGTGTGTTTTTTCACGAAAGAGCCAACATAAGGGAACGGAAAAAAAATACAATAAAAGGGTTGTATGACGAAGATCATTTTTGGCAAACAGATAAGCAAGTTATTGGTTCGATGTTCTATAATTTTTTCAATAATTTATTTTCTACTTCAGGTGGCAGGGATATAGAGAGAGTCTTAGAGGTGATTGAGTCACAGGTGACACACCAGATGAATTACCAATTACTCCAACCTTTTACTAGAACAGATGTGGAGACTGCATTGTTTCACATGTATCCTACAAAGGCACCGGGGCATGATGGAATGCTGGCTCTTTTCTATCAACGCTACTGGCACATTATAAGGGATGAGGTATTGCACACGTCCTTGCAGATATTGAATGGAGAAAGCAATGTCCACATACTCTAATCTCCTTAATTCCTAAGGTGCAGACAAGTGACTGAATTTCGACCACTAAGTCTGTGTATAGTGATTTACAAAATTATTGCAAAGGCTTTTGCCAATAGACTCAAGTGCTTATTGCCTTCTGTTATCTCCGAGTCGCAAAGTGCTTTTGTACCCCAAAGTCTAATTCTTGATAATATGATGGCAGCCTTTGAGACAATGCATTTTATGAAAGGCTTGAAGAAGGGGCAACAAACGAAGGTGGCCATTAAACTTGACATGGCTAAGGCCTATGATCGAGTAGAGTGGTCATTTTTGCAAGCAATAATGTTGAGATTGAGATTTGCTTCAGAGTGGGTAAAACGGATAATGGACTGCTTAATAATAGTTACTTTTTCGGTGCTTTGGAAAGGTAATCCATTCGGGCACGTCGTTCTTCAGAGAGGGTTGAGACAAGGGTGTCCCTTTTCATCATACTTATTTTTAATGTGTGCTTAAGGCTTTTCAAAGCTGTTGTAGAATGCTGACAGGATAGGGAGTTTGCGTGGGATTCGAATTGCTCATGGAGTTCCTTTAGTCAATCATTTATTCTTTGTTAACGATAGTATTCTCTTTCTTGATGCAACTAAAGTCATGTGAAGCAGTGAAGAATATATTTCAAGTGTATGAGGAGACTTCTGGGCAGAAGTTCAAATTCACAAAGTCGGCTTTAAGTTTGAGCCCAAATGCTACTGCTGTTGAAAAACAAATAGTTTTGGATTTACTAAAAATTCCGTTGGTATATTGCCAAGAAAAATATTTAGGTTTGCCTATGGTGACGGGCAAGGGAAGAAAGCAGATTTTCAGGACTGTCAAAGATCGAATCGGAAAACGAAGTGGGTGGAAGGAAAAGCTCCTATCTAGAGCTGGTAAAGAGATCCTGATTAAAGTTGTGTTACATGCTATGCCCACCTACTCGATGAGTTGCTTTCGGATGGCTAAATTTTGATGGTCTAAAAGTAAGAATATGCGAGGTATTCATTGGATTAAATGGGAGACATTATGTATGAACAAGTAGATTGGAGGATTGAAGGATTGGGATTTAGAGACCTTGAGGCTTTTAATAAAGCTCTCCTTGCAAAACAAAGTTGGAGATTATTTTTTAATTGTAATTCCTTGGCAGCGAGAATTTTCAAGGCCCGATATTTCCCGCATTGTAATTTTCTAGAAGCTAGATTGAGGTATCGACCCTCACTTATTTGGAGTTCGTTGATATGGGGGAAGGATTTGTTAAAGGTGGGTTTGCGGTTGAGAGTTGAAATTGGTGAAGATATACATGTTTATCAGGATTGGTGGGTGCCTTTACCAATGAATTTCAAGATTATCTTAGCGCCACAATTTGATGCTTCTATGAAAGTATGTGAGTTGTTTAATGCAGCCGGACAATTGGATGAAGAGCTACTAAAAGCTAATTTTTAGGAACAGGAAGTGAAAGCTATCCTCCAAATCCCATTGGCTTCAATTCATAGAGAGGATAAATTAATTTGGCACTATGATCGAAGCGGCAAATACTCAGTCAGAAGTGATTATATGGTTGCATGCATGAAGAAGCAGAGGGAAAATGGCATGGAACGGCCTCGACACAAGATGGTACATTGTTATGGAAAAAACCGTGGAGTTTGCAGGTGCCTAATAAAATCAAATTCTTTCTATGGAGATGTATTTGGAGGTTTTTGCCTAGCAGACAAAATCTTTACCATAGGAAGATCTTGAATTCTCCAATATGTCCACGTTGTGGGAAGAAAGTGGAGTAAGTTATTCATACAATATAGGCTTGTAATGAAGTGAAAGAAATATGGTCTTGATCACACTGGAGCGCAAATCGACACGAGTGTAGAATTGCATCTTTCAAGGAACTTTGGCAAGCTGTGATTGTGGTCTCAAGTAAAGAGGAGGTGGATCTTTGTGCTTCTCTGTGCTGGGATATTTGGAATGATAGAAACAATATGTTGTTTCAAGGACGAAGTCTTGAGAGTGTATCAATGTTTAATAAAGCTTTGGCTTATTAGATGGAGTTTTACTCTGTAAATCTTGCCCTTATACGCTCCCATAGTAGGCAAGGGCCCAATCAGAGTTCTGTTAATTGGCATGCCCCATTGGATGGTCAGTACAAAATTAATGTTAACGGGGCAGCCAAACTTGATGGGTTAGTGCAGGGAGTTGGAGCAGTGATTTGCAATGGAAATAGGGAGTTTATGGCTGCTTGTTCTCGACAAATGGTGGGACATTTTAGTGCACAAGCTATGGCACTAATTCGTGCAAAGAAAGGTCTTCAGTTCGCATATGATCTTGGCTTTCATGACATTGTGCTAGAAATGGATGCGCAGGGGGCGGTAGATAGAATCAATTCTAATGAAGAGTGTTTTGAAGTTGAAAGGAATCTAGTGGAAGATATCAAGGAGATGCAGGGGTGGTTTAGATCTTTCTCGTGTAACTAGCAATGACGAGATGGTAACAAGGTTGCCCATGAGCTAGCTCAATATGGCCATAAGAACGCTGGTTTTTTCACATGGATTGAGGAGGAGCCATTATGGCTAACTCCTTTTCTTTCCGCAAATCTAGAAGCTAATGGCTGATCTTTGTGTTTGATGGCAAGTGGGAGGTGCTAATTTTCCTTGGGCAGATTTTCCTCCTTTTTTTGGGGGGGAGGGGGGGTGGGTTCCGCAAATCTAGAAGCTAATGGCTGATCTTTGTGTTTGATGGCAAGTGGGAGGTGCTAATTTTCCTTTGGCGGATTTTCCTTTTTTTTGGGGGGGGGGGGGTGGGTTTTATGCTAAAGGTTTTTTACATAGGCCAAAGCTTGCACATCTTTTTGTTTTCTTCTCAGTGTATTATGCTATCTGGTTATTGAATGAAATTCCTTTCATAAAAAACTAATAATAAAATAATAAAAATCCTCTAAATCATACCCTGGTTTTTGTACTTGTTTCATCCTTCATAATTAATAAAACACTATCACTTTTGTGTCAAAATAATATGATGAGATGATAATATTTGGGCATTTCAGTATCAATTAAAAAAGGATTTGAAATAATAAAGCATAGAACCATTCCAAAGTAAAAAAGAAACCATTAAATTTAGGCTGAATTTAGCTTGATGAAGAGGACAGGCACCACTCTTTTCGTCATAGGTGATAACGCATGCCATTTGGCGCACAATGCATAGAACTCTTCAAGTGATCAGCAACAAGGGCTTATGCCTTTTGCCAAAGCCAGCATGAGCATGTACTGCTCTTGGCTAAATATATGGAAATTCGGAAACCCTTTTGAATTGAGGTGCCATGGCCAAGAACCTTTCGTTTTCCCTTTGCACCTTTTGATCTTTGAAACACTGTGAGTGATGTAAGGTTGCAAATATTGTCAAAGATGGTGTTGAAGGCTGGCCAGGATAATAGCTAGCTAGGCTGTCGAATCTCATACCACAACCACTGGATGGATTTATAATGATAAAAGTTACTAATATGCTACAACACCATCCAATCCAAGCCCTTATCTTTTCTTGATTCTCTTGCTGATTCTTAGGTTCTTATAATTTCCAAATGGATTTTGTTTTGCTTTAATTGCTTGGTCTTAAACCTTAGAATATCGTTCCCGAATAAAATAGAGCTAAGAATTGATAATCACAATCGCTTGGGTTGCTTCCATTTTTGTGAAGTAGAGAGAATAAAGATGAAAGAGAGGGTGATATGTCTGTGCAGGTGGAATTGCAGTCATGAACTGAAGGTGATATGTCTGTGCAGGTAGAATTGCAGTCATGAACTGAAGGCACACATGAAATATTTAGTGTTGTGGGCTGTAAATTGTATGGTAAGCAATGATGGGTAGGTGAAGGGTTTAGGAATGTGTTATTACCATGCAAATTAAACATCAACTAATAGACAATTAGCAGATTATAGTGCTAGGACAAGCTCACCACCATTTTATGTTGGTTACTGGTTCTCTTTGGTGGTTGTTGGCTTGCTTTCGTGGCACGGCTTGTGCGGCACATATCTGTTATTGGTATTAGGATTTTCTAATGTTGTGTTGTGCTTTATGGGCTTTTGCCTTTTGTGGGCTTTTTGCCATTATGTGGGTTCTTTGCCTTTATGTGTGCTTCATGAATTTTGTTAGTTTTATTTGTAGTGGGCTATATGTTTGTTTGTTTTGCATTTTATGTAAACTCAATTATTTGAGTTCATTTTGATGTAATTTGACTTTGACCTTCTATTTAATGAAACTCGATTCCGACAAAAAAACAAAAAAAAACCTTTATTTCTTATATGGGGACTTTCTCTGATAGAAGTATCTGCTACAAAAAGAAAACTTGTGCATAACCAAAGCCAAGTCTGCATTACACACAATTATGCTCATTTATTTGGGTTGTTCATGTACATTTCACCCCTGAACCACCACTTTGAACAAAAATTGCTAATCGTCATATTTATTACTATTCTTGAAAAATACATTACGCATCTGTTCTTTAAAAGCTAAAATGACACGGAGATAAAGTCAATCAACAAAACAATCTGCACAAACAAAACTAACATGACATGAAATAGCAAACCCAAAAAGCCCAACAGGTGCTCCTAGAGTTGAGAAAGCAGGGCCAGCATTTTTGGGCGTGGCCTGCACTTTGCAAGCAAAGGGTGAGCTTTAGGCATGGTGAGCCCAGGCCCTTCACTCATATCCACCTTCTCCTCAACAATTCTTTCCCACTCAAAACACTGAACCAATGACCCTAAGGCCAGCCCAACCATCCTTATTGCTAAGCCCTCTCCAGGGCAGCCCCTCCTCCCTGTCCCAAATGGCAGCAACATGAAACCATCTCTCTCCCCTCGTACATTCAAAAACCTCTCTGGCTTAAACTGTTCAGGCTGTGACCACAGCTTAGGATTGTTCTGTATGGCCCACATGTTCACCAACAGCATTGTTCCACGTGGAACATGGTACCCTCCCACTGTACACTCCTCTGATGACTCATGGGGTACCAGCATTGGGTCTGCTGGGTACATCCGCAAGGTCTCATTTATGATGCCATGGAGATAGGGCAGCCTTGCAAAGTCTGCCTCTTCAATGAGCCTGCTTTGTCCTATTTCGATATCGATTTCGGTCTGTACTTTTGCAAGGGCTTCTGGGTTGTTCAGCAAAAGTGAGAGTGCCCATTCCATTGTTCCAGCTGAGGTTTCTGTCCCCGCTGATAACATCACCTGTGTGCAATTATGCAAAAAAGGCCTTAACCAAAAAATCATTGCATTTTTTATTGAATTGTTTTCATAGATTTTGGTTGGGAGAGCTTACTTGTATCATGCCTCTTATGATTTCATCACTGTAATATTCGGGTTCAGTTTCTTGCAGGGAAAGCAACACATCCACCATGGTCTTGCTCCTCTGTTCAGAAACAGAGCCACTCTGCATTTTTCTATGTTCTCCAATCAAATCTTGAGTGAATTTATCCCTCTTCTTCTGCAATATCACCAACTTCTTCTCAAGCCCAGTTACTCCCACATATTTCAAAGCTGGTACAAAATCTCCAATATTAGTGGCCCCACTCAACTCAAAAGTCTCTGTCACAAGTTCTTTAAACAGCTGAGCTTCCTCCAGTTTTGCCGCGTGTTCCCAGTAATATCGTTTTCCAGCAATCATCCTCATCAGAACATTAAGAGTCAGCCCAAAAAAAGTTGACTTCATGTCTAATCTCTGAAATTCACCACCATTAGAACCTCGAAAAACCCGGGAAACCAATGACCTGACTTCATCTGCACGGATGCCATGAAACATCTGAAGGCGGTGAGGTGACAATAACTCAAGGGAAGCTATGTGTCTCATGTTGCGCCAGTGAGAGCCATAAGATGCCCAGACAAGGGTGGTATAGTTGTATCCGAGGTGTTTGCCTGCAAGCAGCCCAGGACGGTTTGCGAAAGCAATGTCATTTTTGGTGAAGCATTCCTCAACTGCAGAGGGAGAACAGACAACAATGACAGGACGGGAACCAAATTGGATGTACAATATTGGACCATATTTTGTGGACAATTTGGCAAGTGTTCTGTGGAGGGGTTTCTTGATGAGGTGGAGATGACCTATGATGGGGAAGGAGAGACCAGGGCTTGGTGGGAGTCTTTTGTTAAATTTCTGCAAACAGTTCTTGAGGAAAAGGAAGATGATGAAGAGCAAAATGTAATAGTAAAATGAAGTTTCCATGGATATGGTGAATATTATCTGCAATGCTGAAACTGATGTACTTGCTAATATATGATCAAATCACCTGGTACATTTCACTGCTGGGCAATTTTATTGGTTGATGGAAAATAATAATAATATACAACAGTAGGTGTACAAAATTGGGGATGCTATCTAACAAGACAGCCGCTTGAGATTCCAATATGTAGTCCATCCAGATCACTTATATATGGAGACGCTGAAAATCCCAAGTAATTGCAGCTGGATACAAACTGACACTTCATCAACTTAAGGGCTTCAAGTATAATCAGCTTAGGGATCTGCCTAGCCCAGCCACACATATATATTAGCTTCACGTATATTGTATACAGAAATACTGTGACTGATTGGATTGTTGTCATTTGATGTTGTCCAATTAGATATCACACACCATTGTCTTATGGAAGCTCAAATATTCCCTATCATATGAATGAAGTAATGTCATGGCAGCATAAAAAAGAATATTAAAATAGTCTCTTTGTGGGTTCTTTACTTTTTCTTCTCAAGAAAGTTGGAAGAAATTATAACAGACTCTCTTCAAGTGATTGAATTTTCAAAGACTTGATGCAATCTACATTCTCTCAATGAACAAGTATCTAACACAAGCACTTAACAGGGTCTCATCTAACATTTTCATGGATCTCTTTCTCAAGCATTAGAGTATACTAAACAGAGCTTTTCCTTCGTGCACTAGTGTCGGCTGATAAATAATTCACACCAGAGTCACTCTCTTCTGTGCCGCTTGATCCGAGAAAGAACAATTCATGAGGCATATTGAGAAATTAGGCAGTGGATTTGAGCACAAGAGTTTGATGGCACTCACTCGTTACAGATACAATTTTTCTCTTTCCACACTCACAAAAAAAATAAACCACCTGCTAATCACAAAAATTCACAATCAAGGCCTTTGCTTTAAGGGTTAAACAATTTTTTCACTTTGTGAATGAGCCTTCTACATATTGGACACACCTTATTCTCCCCATCCATAATCCTGCAAGATTCATTTTAGTCAAAATCTGTATAAAATAAAATAAAATAACATGTGAAAAGAAGAATACGAAACTCTTTGTTTATGTACCTCTGAGCACAGTCATAGCAGGTGGCACAATGACCACAGGGAACAAAGAAGGAGTTGCGCTGCTCATCATAACAAATTATGCATAATTTTTCATCGTATAATTCCTCTGAGGAGCTACTAGAGGCTCCTGGATCTTCTTCATCTTCTTCATTTGTCCCATATGTCCGTCGAATATTCTTCTGTGGCACTATAGGGTAAGTCTCATTAACTTCTTCCTCTACTCTTTCTACTAGTGTACTACTCTCACCATCACAGGCGCCAAGGTATTTCAATATAAGAAAAATAGTCACCACAATAAACCCTGAAAGTTGAACATAATTGAGATCAATGATTGAAATCACAAGATTATTGAAAAAAAGTACTAGGAGATCAGCAGAAGTTAGGTCTTTTTCTGCTTTCTGTACCTAAAATTGCAATGTAGGTTACGACACGGGCCACAAATGAAAGCTCAATGTACCAATCACCAAGATCCCCCTGCAATGACTTTGTTGGTTATGTTGCCTCAAATTTTGTAACTAGGTGAGATAAGCATGGGATCAGGCCTTACATTGTTAGGTGTGGTTAGTATGACATAGTGAGTATTGGGGAATGCTAGTCTGAGCCGGCACGAACCCTTTGTTGTTGAGCAGATGGCCTTAGCTTTCGTAATGTCATACATCGTTGAGGAAACATTTACATTCAATGTTATGATTATGCCTCTAGGTTTTGTGTTTATGATGTCAAGGTAGTACTTGTCATCTTCCTCAATATTGTACTCAGCTTCTTTACCTGAACAAGCACACATATGATGAACATTTGCACGCAAGTTTTGTGATCAGTTTTTTCATGCCCCTAAAACACTTCCTTTTTTATGCAATCTATTTGTATCACACTAGTTTTGAAAATGTAGAATTGGTTACCGAATTTGGGTTCCTTAGAGGCAAGGCTATCTTGAGAACTTGTATGTTCCGGCTGCAATATTTCAATCTTTTGTTCCCCTGTCAAAACATGAATACATTTGCTATAGGATGAGACCCGAAACGTAAATTAGATGCAGCGTAAAGAGAAAATAGAGTTATGCTACTCTCATTAAATTTGTTCACCAAATAATGCGACAGTTTCTCATTTATTCAAAATTTGGGTTCATTATGGACCTCATTTACTTGTAACACCTGTGACAAAATTTATTGAAACTTACCTTTAAGCATAACAACTTGGAGTTTATTTAATGTGGTGGCATGAGCTTCCACTCTCATGGATATCCTTGAACCCTTGTTTAACCAGAAGGAAAATCCCTGAAAAGAAAATTTCAACCTCTCTAGAGATCCAAATCAATAATTTGGAGGCAATGCATAAACGTGGGAGCTAAGAAACCATAATTGCACAAATTAAATCAAATTAAAATTTTCAATTGGTACATACCTTGCGACTATAGGACCCAACAATCAAGTAATTGGAGACAGTCCAATTGGTTTGGTGGCTCAATTCAGGCTCTTCAGAGAAAGCATAGAGAGAGACCCCTTTCCTGTCAACATCTCTCACTTCAACATGTTCTACAAAGACAGCGCTAGCCGTCATCAAGCGAGAGGAGTTCGGCCCAAGCTCCATCCGACGGTCGCCATAATACCCGTACCGGAGACTCACCGAAACTGCCAAAAAAACAAGTGAAATGCTCTGTTTGAGATGCAGGGGTCAGTGGAAGAGAAATTGGCATTGAAGATGAAAAACTTATGTATACATGCCGCATATCCAAAGGGTCAAAGGAGTAAGGAGGCGAGCCCAAGTCTCTTGCCACCGCTGATGGCCGGCGGGAGGAGTCGGATGCGCCCACATCTGACGGTACATGGCTCGCGCAGAAGGATGGGGCTGACAGAGAGCGAGAGAGAAAGCTACAGAGAGTGGTGGTTGTTAGAAGAAGTTTCAATTGTTCCACTGGAGGAGAGGAATTGGGATTGGGGGGAAGAAGACTAGTAGCTTTGTGTTTGGTAGTTTTGTTAGGTTCTTCCATCAGCTCAACTAACCGTTTTTTCATGTAGTTGGCGGAAAATTTGAATGGCAAGTTTTTTTTTGAATGTTAGGTGTTAGTTATTTTCGTTATTTCATGGCAGCCTTGTACAGTAACTTAACCCATAGTTTTCAATGGGTTTCTTTCTACCCTTTGTGCCTCATTTACTATACGAGCACATTATTTGATGAGCTAATTTAATAGCTCTATTATTTTTGTATGTATTGTAATTTATTTTTTAATTTAAGAAGTTTTGTGTCTTGATTTATTTAAAGTAGATCCTTTATATTTTTATTTTTTTTGGTCAACAAAGCAAGATATGTATCTATATATATAAAGGCAGATGCAAAGAACGGTAAAATATTCAAAATACCAAAAAGTGCACTTGGTTAATAAATTTATTAAGAAGTGAAATTTTTCATTTTTAAAAAAGTTAAATAAAAACATGGGTATTTTCATGTGACACCACACAACAACCAAATCCATTTTCTCTTTCTTAATTCTAAAATGAAAAAAAAAATCCAATCGGCAAACATGCTGGCCAAGGGGCTTGTGCCTTATTATTTGTAGGGCAAAATTGATTTATTGTCAGTTGTGGCCAGCTGCCACTAGTTGGGTTTTTCAGATTTTTTAATTATGAAAATATACATGTGACTCTTTGTATCTCATTGATTTTCATTAGTTGATTAAAATCCAAGATTAAGCAATAAATTTTAATTATGTAATAAGATGACGCAACAATGAAAATAACATGAGAGGTTGATATTTGAGTTCTATATCAAGAAGTAGAAAACAAACAGATTCATCGTCGTAGTGCAGAATTATCTTATCTCATATCAATAGCAATGGAAAGTTCATTCTACTATTACATTTTGCTCTTCGTCATCTTCCTTTTCCTCAAGAACTATTTGCAGAAATTTAGCAAAAGACTCCCACCAAGCCCTGCTCTCTCCTTCCCCATCATAGGCCATCTCTACCTCTTCAAGAAACCCCTCCACAGAACACTTGCCAAATTGTCCAACAAATATGGCCCCGTCGCATACTTCCAATTTGGCTCCCGCTCTGTCATTGTTGTGTCCTCTCCTTCCGCAGCTGAGGAATGCTTCACCAAAAACGACATCGTTTTTGCCAACCGTCCAAAGCTGCTTGCCGGAAAACACCTTGGATATAACTACACCTCCCTTACCTGGGCCTCCTATGGCTCCCACTGGCGCAACCTAAGACGCATAACTTCCCTTGAGTTATTGTCGTCGAACCGCCTTCAGATGTTTAATAGCATCCGTGTCGATGAAGTCAGTTCACTGGTTTGCCGGCTTTTTAGAGGCTCTAAGGGTGGTGGGGAGTTTCAGAGTTTGGACATGAAGTCAACGTTTTTTGAGCTGACTCTTAATGTTATGATGAGGATGATTGCTGGGAAGAGATATCATGGGGAGCATGTGGCAGATTTGGAGGAAGCTAAGCGATTTGAAGAAATTATGGTAGAGAGCTTTCGATTGAGTGGGGCTACTAATATTGGAGATTTTGTACCAGCTTTGAACTTTTTGGGAGTGAGTGGGCTGGAGAAGAAGCTGGTGGTTTTGCAGAGGAAGAGGGATAAATTCATGCAGGATTTGATTGAAGAACATAGAAAAAAACAGAGTGGCTCTGCTTCTGAACAGAGGAGCAAGACCATGGTGGAGGTTTTGTTATCGCTTCAAGGAAATGAACCTGAATATTATACAGATGAAATCATAAGAGGCATAATGCAAGTAAGTAGTCTCTCTCACCCACAATTTGTGAAATCCAATAACAAAATGCAAAACAAGGGCTATATGCAAAACTCAGATCAAATATCAAACTTGTGTTTCAAGGTTGAAATATGAAATGAACTGGTTGGTTTAAAAGCTTTTTGCACAATTGCACACAGGTGATGCTAGCAGCAGGGACAGAGACCTCATCTGGAACCATGGAATGGGCTCTATCGCTTTTGCTTAACAACCCAGAAGCCCTTGTGAAAGCTCAGAGTGAAATTGATATTCACATTGGACAAAGCAGGCTAATTGAAGAATCAGACCTTGCCAAGCTTCCCCATCTCCATGGCATCATCAATGAGACCCTCCGGATGTACCCAGCAGGCCCACTGCTGGTCCCACACGAGTCATCAGAGGACTGTACCGTGGGAGGTTTCGATGTTCCACGCGGAACAATGCTGTTGGTGAATATCTGGGCCATACAGAACAACCCAAAGTTGTGGTCACAGCCTGAACAATTTAGGCCAGAGAGGTTTTTGAATGTACAAGGGGAAAGAGATGGTTTCTTGTTGTTGCCATTTGGGACAGGGAGGAGAGGTTGTCCTGGGGAAGGGTTAGCAAGTCGGATTCTTGGACTGGCATTGGGATCACTGATTCAGTGTTTTGATTGGGAGAGGATTGGTGAGGAGATGGTGGACATGAGTGAAGGGCCTGGGCTCACCATGCCTAAAGCTCACCCTTTACTTGCAAAGTGCAGGCCACGCCCAACAATGCTGAACCTACTTTCTCAACTCTGAGAATAACTATTGGGCATTTTTGGGTTGCTAATTCATGTCATATATACACATTATCTTCAGATGGTATTAGATATGATAATCCCTATTTTGGTTTTAGGCAAGATTTTCAAGTTTGGTTATGTATTTGTGATAATTACATTGTCACATGGAATCAAAATCTTGCATTCCACTATCTACTACATCAATTATCAGAACGTAAATGTTTTCTTTGACACAAGCAATAAATATGGAAGAAGGAATCAAACAAATGACCTCGGCTATAGGAGTACATGTTGCTCTAACCACTTGAGTTACAAGCCGGTTATTAGTAGTTGAATTATGAAATTAATGAGTGGCACTTTCAGACATGAGTATGCTCGAAAAGGGTTTGTCTAGCAGTTTCCAGTTTGCAAAGGGCATCCCTCAAGCCAATGCGTCCATCAGGCGAAGCACAAGTACAAGAGATCCCAACCTCCATAATTGAGATCAGGCAATTACGTTCTGCTTCGGGGATGATATTAATTTGGCCTTCATTAGGCAGATGCTGCATGAGGTGTAGCAGCTCAGAGTCTAGTACCTGTACAATGTTTTCAGGGAAGGCTGATTGCACCCATCTAATAAGGTTTTGATCTCCTGTGAAATTTTCATGGGTTGGGCTTTTTCCAGTAAACAGCTCCAACAGCACCACTGCGAAACTGTATGCATCTCCGGCTGTCGATGGTTTTTGTCCAAAACCATACTCTGCATAATATTTCATTCTTATTTTTTGTAAACAATCATAAAACCTAGCTTGATGTATAAGGTAAACCACATACTTCAAATGAGAAGAGGGCTGCTTAATACTAACCTGGGGGCATATATCCTATGGAACCCTTTAGGACATTTGTGGAGCTGAGATCGTTATTGCCAGTTCTTTCTATCAGCAACTTGGCCAGCCCAAAATCTCCAATTTTCGCAGTCATATCTCTGTCCAGAAGAATGTTGCTAGGCTTTAAATCACAGTGTGCCACTGCAACTTCGCAATCATGATGCAGATAATCCAACCCACAAGCAACATCAATGGCCACATTGAGTCTGTCCACAATGTTCAATCCATCTCCATTTGCGTTCTTTCTCTTACCCTTAATCCAATCTTCCAAGCTCCCATTACTCAGATACTCATAAACCGAAGCCAGAAACTCCATATTCTTAAAGTCTATGCTGGAGCATGATGTGATCAGCTTAACAAGATTTCGGTGCCTTGTGCTCCTCAGTGCCTCACACTCTGCCAAAAAACTCTTCAAGGATGCTGTCTTTCTTATATCAAGCACCTTCACTGCAACTTCAATTCCTTCTCTTAGACACCCTTTGTACACAGACCCAAAGCTCCCACTTCCAATCAAATTCTCCTGGTTGAAATTTCCGGTTGCCCCATGGAGCTCTTCATATGTGACCATTCGATGCTGCCCCTTTTACTACTAAATCAGAAGTTGCTGCTACTCTTGCTTTGCTTTTCCTAACATAGAGCAAACAACCACCCATAATGCATACTGCCAATATTCCCAATATTGTTGTAACTGAGACCAGTACTTTTCTCCTATGACTGCTTGCAGCACTCTCCACACAAGGAAAATGTAGGCAGAGCTTTGGGTTGCCTTCAAGATAGACACTAGAGATATTTTTAACAAATATTCCACCATTAGGAATTACTCCTTCTAAGAGATTAAAGGAAAGGTTCAAGTAGCGCAGAACCCGTAGGTCTTTAAGTGTATCAGGAATGGACCCAGAAAGCTGGTTTGAGGACAGGTCTAGAATCTCAAGACCTTTCATTTCTCCAAGAGCATTAGGAAGAGGACCAGAAAGTGTATTTCTGACCATGAACAATCCCACCAAGCTTGAACACTTTCCGATTGAGCTGGGAATGGATCCAGAGAAGCGGTTGTCGGAGAGGTCTATAGTGACCACAGTTCCTAGGAGCCCAATTTCTTCAGGCAAAGTTCCACTCAAAAAGTTGTTGGACAAATTCAAAATGGTGCTCAAACTTGGGATTGGGAGGCTTAGAAATATTTCTCTAGAAATGCTTCCATTGAGCAAGTTGTTGGATAAGTCCATGGAAAGCAACTTCTGAAAGTTGGGAAAAGAAGGGGGTATATTGCCAACAAAGTAATTTCCGGATAAATCAATGTTGTTCAACATTCTGAGCTTACCTAAGGAGTTTGGAATATGGACAGACATTTTGTTTGCTGCTAAACCAAGCATTTGCAAATCTTTCAGCTGGCCTATTTCAGGTGGGATTGCACCAGAGATCAAATTGTAGCTTACTTTAAGCAAAGTCAAGCTACTGAGGTGACCAATTGAGGAGGGTATGTGACCGTAAATATGGTTCCCTCCCATGTACAGCTTTTCGATAACTCCAGAGAGATTGCCAATGGACTCTGGAATTACACCCTCCAAATTATTATCATCAATGCCAAGGAATTGGAGACGGGTGTTGTTTGTCAAGGAAGTGAGGAAACTGAGACCATCGTCGCCGTAGCTAAGGATCTGATTGAAACCAATGTTGTACCTTTCAAGGAACTGCAAATTTCCAAGGCCTGGTGGAACTGATCCTTCAAACAAGTTGTTGGCCAAGCGAATTGATCGAATACCGGAGATATTGTGCAAAGAAGCAGGAATTTTTCCCGTGAATTGATTGATACAAGTTCTGAAGTATAGAAGATTTGGAAGTGTGTGACCAATATTGCTTGGAATCTCACCCCATAGTTGGTTTGAAGCTACGGTGAACAAAACTAGAGAAGAGATGTTGTATATGGAAAGGGCAACAGTCCCAGTGAGTTGGTTAACAGCAAGATCAAGTTCCTTGAGTTTATAAAGGAAACCCAATTCACTCGGTATCCTACCACTGAGACTATTTGTGCCTAAGTTCAAATGTGTGAGAGTGGATGAGAGGTTGCTTATGGATGATGGGATTGGACCATGAAGATTGTTTCGTGCCAAATTCAAGACTTGAAGATTTTTCAAGCGACTGAGATTTTCAGGAAGAGTTCCTGTGATGTTATTTGAGGCCAAGTCAAGTGTTTGGAGCGCAATAAGTTGGGTCATGTTTGATGGCAGTGGACCTTGAATGGTGTTGGAGCTCAAGTTTAGAGATTTCAAGCGGAAAAGGTGGAGAAATTGAGAGGGAATGTTTCCTATTAATTTGTTGTTTTGAAGGTGAAGGGAACGGAGGAAGGAGAGGTTACCGATGTGAGGGCTTATGGAGCCTGCAAGTCCCAAGCCGGAAAGCTGAAGAGCAACAACTCTGTTGCCAAGTTTGTTGCAAACATCTCCAGTCCAGTTGGTGCATAGAGATGAGTTTTGGTCCCAATAAGATGGAGGGAGACTGACCCCTGACTTGAATGAGATCAAAGCCTCCTTGTCCGTGACAGTGCTTGTAATGGCTGGCTCAACGCTCACAAATATGCATACAAGAACATAGAATGTTATGGCAAATGTTTGAGGCAATAGATGGAATTGGGAAACCATATCTCTTCTTATGTTTTGTTTTTCTGTTTTTGAATTTGAACTCTAACGGAATAATAGGTTATGCTTATACCAGTTTTAAGTCATATTTATAAGCCCGAATCCTTGGTCAATATATATGCTACGTCATTTGTGGTTGTCCAACGTTGGACTTGAATTTTGCATCCCGCAATTTCGGTTATAATTACAATAGTTTAAGATGGTTTAAGACTTGAGTTATGATTATGATAATATTAAGAGTTTTGATTCTGTATTAGTATAACAAAAAAAATGGAGAATGAAATTACAATTGGGAAATGATAGTTTAGGAATGAAATACTCAAATTGAGATAAAAGTCTTGTTTTGTAATTCGTTTAAGTGCATTATTGTTGGGAGACGACTTTTAAAATGTGTTTTTATCTATCATCTTAATTTAGAATGTTACTCCCAATGTTTTCATTATAAAAAAAATAATTACAAACATCATGCAAAATCACATGTTAACTTTACATTACGAGCCTATTCTACTTATGATATGCATTGACTTTTGAATTTTTTGGGGGGTCAAACATTGACTTTTGAATTTAGAATTTAGATTTCAGCATGATAACTACTAGCCTCTAGGCACAAATTTAGCGTGTGTCAAAAGAGTTTTTGAAGTATGATAATTTGATGCTTGAAATTTAAATTTTAAAAAGTTATTTGCTGGAAAAATGTACAAAAAAAAGGTATTTGTAGTTTAGTTAGCCAAGAAATAGAAAAGAATACACATATGATTGAGTTTCAATTATTCAAGGAAAGATGTTTAGTTCTCTCCTGAAGAAAGATGTTTCATTCGTTACCAAGATTTTGAAGTCAAGATGTCTCAGATTTTTTTCTTTCTTTGGTATAATAAAAAAGAATGGGTTTCTTCTGCTTCTTTTGTTTTAGGCTGTACGATCCCTTGTACCATAAAAAATTAAAAAATTAAAAAATAATAATAATTTCATACGGGGCTACATCTCTTTCCTATGGACAATAACCCACAAGTTCCTTAATAATCGGTTGGCAAAATATATATATATATATATATTTCATTTTAGAAATTCAGAAACCTGATCAAAGCAGCAGCCGCAAGAGAATCAACATAAGGGAAATCATGAAGGAAAATGAAAAGTTCATTGAATTAGGAAACGGTGAGTTGATTAGGCACAAGATTGGTTACATGGCAAGAACATAATTTAACAAAATTGAAAATAAAATAAACTAATTTTAACCAAAGTGAAAACGCCAAGAATTTGCATGATCGACAAGTGCTTCTCCTCCATGCACGGGATGATCTGCAAAGGCCCTCAAATCTCAAGGCAAGTTATGAAGCCTGAAGCCCAACCAGAGACAAACTCTCACCAGAGTCTCTGCAATTACGCAACGGGATGGTCGTTGGGGAACATGCAGATAGACATCGTGGGTGTGAGCGCAGAATCAAAGGTTCAGCGCAAACAAGAAAAATACGACACGTCGCATTTTCTCTACGTGCTATGTGGGACCCTCCCACAATCCCCTCGTCCCCCTTCGATAAATCATGCCTAATGTATTAGCTCAGCCTCCTTGTTTTCTCTTTGACATATACAAACTAACTATAGCTCGTTACAAAATACAAATTTCTTTTATCTGATCTTTTTTTTCCCTCTTAATCTTCTTTGTGATTATCTTCAAAATTTAAACTTTAGTATTCAACATTAGTTGACAATCTAATTTCATGTGTTCGGCCTTCTGATAATATAAAATCAAAATAATCAATAATGATAAATCCACTATACAATAAGTTTACATGTTTAATAGGTTTAGTGTTTAGATATTATTAACGCTAAACACGTAATAATTTACACCGACTCATAAAATCAAGTTATCACATAATTTCACCGTCATACTCGAAGAGTTCTCGTCAGTTGTTTAACCTTACACCGCCATATCTATGTGTATATGTCAGATAATTCCATAAATAGCCTAATAGTGACAAACTCAATTATCTACATATCTCCTTATCCTTCTCCCGTAGTTTTCTTCTTGTACCTTCTATCTTGAACTATATATGGGTGTGAGAGCCAAAGATTCCTCCTCTTTCTCCATCATGTTGATTATCTTTCTATATAGGTAGCTGGCTAGGTTTCCCAAAATAGCAAAACATAAAAGGAAAGGGGAGAAGAATTACAAAAAATTGTAAAAGCTAGCTTAGGAATAAATTAAAGGAATGGGGAGAGTGAAGCTTCAAATCAAGATGATTGAGAATACGACTAATAGACAAGTTACTTACTCAAAAAGAAGAAACGGACTTATCAAGAAAGCTTATGAACTTTCTGTTCTATGTGATGTTGATGTAGCTCTCATCATGTTTTCTCCATCTGGGAGACTCAGTCTCTTCTCTGGCAATAAAAGGTGACCATCTGACTGCCTCTCAATATAAGATGCTCAATATTGGTAAAGCATGACAATAATTATTTTATTTTATATCCTATTACCTATTTACTAGTTTACTAGTTTACTAATACCAATAAATTAAAAATGATTAGTTTTTCCTGTTTCTTTTGATGTTTTGTGAAGCATTGAAGAGATTCTAGCACGCTATGTTAATCTTCCTGGGCATGAACGAGAAGGACGGTAAGGAGCATCATCTGATTATGTATTGAACTTGTCATCATCAATATGGTGTTTGTGCTAATGGTTTTTCTTTTCTTCTCTTGTTCGATGCTTTTCTATCAACTTTCTTTACCATTATAAAGTCTGCATAATCAAGAGGTAAGCAGCTAGCACTAAGTCTGCCATATTATCTTATATATGAACTTTTATGTAATATCAATCTTTACTTCTTTTAATTGTTGATCATTTGAGTGTGTTTAAATGTGCAGTTTCTCCAGCGCGTTCTTGTTAAGTTGAGGAGGGAAGCTGATCAAACCCATCAAGCAACCAGGTCTTGGCTCCCTTTCTTTTATTATATAATGTGATGTTCTCATTGTGATCAGACAATTTGCAGAGTTAAAATTGTCAATACTTCAGTTATATTTGAAGATAAGATTCGCGGCAACATAATAGAAAGTAGGAATAATATATATAAACATAGACGTTATATTGACAATTTTCCATGTCATTTTGATGGATGCAGCCCAATCAGTACTGATTCTGATCAACTCGAGGTCAAGCACATGCAAGCAAGCAGTTGATATTGGCAGCTTAATTAATACATTCTTTAAGTAGATGAAAATTGATTCATTTCTTATCAATTACGTACAGGAGATTCAACAAGAAATCCTATGCTGCAAGTCACAAGTAAAAGAAATGGAAAATCAACTGAGGTGCAATTTAATTCTTTGCACCTTGAAACCCTAAACTCTCCTATATGTTTTTAAATAATTAGTTTACAATTAGCAAGCATATGAATTCATGTTATAAGCTAAGTTTCCATTGCAGGATATTTGAAGGTGATCTCTCTGAAGTCACGACATTGCATGAGGCTGAGTACCGGGAGCAGATCCTTGAAGAAACTCTAAAACATTTGCATGTGCGCAAGGTATGTATATATATACATTCTACTGTCATTATAATATCAAGCCTAGCTAACTAATGGACAATTTAATTATGGCACAGCTGCAAATCCTGGAAGAGTATGATTCTTCTGCTACAGAGACTACAGTAGTACAGGTGTGTGTTATTTGGCATCATTATTATTAAGAACGAAGAATTAATGCATCAAGAATGTCAAGGAAAAAATATCAAATATATATATATATATATATATATATCATGAATTTGAGTATGTAGGTACATGCACCTCCAGCTACAACAAATGTAGATGAATTTGTGACAGCAAGTCCACACAATATTCTGGTTGACTGGCTTCCACAAAGAGACCCACAAGTTCAGATCCTCAACTTCTTGAATGCAAATGGCCTTCTTCCCCTAAGGTGTTTAAATCTTATTTATTAGCTATGGAAATTAATCAATTTCTTATTTTTAATCAAATTATATCATTTTTGTTGTTGTTGTTGTTGGAATTCAGAGGTGAGGCGCAAAGTAGACTTGAAGTCATAGCAGCACCCCAGTCATCAACACTCCTTCATGGCATAAATCTTGAAGATCGGATGAACCCAGGCAGAGGCAGTGGTTTAGACGATGAGAATAACAACACTACTCTGCAACGTCCAGAGCTGGGACAAGTTATTGATGTCAACTTGTCCCCGTGGAATGACTTCTACCAGACAAGTACTTCTTTTGCATGAAATTAATTAATGATCCTTGAAATAAAAATTTAATTCTCTCAGCTCTACATGCAAATTAGTCATTAGAGTTATATTAGAAAATTTTAAATATTCATTATCTTTACTATTAAAGTAAGAGAGTAACCATGGTTGGTAGATTGATGATTAGAAATTTACATTTCTTTCCAGGTAATGAACTGGTTTCTGCTTCACGTCCCACAGGACGAGTACTTGAAGAAATATATATGCCGTCTGATCAGTTCAATCCACCAACTTTCTTGAGTACACCACCAAATCATCTGCATGATGATCAACAACAAAGATGACATTGTATGTGTATATTTGCTTAGACGATAGTATTTTACTTCTCCTCCTTCATGCTTGAACATGTTGAATGTAGATAATGCTAAAATATGAATATGGTTTGAATGTATTAGGTTGTTATTTATTCTTCTCCATAAGGAGGTATATATAGGAGTTTACATATAAGAGTTTTACAAGGAATTAGATATAATAAAGAATTAGGAAAGTATCTCCTAATTGTACAATGATTTATCACTTATATAAAAAATATTAAAGTAAATTCCTTAATTAATCAAGGAAGTAAATCTCCTTGATTAATTAGGAGACTCACGTCAACACTCCTCCTCAAGTTGGTGCATATATTTCACAAATGCCCAACTTGGTAAGTGAGTCATGAAATACTCTTCCACACTCACAGCATATGCAATATCTAATCTTGGAGGACGTATGAAGAGTAGAACATTTGGTGGTAGTGGTTATAGAAGAAGGAGTCTAGGTAGCCAGGTCAGCAGGATTGACCGCATGCTTCTGTGATTCTGCAACAAGATGGAGAATCGTATGGGTTCTTGACATCGCATCGAAAGTAAAATGTGATATGAGAAGATGAGGAAGGTGATGTGAGAAAACATTTAGACATCAGCAGTGAATTATGTACCGACATCAGCAGCCTTAGAGACAAAAATGGAAGCAAAAACAAATTCCATATTTTAGACATTCAGAAACCATGATAAAACTAGCAGCCGCAAGAGAATCAACAGAAGGGAAGGCCTCAAGGAAAACAAAGCTTCATTGTAATTGATATGGCAACTCTGATCAAAACTTCCCCAAACCCTTTACAATTCAGAAAGAAAATAAGAAGGGCTTAATTTGCGACTTCGCATATATATATATATATATGTGTGTGTGTGTGGTAGAAAATCCTCCTCGTTGTTGACGCAGAAATCGAACACCGCAAGCTCACTCTATGTGCTACGTGGGACCCCCCCCCCTCAATCCCCTTGTCCCTTCTGGTAATGCTTGATAAATCATATATCATGCATTAGCTCACCATCCTTGTTTTCTCTTTCGATTTATCCATACAATTTCTTTTATACGATTTTTTTTTTGCCATGTTAATTTCTTTCGAATTAAACTTTATTATTCAACATTATATCTTGACAATCTTGTTTTATAACAGGGGAAATGCTGACAACTTTCTCTCTAACCTTCTCCTTTGGACCTTCTCCTTTTTTTGCTTGACACGTGTCATTCTCCTTACACTTAAAATAATGTCATTAATATATTATACAAGTTAACTTTTGCTTTACAAGTTTACCCTCATTAAATGTATTCAATTTATCCTCACAAAAATTCACAACTTTCTTACAATCCTATTATTATTATTTTTAAATGTCAATTATTTTTTTTAAAGAAAATGTATGTTTTTTTCAAAAAAGAGGAAATATCCGTTTTTTTTTAAAACACAAAGGACTTCTTCTTCTTTTTTCCCTATATAAACCCTTTGTGTTATAAATTATTACAAAAAATAAAATAAAAAGGGACATTTCCTCTTAAAAGCAGATATTTTCTTTAAAAAAAATAATTGACGTTGGAAAAAATAATAATAAGATGGTAAGAAACTTGTGAATTTTTTTTGGATAAATTGAATACATTTAATAAGGGTAAACTTGGAAAGCAAAAGTTAGCTTGTATAATATATTAATGACATTGTTTTAAGTGTAAAGAGAATAACACATGTCAAGCAAAAAAAGGAGAAGGTTCAAAGGAGAAGGTTAGAAAGAATGTTGCTAGCATTCCTCTTATAACAGTGATTGACAATGACAGTTAAACGTAAAATCAAATTAATCAATAATGAGAAATCCTCTGTACAACAGTTTTTCAAACCATCCATATATAATAATTTAGACCGACTTCTACATTGAAAAAGATAAGATATTTGTATGAAAGTATGATTTATTCTATTTTTTTAATTTGAGAATTGAATGACTTTTTATTGGGTGAGTTCATATAAAAATAAATAAATAAAAATTGGTCTATCTTATTTTCTTTCTATTCATTTTTATCATCTATGAATAATAACATATTTATAATAATTAAATAAAAAATCAATTTATTAATAACTCAATCAAAATAAATAAAATACAATTATTCTGATGAACAAAATGTCTGTTATGCTCAATATACTCAATATACTTAGCTTCATATGTATATATGTGACTCTTCTGATTGACAATACGACTCAAAGAGTTGTTTCTCTTCATCTTTCAGATATGGGTCTTACATGATTCATAAATCCTCATATTAGCAGTCTGACATAAACCCTCATATTAATGCCAAATTCAAGTGGACCTTGTAAGCTTGAAAGATGAAGAGAAACAACTCTCTTAGTCGTATTTTCAATCCTCTTGATTTGAAGCTTTACTCTCCCTATTCTTTTATAGATTTTGCAATTTATTCCTAAAGTAGCTTTTACAATTTTATTTTTATAGATTTTGCACCTTTCATTTTCTATTTTGCTATTTTGGGAAACCTAACTAGCTACCTATATGGGAAGGTAATTAATATGATGGAGAAATAGGATGAATCTTTTGCTCTCACTCGTATATATACCTCAAGATATAATTTACATGGATGAACCAAAATAAAAGTGAGGAGAAGAAAACGAAAGAGGAAGATAATGAGCAACATAAACAACTGAGTTTTTTCATTGTCAGGTCATTTTACTAGAGTTTTTGTTCATCATAATAATTTTATTTTATTTACTTTTAATGGATTATTTATAAAATCATTTTTTATTATTTAATTATTATAAATATGTTATTATTTATAGAAGAGAAAAATGAATAAAAAGAAAATAAGATAGACCAAAAAAATTTATTCGATTTGAACTCACCCAATAAAAAATCATTCAATTATAAAAAATAAAAAATAAAAAATCATACTTTCATACAATATCTTATATTTTTCAATGTAGAAGTTGGTCTTCATGGAAGCTTCATTACAATAATTGTTTTAGGTTGAGGTGTGTGATCACTATTCTTAAAAGTAGATTTCACCCGTCAGATATAATATTTTAGTAAACACTCGCAACATTTGGTTTAGATGAACAACTTGAATTTTCCCTTGAGAAATAAACTAAAAATTGAAAGAACAATGCGAAGGAGAGGAGTACCACAATGTAGAGGAGTGAGAAAATTGTTTGAATGTTGTTGCTCTAATAGAAGGTTTATATAATGTGTGCCTCCCTAAGGCGTTAGACCAATAAAAACACGCTTAAAAGTCTGCCAGTCTTGCAAATAAAATTCTTACCGCTGCTGTTGAAGAGTTTACGTGCAGCATATAATATGAACATGTCACATCATGTAGTATAAAAATATGGGACAAAAATATGATAAGTATAGCGTTACTCTTTGATATACAGGAGCTGGCTATTCAATTGAGGCTAGGCATTCAAATTTCAATAAAACTCCAGCACCTTTTTATCTTTTTCTTTTTCAAACAATAAAGGCAATAAACATAGATGAGTTTTATTTAATTTTGAATCTCTGGAACTATATTCTCGTTTTGGGCTTAAAAGAGTCGGAGGACCTATCCCACATCCTGCACTGCAGCCCATGCTCACAGAAGCCCAATAGAGGCAGAAGCTGTCGGCAATGTCATTGCCCTTCTAGAGAGCAACGAACTGTATAGCATCAATTGACCGCTCCTCTGCTCAACTGAAGTAATGATATGATTATGGATAAGCTTTTGAATGGAAACCACACCAATTTACAGTTATATTCTCTTTTGATTTAAGAAGTAAAGGATTTTTGATTGGGTGAGTTCAAATCAAAGAAAGTCTTGATCTATCTTATTTTCTTTTTTATTCATTTTCTCTTCTATGAATAAACATATTTATAATAATTAATTAATAAATAAATAAAAACTGAATTTGTTAATAGCTCAATCAATATAAATTATCCTCAAGAATAAAATGTTTATTAAGCTTAATATATTCAGTACGGTCTCTCTAAATTTCTTCTTCCTCTTAATTCTTTCTTCAGTGTGTCCCAGCGTGTCCATGAGGTCATAGTCCATGTGTGACATACACTTCAACCATCATGTTGTAATGTTTGTACACAACTTTAAATTGACATGAAATTAGCAAGTTTGGATTATGTTTTGTTTGACATAAACACGAATATGACATGACTGTTAAACAAGAAAATAACATATCAAATTAGTGTCAAACTTAGTATGCTTGTCGATCAAATAAGAGGTTGCGAGTACATGCTCCTCTGCCTTTTGTACACCAATATATGCTTCACTCGTTTTTGGTATCCCTAGTACTTGTTGATCAACTTTGAGATCTATGGCACGCATCAAATCGTGTGGAAGCCTAGCACATTATTATGAACAAATATATTCATAAGATGATATGTCATTGATGGGTGATTAGAAATGAAATCCAGGTCAGAATAGTCAACAAATCAGGAAATCTTGAAAGAATCCCACTAGACACCTGATCTGACCAATTCACAGAAAGCAAAATTGAACTCCAATAATGGTCCGCAGCACTCCAAATTTGACGAGGAGCATGCAATATATGTACCTGCAAAATTGAAGTTCAACAAGAAACCACAAGAGATAGCTATGAATTCCCACTTCCATCTATTGCCTCATACGTTTGCCATAATATTATGTGTTATTGTAAATATTTTTCCGACTGTAGACTCAGCCACTGCAAGCAATATTTCCACAGACAAGGAGGCCTTGATCTTATTCAAGTCAGGGGTCAATCTCCCTCCATCTTTCTGGGACCAAAACTCATCCCCCTGCTCCAACTGGACTGGTGTTGCATGCAACCAAATTGGGCAGACTCAGAGAGTTGTTTCTCTTAATCTTTCAGGCTTGGAACTTGCAGGGACCATAAACTCCCATGTTGGTAAGTTGACAAAACTTCAAGTCTTGAATTTAGCACGAAACAATCTCCATGGTCCAATCCCATCATCCATAAGCAACCTCTCTTCCACCCTCACGCATT